CATGTTCTTCCCAAGAGCGGAGAGGCGAAAAGATGAAAGCCGAGAGTTTCTGCTAAGCCGAGGGGAGAAAGAATGTCCGCGACAATCTCCCTCAACCCAAGAGGAGAGAAAGTCACAACCACGCCACATACATCACAAAAGCCACTCCCATACACACAATCACACAGAAGGATGCCACACACCCATCAACCGCCCCTGCAAAAGCCCCAGAGACCCACAAACAGAAAGCTAAAAAGACACAAAGACTTAACACACATAACCACACTCACACACACAAAGCCTACACAAATAAATAAACACTCCTCTCCACACTCACAGCCACACATAACCACACATAACCACACATAACCACACATAACCACACATAACCACACATAACCACACTCACAGCCACACAACGAACGCCCATGTCCAACGAGTCCCCCATAATCTCTCAAGAGCCATGTCTCCTGCATAATCGAGAGCCATGTCTCCATCATCTTCCAGAAACCAGAGAGCCAAAAAGATGAAAAGCAAGAGTTTCTGCCAAGCCGAGGGGCGAAGAGAATGTCCGCGAGAATACTTTCTGCCAAGCCGAAGGGCGAAGAGAATGTCCGCGAGAATACTTTCTGCCAAGCCGAGGGGCGAAGAGAATGTCCGCGAGAATACTTTCTGTCAAGCCGAGGGGCGAAGAGAATATCCGCGAGAATACTTTCTGCCAAGCCGAGGGGAGAAAGAATGTCCGCGACAATCTCCGTCAAGCCGAGGGGCGAAGAGAATGTCCGCGAGAATACTTTCTGCCAAGCCGAGGGGCGAAGAGAATATCCGCGAAAGCTTCTGTCGACGAAAGAGCCGAGAGGAGAGAGGAGAGAGGAGAGAAAGTCACAACCACGCCACATCACACACAGCAACACGCATCAACAGCATCAACGCCGTCTGCAAAAGCGCCAGAGACCCACAGACAGAAAGCTAAAAGACTTACTTAACACACACAGAAGGATGCCACACACAGCCACACACAGCCACACACGAAGGCTACACAAATAAACACTCCTCTCCACACACACGCACACACACAAGGACTCACACAGAAGACCCGGATGTCCGCAGAGAGAGAACAAGACACGAAGCGTGTAGCTCACATGCAGAGATTCATGCACCCACAACCAGCACTCGTTCCAAGGGCATGCATGCATACACACACAATCACACAGAAGGATGCCACACGAAGCCTCACACAGCCACACGAAGCCTCACACAGAAGGATGCCACACACACGCACATGCTCCGCAAAAAGCTCTGGAGAGCAGAGATAGCTCTGGAGAGCAGAGATGAATGTCCTGCATAATCTCTCGAGAGCCATGTCTCCTGCACAATCTTCCGGAAAGCGCAGAACAAGAATCTCTGGAGCCGAGGGCGAGAATGCCCTGAACAGCACAATGTCCAGGAGAGAGAGAGCGGAAAGATCTCTGCAGAGCCGAGAGCGCAGAGCGAGAAGAACGTCCGCGAGAGGCGAAAGTAACTCCGCGAGAGGCGAAAGTAACTCCGCGAGAATCTCTGTCAAGCAACGCAAGGGCGAGAGCGAAAAAGAGGAGAGAGAGTCCCAGGCGGTAAAGAGGCATCCTCGACCGGCTGGCTGGACACAGACGGGTCTGCACAGAACACCTCCGCAGTCGCAGAGAGGAGACCAGCAGAAAAGGCGCAACACATAACAAAAACCACACGCATACACACACACAGCCACACACGAAGGCTACACAAATAAACACTCCTCTCCACACACACGCATACACACACACAGCCACACACACGCACACACACAAACAACACAACAAGCGCTCACCTCAAACAAAAACTCCTCATAATCTCTCGAGAGCCATGTCTCCTGCATAATCCTCGCGAGAGGCGAGAGCGAGAATGCCCTGAACAGCACAATGTCCAGGAGAGAAAGAGCAGAAGTAACTCGCACACGAAGTCACTCAGATGCAGGAGCAGAGCGCGAGATGAAATCAAAGGTAACCACACACAGAGCAGGAAGAGAGTCCCAGGCATCCACACTCACATACACACACGAAGGCTCACACAGAAGGATGCCACACGAAGCCTCACATACACACACGAAGCCACACACAGAAGGATGCCACACGAAGCCTCACATACACACACGAAGCCACACACAGAAGGATGCCACACACACGAAGGCTCACACACACTCCAACCAACGCCCAGCTCTCCGCACAGAGGCGCAGACAACGCAGGACTCAGGCACAACAGCTCGGCACAGAGATTCAGGCACGCACACCCAGCACTCGTTCCAAGGACATGCATCCGCAAAAGAAGGCTGCATCCATCCAGAAACGTTCTGCTGAGTCATGGTGTCTGGTGATCCTCTGTCAACGCAAGGGGGGAGAGCCGAAAGAATGCCCGCGGCGATCTCCGTCGACCCAAGAGACAAGGAATGCCCGCGAGAGCCAAAGGAAGCCCGAGGGCTCGTCGAGACAGAGCGCAGGAGAGCCTCCGCACGGCTCGAGGCTGCAGCAGGATGCAATGGCAGGACGCGCCGAACAGCCCGCAGCCGCAGAGAGCGAACAGCCCGCAGAGAGGAGACCAGCAGAAAAGGCGCTACAGAAGTAGGCAGAGGGCATAAGACAATGCAGATAAAGGGCGCAACATTCGACTTCGCATCAACACCCAGGGCAGCTCGTGCTCAGTCAGGACTATCAGGCACTCGCACAGGCAGTGCAGGGCAACTCGCACAGGCAGTGCAGGGCAGGCACCCGCACAGGCCGGAGGTCGACGCACAAGAACGCCAGGGGCTCCGTCGGCAGGCCAGAAGTGGTAGAGGCATGGGAGGAGAGCACAGATAGTCGGCAGCAAGTCTGTATGGCGTGCTCAGGCAGGACAGAGGCTCGAAGCAGACGCCACGGGACTCCACTCGCACACACAGAGGCGTCGTCGGCTCGAGAATGTGCAGAGGCGGTCGTTCGAAGGCGCGCTCGGAGAGTGGATGATTCGCAGATAGACGATCGATGGAGAGTCGAAGAGCGTGGCCTTCGGGAGCAGGAGAGCCCAAACAGGCGGCAAAAGACACACACGGAGCAGAGGCAGTCTCGGCGGCAGACAAAGCAACGGCGTGTCCTCTCGCAGAGAAGCACGGAAAGGCGCAGAGACACGGCACAAGAGCAGGCAAGACAGGCATCACACGCAAGACAGTCGATCGCATCGGATCCGCAGAAACGTGGAGGACTAAGACAGGCATACGTATGCATTATGTACGTACACATACATACATACATATACATACATGCAAAGGACGACAAATAACGTGCCAAAGGATGCACAAATAAAGAGACAGACTTCCCGTAGAAAGACAGCACGGCTCTCGATGGCTCTCGTCGCTCGACAGGGCCGCAGGTCAGTCTCTTAAACAGACGGCTCCAGAGGGAACAGCAACAGACACACACACAGAAGGATGCCACACACAGAAGACCCGGATGTCCGCAGACAAGGCACAGAGATTCAGGCACGCACAACCAGCACTCGTTCCAAGGGCATGCACACAGCCACACAGGAAGGCTCACACAGAAGGATGCCACACGAAGCCTCACGAAGCCTCACGAAGGCTCACACACGCACATGCTCCGCAAAAAGCTCTGGAGAGCAGAGATAGCTCTGGAGAGCAGAGATGAATGCCCTGCATAATCTCTCGAGAGCCATGGTGTCGTGATGATCCTCTGTCGAGGCGAGAGTCATGGTGCTCTGCATAATGGAGAGGGAGAAGAAGAAAAGACCTCTGGCAAGGGGAAGTAGCTCGGACGAAGGACAGAGCGCGAGATGAAATCAAAGGTAACCACACACAGAGCAGGGAGAGCCACACACAGAGCAGGAAGAGAGTCCCAGGCATCGAGGCAGGAAGGCTGCACACGGCACAGCATGACCAATGGTCTACAAAAAGAATATCACATCATCAATAGCATCGCTACAAAAGGCGGCGGAGATCGGAAAAGTAGAAGACGCAGAGACTTAAGACACACACAGCCACACAGGAAGGCTACACAAATAAATAAACACTCCTCTCCACACACTCACAGCCACACATAACCACACTCACAGCCACACGAAGGCTCACACAGAAGGATGCCACACACAGGAAGCCAACACACACTCCAAGCAACGCCCAAGACAGCTCAGCACACAGGGGCGCAGAAGGCCCCAGAACAGGCAATAGCGCTCAAGAAGGAGCAGCAGCTCAAGAATCAAGAAGGAGCAACATCACACAGGAAGGCTCACACAGAAGGATGCCACACACAGAAGACCCGGATGTCCGCAGACAAGGCAGGGCTCAGGCACAGACAGGGCTCAGGAGAGGTTCGAGCACGCACAGCGAGCACTCGTGTCGAGGGAGAATGCTCTAGTGATGGCGTCGTGATGATGTTCTGCATGCCGGCGAGGGGAGAAGAAGAAAAGGCCTCTGGCGAGGCAAGAGGGGAGGACGTCGGCTCGTCGAGAGAGTCGCGGCAGGGCACAGCACATAAGAGCACATGCATGCACACAGAAGCGGCATCGCTACAAAAGGCGGGGGAGATCGGAAAAGTAGAAGACGCAAAGACTTAAGACACACACAGCACGGCTCCCGGACCGGAAGCAACGGGCAGCTCAGCTCTCCGCGCAGAAGGCGCAGGCCTCGTCGAGACGGAGCGCGGCAGGGAAGGAACAGCAGAGCAGAAGGAGCCGAAGAAGCAGAAGAAGACGGGCAGAGAAGCCGAATGCAGCAGAGAAGGAACAGCAGAGCAGAAGAAGACGGGCAGAGAAGCCGAATGCAGCAGAGAAGGAACAGCAGAGCAGAAGAAGACGGGCAGAGAAGCCGAATGCAGCAGAGAAGGAACAGCAGAGCAGAAGAAGACGGGCAGAGAAGCTGAATGCAGCAGAGCAGAAGGAGCCGAGCAGAGAAGGAACAGCAGAGCAGAAGGAGCCGAGCAGAGAAGGAACAGCAGAGCAGAAGAAGACGGGCAGGGAAGCAGAAGGGGCAGAAGACACAGTGCAATAAGAGCTCTCCACACACACTCGCGCAAATGCACAGCCTCAAAATGTCGGAATCCTCCTCCATCCGCACAGCTTGCACACACAGCGGTCGTCTTCCGCCACACACACCGCGCAGTCGGTCTTCAGGCTTAGAGGCCTTCAGCCATTATACTCCCGACGTAGCTCCGCAGCAGCCAGCAGGCACGCCGCTCCACCAGAGGTCGCAATCAAGAGTTCCTCTCGTACTATCAAGATCTGCTGCACAGTCCACACAGTAGGGTAAAACTAACCTGTCTCACGACGGTCTAAACCCAGCTCACGTTCCCTGTTGGTGGGTGAACAATCCAACACTTCGCAATCTCTGCTTCGCGATGATAGGAAGAGCCGACATCGAAGAATCAAAAAGCAGCGTCGCTATGGTCGCTCGGCTGCTACAAGCCAGTTATCCCTGTGGTAACTTTTCTGTCACCCATGTCCCACGCACAATAGGACATGGGATCTCTAGGCCAGGGTTTCCCCCAAACAGTCCCGCAATAGGAACAGTCTCAAGCAGGCTTGTGCCCTTGTGCTCCACGCGTGGTTTCCTTCCCCGCTGAGCCCGCCTTAGGACGTCTGCGTTAGTCTTTAGCAGTCGTGCCGCCCCAGCCAAACTCCCCACATCCATCCACAAAGCACTGGGCGGAAGACATAGTGGTATCGCACTCATCCCCACCTCGCTGCATGCCCACACCCAGCACTTCACACATGCTAGAGTCAAGCTCAACAGGGTCTTCTTTCCCCGCTGATCAGCCCAAGCCCGTTCCCTTGGCTGTAGGTTCACAAGACAGGCCGTAGGGACAGTGGGAATCTCGTTGCTCCATTCATGCGCGTCACTAATTACATGACGAGGCATTTGGCTACCTTAAGAGAGTCATAGTTACTCCCGCCGTTTACACTCGCTTAGCCCACACAGGCCGTAACTAAAAGTGCACTGGGCAGAATTCACTTTGCGTCCACACACAAAGCTATGTTTTTAGTAAACAGTCAGATTCCCCACAACAAACAGTTCTAGCACGCTAGAGCCAATCCTTCTCCCGAAGTTACACATCAATCTTGCCGACTTCCCTTACGGCCCTTGCACAAAACACTTCCGCGGCAAACAGTGGACACCAGATGCGGTCTAGGTACGACAAAGCAGCCTCTTTTTCATCGGAACAGGCTCGCCCACAATCGCTGCTTCGCATCATAACAATCCGCAGCAGACAGCATCCAGTTCTGCTATCCTGGACAGGGCCGCCCCCATCCGTCACAGCCAAGTCGCCTCCCAGCCGCAATACACACAACTATCAATGCACCTCCGTATCCACAGTCGATTCACCCCTGCCACACAGGGAACCCTCGTCCACAGCGCAAATCATTTCCTTGTTACTGCTACCAAGATCTGCACATATCGCCCCTCCACCCCCGCTCACGCAGGACCTTCAGCAGAACGATACCGCCCCCTTACTCAGATACTCCCCCCGCAGGCATCGGAATGCAATTCAATCCCTTCCATTTTCTCCGCCGCCCAATTCGGTAGGTACGTTGCAACACGTTTCTTAGCGGATGCCAACCTCCATGGCCACCGTCCAACTGTCAAAATCAGGCCGCCGGATTCACTCACCTTGCATAAGACTCCTTAGCCCGCTTAAAGGTTCATCCCTTCTCGCACACCATGCTTACCACAGTATGCCCACTGGCAACACACTTAAAAGACATCTTCAAAGTTTAACGCAAGCGCATTAGTGCTTTACAACATCTTACACTCCCCGTCGCCGCTGTCCTGAGAGACATTTCAGAGGGAACCAGCTACCAGATGGTTCGTTTGGTCTTTCGCCCCTATGCACATGTCATGCCATCGAGTTGCACGTCAGAACGGCTTAGATCCTCCAGAACACTTTCGCATCCCTTCAATCAACACACACATAGCTCACCATCTTTCGGGTCCGACCGCAGCATCCATCCCCTCTCGGAAAACAATCCTGCCGTCGTCTCCTTGGTCCGTGTTTCAAGACGGGCGGGAACATCCCCCATTCACTCCATTCACTTTCATTTCTCATCATCCTCCTTTTCACACTTCAATCACTCTACTTATCCGCTATCGGTCATCAGCCATATTTAGCCTTCGGTGCATCCACCACCGCATTCGCGCTGCACTACCAAGCAACACTACTCACAAAAAAAGCCGCCGCGCCTACAGGCACATCGCCCTCTCCGCATCCGAATTCAATCGCACTCGCCGCTGCTGCCACAAACACAACCCGCCAAACGCAGTTACCACACAGGCTCATGCCATTTCACTCGCCGCTACTCAGGCAATCCCATTTGGTTTCTTCTCCTCCCTTTACTGATATGCTTAAGTCCAAGGGGTCCCCGTGCACACCGCACACAATTCAGACACCGTCACAACAACAACGCATATCGTCCTCCTGCACGTCCTTCATCGCCGCTAATGCCAATCAATCCCGTGAACAGAGAAACCACAAACAAACAAACATCCATCAAAACACAACAACATACTGATCCTGCTGCTGGTTCTCCAACAGCAGCCATGTTACGACTTATATCTTATCTAACACTCAGGACTCAGACCTTCCGATCTTCGTCCAGTGCGTCATCTTAGATAGCGACGGGCGGTGTGTACAAAGGACAGGGACACATTCAAAGCAGCTTCGTCAGCCGCTATTACTAGGAATTCCACGTTCAGAAGCCCCTTACACAGCTTCATCCCTCACAGCAGGCAGAAGCGCCATCTATCGTAGTGCGCGTGCAGCCCGCCTCATCTCAGGGCATAACGGACCTGTTCTCTTCCATCCCCTCCTTGCTCCGTAGAACACCGTCAAAGGGTCTCACATCTTACGCAACTTAAGACAAAGCTCACGCCATCCATTTAAAACGGCCATGCACCACCGCCGCATGCCTCATGCCATGCACTCACAGGCATCCTTCAGAGCCGGTAAGTTGCCCCGCGTTGAGTCAAATTAAGCCGCACACTCCACTCCTTGTGGTGTCCTTCCGTCAATCTCTTCAAGTTTCACTCTTGCGAGCATACTATCCCCAGAACCCGCATACTCAAGATTTCTCATGGACAACACACACTGTCCCGTCCAGTCGGCATCGTTTACTGCTAGAACTAAAACGGTATCTAATCGATTTCGATCCTCTAGCCTTCGTCCTTCATCGCAACATTAGTCCAAGAGCACAGCCTTCGCTTCCGCTCGTCCAGTCAGGGTCTTCGCATTTCACCTCTCGCCCAACTATCCAGTGCCCCTCGTCCTCTGCCACACACATCACTACATCCACACACAACCACAAACATCACACACAAAGACATACACAACAGACTACGGACATTTTAACTGCAGCATCCACCATAGACACTATTGGAGCAGGTATTACCGCGGCTGCTGGCACCCGACTTGCCCTCCAATCACATGCGACCCCTTTGCACTCGCACACACATCACTTCTCATAACCGCCTCCCCAAAGGATTAGGCAAGTTTCGCGCCTGCTGCCATCCTTGGACGTAGTAGCCATCTCTCAGGCTCCCTCTCCGGAACCAAACCCTGATCCCCCGTATCCCGTCTGCGCCTAGTTAGGCCATTACCCTAACTACCAGCTGATAGGCCCACAACTTACTTGCCAACCCCCACAGGGGCAGACCACTATCTGCAGTTTCCCGCAGCTACTGCTCATCCCGCAAACAAATCATCGTGCTATCACTGAGCCGTCCGCTAATCCCCCACAAAGAGTTCACAAGCATGCATGGCTTAGCCCCAGAGAATAGCATCCACGTCAGGCAGAATCAACCTGATGCCCCACACACACACAATCACTAACCATCAATCAAAAAACACACAACACCACTCCCCCCGCAAACGGCACCCCCCAAACCAGCCAATCATCCATCAACCCCACACACAACACTCACTCCTCTCAGCAGAGACACACACAATCAAGGCCCCCCACACTCACATTTTATCCCCTCCCTCTCCCCCAACACCACTGACCACAATTCCCCCGAGCACTCAACACTCAAACACACAACATCCCCTAGTCCAAACAGAACAGACCCAACAGCCCCTAGTCCAAACAGAACAGACCCAACAGCCCCTCCCCACACACACACACCCTCCAAACCATTCTCCCCCCATCCGAACACACCAATAAACACCCCTAACACCAATCAATCAATCAATCAATCAAACAAGCCCCTAAATCTCACACAACACCAATCACACACACAAAACAAACAACAAGCCAGAACTCTCACAACAACAAAAACACACTCCAAACAAACAAACAAACAAACAACACAGCTCCCTATCCCCCTCCACACCCTCCACTCATCCTTGCGTCCCATCCCACACAGCCCACACTCTAAGTCCCCACTCCATCCCAATCACAAACTACCCCCAAACGAGCCCCTAACAGTCCCCAATACACCCTCCAGCCAACCATCTCTCCCCCCTCCTGACAATCCAGAACACACCACACACCACACACCACACACAGCGAGCCCCTGACTGAATACCCGACCTTCAAACAACACACTACGCCCAAATCCCAGACAAACACACAGCAGAGCAACACACACTTCAAAATCCCCCTATCGTAAATAAACCTCCCCACACAACTCCCTTCACAACCCCCCCCCACACACACTCAAGACAACTGCAAACCGAAAAATCCCTTCCATCCAAACAGAGAGAGAACAACACACACACAAAGAGAAACAAAGAAACAGAAGCCGAGACCCAACCACTCCCACAACCCCACGCTGCTCACACACAACACACAGCTCCCTATCCCACAACAACCCCCACAACTCCATCTCCCATCCTAACACAACCTCACCGTCACAACATCACTGCTGCTCCCCAGAATCATAAATCCTGCTTCCAATAACCATCCACTAATCTCCGCCACACACACACAATCACACACCAACACCATCCAAACACACCACACTATCCTACTCCCGAAATCCCCTGCTTCTTCCATTCCCCGCCATCTCAATCCTTTCAATCACTACACTCCCCATCAATGAATCAAAGCGTGATCATTCACTCATCTTTTCTATCGTCCTCCCTCTCTCTTCATCCCACCTTCTCCGCAACACCTTCTCCACAACACCTTCTCCACAACACCTTCTCCGCAACACCTTCTCCACAACACCTTCTCCGCAACACCTTCTCCGCAACACCTTCTCCGCAACAAACCGCCCGAACAGACACCCGTATCAACGCCCTTATCGACATCCCAATCCATCCCAATCCATCCCATGCCCTCTAGTAAGTTTAGTACTTATCATTCCATCGAAGAATCCAAGTATTGTTATTGCAAACCAATCATACTGTATTCATCCTGCCACAATCGCGAGGGGAGAAGCACAGCCCATCCGAAAAGAGCTCCCTACTGCCCCAGACAGAGTCCCCATCCCTCTCCTCATCTCCGCCGCTCCTACCCATTCACCATCTGCCCTCCGCCATCCTACCTCCGCCATCCTAAATGGTTACTTCGCCTTACTCCACAACCTAAGAGAGTCTCCACATCCACCCCCCCCCCAAAATCAATAAACACCTCTCAACCCCCTCATCCCAACACCATCCCTGCCCCAACCACCCACCACATCGCCCTCCCCACCCAACTCCCCCAACACAGAGAGCCCCACACACTCACATCCACAAAATCCCCCACATAACCCAAACCATCCCAGTAGAAAACAAGAGCACAACCATAATCCCATTCGTTTTATTCATCACCCCCCAGATCATCCATGCCCTGCCCTGAAGACGGAGACCCCCACGAGATCCGAGCTGTTCAAACCATTCAGGCACACCATCTCAAATCCATCCTCCTTCACAGTTCAAACCTTACAACACACAATCCACAAACCCCCATCCTAATCCGAAGAACACCCATCTCTTGTCCATATCCTATGACCTCATACCGTCCCCCCACCGCCATCCTTGTTCCGCTCCTTGTCCAATCAGACAGAAGGTCCCACAACTCCACATCCATGCCTCCCTCCAACGTCTCCCTCCAACACTCCCGCCATTCTCCTCCTTCCATTCTCAGGAACCCCACAAGACAACCCCCCAGAGAACTCACACATCCATAAAAACCACCCCGTCTCTATCTCCTCTCAGAACTTCCTCCACACCCCCATCTCATCAAACTCCTCTGCTCCGAGTTCTCAGAAAGAGACTGACCTTCAGATCCGAGCTTCCGACCTCCAACTCCCCCGAGATCCAGGGTCCTCCACAGGAGAAGAACCCCTTCTTCAAGCCCCACCTCCCTTGCTCTCTTACCCATCTGCGTCCGTGTTCCGCCATCCTCTCCCTCCTCCCAGAGCCCCGAAACAGCTCCTTCACACATCTCCCTTTGGATACACCCCAACCTTGTCGCCATATACATTCCGCCCCCTTGAACCCAACACCATCTGCTTGATCGACTAACTCGTAACCTCCCCCGAGCCGTCATGCCTGTAATAGTACACACATCCATCCGATTCCTCAATTCATCACCATTCCTCTACAAACTTTTCATACTCCAGAGCCCCCAATCCCCAGATCCGAAGACTCAAATCGAGCCAGATTCCGAAGAGCTCAAATCAAGACACATCTCCTTGATCCATTCCACATCTTCCCCCGAAACCATCCCCCATCTTCAGCCCCTCCTAAACCTCCCGCCCCCATTAATGTATGTCCTCGATACATCTAGAGCCATCCTCGATACATCTAGAGACTCCCTGATAGATAGATAGATAGATAAATAGATAAATAAATAAGTAGGTAAGTAAGTAGGTAAGCAAGCAAGTAGACCCCATTCTTCCCTAAAACCCCCCAAAATCAAGACACATCAGAAGTACATCATATATATTCCAGCCCACAGACACCCACATCCGCCCAACACCTCCAACAACAATCCCACACTCCCTATCCTTGCCACCCTTCTTCACCTGCCCACACTCCTGTAATATGACACATCCCCTTTAAGACAAACAGACAGAAACTCTGCTTCCTTCTCAGAGCCCCCGATACACCGAGAATCCTTTCGGGCTCCGGCATCCAGCACTTCCACCACCCACAGTCAGTGCCATCCATCCCACCTCACAGCCCTCTCCTTACCCAATCAGTCGGCATCTCAGAGCCCCTGTGTCTGCCACAGCCACGCCAAAAGATCCCCCGATGTCGCCACAATCAACAGTCTCCCACAATCACATCCGGCAACCTACAAAGCCTACGACAGACAACCGAATCCTCTCAGCCCATCAGAAGACCCGTTCCCCCTCCACAATCCCCCCCGCACCCAGGCACATTTCTGCCCCGAGATCCTGCCGCCAATCCCCCCATTCATAACCCATATGTGCAAGGATCGCCAACACACATCCCGCCCACAGATCCAACACAACCGTGTCAAAACACCGCTCGCAAAGTTGACCTCAACTATCGCGAAAGGGCCTTTGCACAGGAGGAGCACCATGGGACGCCACAGGGCCGCCTATCACCGATGCTATAGGAGATCAAGCAAAGAATCGTCCGCCATCATCCCTTGCAAGACAAGAACCTACTCGACGGTATCAGAAACGGCCTGGAGACAAACGAACCCAAGCCCCAACGAACTGCTGCTGTCGATGCTGCCACCAGTGCCTCGACGCCCTAGAGGAGGCTGTCGTCCACTTCACGCCCCTCTTCTAAACAAGATGCCACAGACTTTTCCTGCTGCTTCCGAGCGGCCAATGCCCTCTCGACGACTATCCAAGGCCACTCAAAACGTTCAAACACGCCCTTCGGAGCGCCCTGCCCCATGTCACCGAAGGCCCGGACCAAGAGGTCCAGGAGGTCGAGATCCCCCAGAGGCTTGCCATCCTTGGTCTCTTGGCCCCGAGCTTGGTCTCTTGGCCCCGAGCGAGGTGCAGTTCGACTGCCTCGAAGCCAGCCGGACCTGGAACACCTTCATCGGTGCATACACGAAATAAGCCTCAAGCCCTCTACCTTCCCCATGGCATTGATACGCCTCTCTTCAGAGACAGTCAGGCGAGCCGTCCAGAAAAGCCGATCGCCAAACGTCCCAGAACCCCAGAGAGCGCAACCCCACGAGATTCTTCGGGATGCCACCACCGCCTTCGACTCCCTGCCCAAAAGCTCAAGTCCCTCAGGACATCATGTGCCCAAGCCGTCGATGATCTTCAAAGGAATCGAGGCCTTTTCTGCTGCATTCGATGAACGATGAACTAAGCCGGATGCTGCACGAAGCAGAGCATGCTGCACGAAGCAGAGAAGAACCCGTCCGCCCGAACGAAAGGACTGCCAATCTCGGAAGGGCCCTCTCCCCTCATAAGACTGCGTGGACTCCCATGCTCCATGCTCACTGCCATCCGTGCTTTCCTTCACCTTGCTAACCAACGACGAAACCAGGGCGAACACAGGATCAAACACTGCACCGTACTCGCCGCGCCATCACGCACCAGACCCGGAGACTCACCGAGCTGTTTGATGACCGTGCCCACCGCCCTGCCTCGTGCCCATCAATCAGCCCGCGACTACTCCACTCCATGACTGCACAAGAGGCTCCGGCGATACGACTGCCACTGCTGCTCATAGTCGGCTGAACACACGTCCCCCAGCGCCTGCCTGCTTGCCCGATTAAAGACATGTGAATATCCCCTCTTGAGCATCCGTGTGCTGGGCAGCAGTCCTTGCACGTCTCCGATCGATGGCCGCGCCCACCCAACTCCCCGAGACTGCCAAGCCAAAGCACTCCAACCAATCTGAAGCCGGTCCAGCCCCACTGGCTTCTCCAACAGCCCCCATGCCACGCCCTGCATCCCATCTAGCACCCATGCCTTCAGATCATCCAGACTTCCGATCCAAGTCCGCTCGTCTTAGATGCCAACCGCCCCGTACAAACAACTGCGGCACATTCAAACAACCACCGTCAGTCGCTGCCACTAGCCGTCCAAAGCCAGGCAACCCATTCCTCCAGCCCCCAACCAAAGGCACGCCTCCCCCAAAGAAGAAGAAGAAGAACCACACAGAAGGATGCCACACACACGAAGCCAATCCAGAACCAAACACCAAACACACAGAAACAGAGTCCCCCAAACCACAAACTTCTACACAGCATCACACTCCCATAACTATCCCTTCCTCCCTCCTTAGCCAGAACACCCAGAGAGAGAAAAGAGGCCTGCCACTCCTAACATCAAGGCCAAGCACCATCCCAGCAAACACTTATCAACCACAATCTCCGCACATCCACTCACACACCCCGCTCCAGCGCCCCATCTCCACTGCCCTCCTCCACCAAAACCTCCACATCCGAGCTCGGAACATCCGACACACAGGCAGACTCCACGGAAGCCCCACAAAAGGTGCCCAGACAGCCCAACAAGCACAGCCACATCCTCCAAAACAGCTAGCAACCCTCTAGCCGGCCTCTCCTCATCCTATAAATCAACCATAACGAATGCTCTCATCCCCTCTCCCGCAAAGCCTCCGCCATCATCTTCTCCATCCAATCATCCGGAGTCCCACACAACTCCTGCAGAACATCCGAGCTTCCCTCAGAGCCGCATCCCAAAAGCCAGGCCCTTGTCCATCCGCCCCTCCGCCAGGGAGCGGACATCGCCAGAACCCTGCCTCAACCCAAAGACACACATCCCCAGTCGCAGGACCAAATCCCCAGCACCTCAACACATCAGAGCCTGCCACAAAGCCCGCTGCGAGAGTCGCAAGGACAACCAACCCCAAGCAAAGGCCATCACTTCCACTCTCCTCCCTGTCCAAACCCACAGAAATACTCCGCATCGCCCTTTTCCGTCTTGATCGGCTGCCTCCACCGCCGCACAGCCTCTCTATCCCAATCGCCGGGCCCTCCCATCAGCCATCAAGAATCTCACCCACCTCAAGCTCCTTGCCAGGAAGGACATACCTGCACACCCCGCAGTCTCCAGCCATTCCGACAGAGAGACACCTAACCTCACCAACCAATTCTATCCATAGACGCAATTAAGACCTCGCTTCCATTGGAAACACACCTCATCCATCATCCGGGACCCCACCGAGAGTCCAAAGCCCGCCCCTGCCACTCTCTGGATAGACAGCACTGCACCGCCTGCCCTACTTCCCGAGGTCCCGCCCCACGCCCTTGCAAAGCACAGGAAGCCCCCCACGCCCTACCCCCAGCTCCCGAGATGCATTTGCGCCCTTCACCACAATCCCCACAAAGCGCCTGCTGCAATCCAGAGCTTCCAGCAACAGAGCCGCCGACCCCTGCCGAACATCCGACAGCCTTCCGCAGATCCCAAGCGCCTTCCCGCACACCTCGCACCTTCTCCCGAGAAACCCTGCACATCCTCTGCGAGAACCGTTGTCTTGCAGTTTCCAAAGTCGTCCACACACCAGACATACCGCCCAAGACCCCCGCCTCCCAGGCAGCGAGTAACCGGGCACATCGCACCGCAAAGCACCCAGCACGCCGCCAGAGCTGCAAACTCAAAGCTCCTAACCCGTGTGTTGGCCATCCGCTCCGCATCCCCTCTCCGAAGCACTCCCCACGGCACTGCACTCTCCGCGACATCCCCACCGAAAGAAGCTCCACCTTCTCGACAATCCCAGGGGAGCGAACAAGAGAAAGACACCGCCCCTCATACAACCCACAATCCTAGAGCCTCTGCCTCATCCAGTCCTCTCTCCCCATAACATTTCCAGCTCTACAGACCACCCAGACCCTAGCCCCGCCATCAAACCCAGTCCCCCCAACAATACACGCCATATCCTACTCACAACGAAGTCCCTACTACTAATTCTCACACACCCAATCATATCAGCATATCCATTTCATCCATACTTCTTCTCTACCCCACATGAACATCACACACGTTCCAGAGATACACAGAACTGACAAGCAACACACCGAAAACCTGCGACACTGGAGGAAGATCCTCGGCATTGCTCCATTCGTCTCAATTGTATTCCCTGCCATCATGTACTTCATCTCCGACGAAGACAGTTTTAAAAAGAGTCTTCTCCTCAGGTTCATCACAATACTCCTCCCCTTTTCATACTCAGCGGTACAGTATGCCATACTACTCCACACCACACCATACTACACCCTCAATCTCCTATTTCTTGCATTCGCCGCCATCTCCATCCTTTCAATCACTGCACTCCCCATCAATGAATGGAAAGGTGATGATTCACTCATCTTTTCTATCGTCCTTCCCTCTCTCTTCATCCCACCCACCTATCTCCTCTCCACCTCCTGCCGCCTTGTTCCAGGACAAACCGCCTTCACAGATACTGGCATCAACGTCCTTATCGACATCCTGATCCTACTATGCCCTCTAGTAAGTCTTGTGCTCGTATGTAAAGAACCCGAGTACCGTCTTCTCTCTGCAGTCCCATTCCCCATACTCATCCTGGCACGGTTGCTCAACGACAGGTATTGCCCATCCGAAAAGAGTGCTCCGCCTACTGCCCCATGGAGAGTCGCCATCCTTGTCCTCATCCTCACCTCTGCTGCTCTTATCTACGCATTCATGATGTGGACACCCATTGCCATCCTAAATGGTTACTTTGGCTTACTTCACAAGCTAAGAGAGTCTTTCCTTTCACTAAGGCCTGATTAATAAACAGTTCTCCACTCCATCTATCGACACGCTCTTAGGCCACACAGACCATCCCTAACACCCACCCACCAGATCGCTCTGCTCTCTTCAGTCAACATACATAAACACACACACACATCCAGGAGATCCCCACATAACCCAAACCATGTCAGTAGAGAACAAGAGCACAACCATAATACCATTTGTTTTATTCATCAACACATCACTCCACTCAGATCATCCATGGCCTGCCCTGAATCCTGAGACGCCGGAGAACCAAGGTGTTCAAAGGATTCCTCCACACTATCTGGAATGATCCTGTCTCCTTCACCTTTCAAACCTTACTCCCAGAGGATACTCAAACTTGCCGCATCCTGGTATTCCTTATCCTCATCTATCTTCTCAACGTCGCTCGTCTCACCAAGATTGCCCCCCATCTCACAGCATCCCCCATCCCCTCTATTCCTGTAACCCGGAACATCAGGTGGTACACAATTGGGCACCCACTAGGAGAGTCCTTGAACATCCCAACCTCCACCACTCCTGCCATCCTCCGCTCTCAAGAACCCCACCACCAGACGGCCTCGAGAACTCCCGCCCTTGGTGTAATCTCCTGCATCCATGAAGAGCCTGTCTGCATCTGGGCTCTTGAGAAGTTCCAGCACACCCGCTATGTCATGGAACACCTTCTGCTCCTGATCTCTTCAAGAGACCTTCCACCTCTCCTCGCCTCCCCTGTCCCACTCCTCCTTGATCTTCTCTGGGCTCTCCACCGAAGAACCCTTCTGTGGATCCTGAAGCGCTTCTGGCCACCCCTGCTTTTCTTGCCTGTCTTCCTGCGTGCTCCTCCAACCTCCACGAACGGCATCTCCGCTTCCTCACTCGCCTCCCCCTCCCTCAGAGACTCCCCACTCTTCTTGCTCTTAGTCTTCTCCTCTCCGGATCCTGCTCCCGATCCCTCTTCTCCATCTCACTTCTCTGCCTTTCCTTGACTACATTCGCAACCTTGTTGATATATCTCCTGTCTATCTCCTCTCCCTTCTTCCCCAGCAGCATCTGCTTGACTAACTCCCTTGTAACATCTCCTCCATGCTCTCTGTGTGCATCTAATAACAGACTAGTGTTAACAACAGTACATTCTAAGTATAGACCGCGGCTAATCTCATCTTCATCAACCTTTGCCTTCAAAGCCTTTCTCACGCTTCCCTCTGCCAACAGCCCCATCAGCTCCTCCTCTTCCAACTCAAGGCAGATCTCCTTGCATGCATTGCACACTATCTTCTCTGCCTCAACTACCCGCCTCAATCTTTCCGTACTATAAAGAAACCCTGCGCGTTCCTTAACCCTACTCCAAAACCTTCGATACTTCCTTTTCTCTTCTGCAGACACTTCACCAAGTGCATTTTCTATCATGTCGCTAAGTCTGTTTATGATACTTTTTCCATACTTCACTACATGACCATCTCCCGCTTTGTTGCATTCAAATATCATTTCATGCACTGTTTCCAACGACTCGCTAAACATCTTGCGGCCTCCCTTGTACACCTTTGATGCACCTGCAGATATCTTCTTCAAGTACCCGTCCATCATTTCACTAAACAGCCTCTCAGATCGATCATCCTTGTATGCTATCCCGCCAACCACAAAATACCACACCGCGTGAGAAATATTGTGTTCTAAAAAGGATGCAACACGTCTCCTGGCATTTCCCTTCAAGTCGCCGTACTTCGTTGTCGGTAGCACAGCAATATTGTATCCCTGGAACATAAACGGGAATACTATCACCTGGCTATCTGGCCCGAGTGTAAAGGCGGCAGCCTTCTCCAATCGTGGGGAGCAGTCCATCACACCAGCCGCTGCAACTAGCGTCCATGCTGCATAGATCCGCCTCATGGGCCAGATCTTTCCTCCTGCTTAGTCGCCTCCATCTCCTTTTCATATGACGTCGTGATGTCTCTCAGCGGTGCTTGCTGCCCTGCACAGGTCATTTCCTCCAAGGCATAATGTCCTTTTGCTCCTTACCTCTTCACCGCAGAACCTTCTCAAACTAGCCCATTCCATCCACCTACAGAGCATCCTGCCTGCCGCAGCTCCCCCCGCCATCGCTCCCGCACAAGGCTGCACACAACTGCCCGGCCCCATAAAGCCCTCGTCAGCACACATGGCCCACAGACCACGCCTTGTCCCCACACCCAACCAATTGACCATAAACACGTATCCTGCTGCTTACCTATCACGGCCTTTCCACAACCCGAATCCTGCCCGCTGACACTGACGGCTCCACCTATCCCACTCCCGGCCCGCTACTACCGCCGTGTCGGTGGCCATGCTCTTCTATCTCCCTGGAAGCTACTGTCCCCACCCATCGCCCTGCTTGTTTCATTCAGGCGAGATTGCCCGGGAAGAACTCCCCCAAGCCTCCGCACACACGAAACAAGGCGTCTAACCAACGCCAGGAACACTCGCCCACCATTGGTCCTTGCAGCCGCCATCTGCTGTACCCCCACCCAATATACGTCGATCCCCTGACCCTTCATGGGTATCATAGACGTCCAGAGGTCTCATTTGACTGCCACGCCGTCCAAGGAGAGGGATGCACCAGCACACCCTCCCCCCACAATCTTGCCTGTCTGTATCCTTTTTCCATACACATCTATTGCACTTCCTGTCCTCATGTACTACATCCCGGAGAAAGGCCAATTCGACCAAAATCCCTTTCTCAAGCTCATTGCAATACTCCCTCCCTGCCTGTACTCGGCGGTCCAATTCCCTCTCCTCTTCCTCGGCAACCCCGAGTCTTCCTGCACGCCTCGACCTGCATTATATGCAACACTCTATCTGCTCCTGGATGCCTCTCTCCTTGCATTTTCTGCCATCTCCATCCTCTCGATTGCTGCATTCACCACTACAGAATGGAACAGCGATGAGGTTGTGGCCGTCTGCTCCACCCTCCTCCCCTCCCTGCTCGTACTGCCTGCCCACCTGCTATCCACCTCCTGCGCCCTTACCCCAGGGTCAATCGGATTCACAGACTCCTCTGTCGACATTCTCATTGACCTTCTGATGGTGTCACTCCTTGCAGCAGGCCTAACGCTGAATGTGGACGAGTCCTGGCGCTTCTTCCCCTACATCTGCATCAGCTCCCTCGTCCTTGTCCTGGCAAAGTTGCTCCGGAAGAGCAGCTCCATGCCCAGAAGGGACCCTGCGCCTGCTCCAGCCTGGAGGATAGCCGCCTTTGTCCTTATCTTTGGCCTTTCCATGTTTGTTTACTTTTCCATCCTCTATGAGTGCCTGCTCATTTTCGGCAACCATTTCCCCTGGTTCCCAAGCCAAGCACCTTCCAACGACTTGACGAATAAATGGTAGCCCGGGACCTTGCATACACACAGCCTACTGCCTTCAATGGATACCCCACACCATCTGTATCCTCCTTCCTCCCCATCCACCTCCTTTCCAGCCTAGCTACATGTCGTGTAAGTTCTATCCAGCCACACTCCTTCTATTTACGTCCCTGCCCTGCCATCCGAAGCATCTGAATAACGTCAAGCAATACTTCGTCCACTCACTTCATATATTTATTATGTCCATATGCCACATACACATAGTATGTCATCAGATCTCAGGAATCCGAAGAATAGTGAGAGTCCGGAGAACCTCGCTGGTGTTCTTGGGATTCCGGTACTCTATCCTGAACTCATTCCCATTACTCGTCATTTCACACCGGACACCAGGAGGATACCGAAACCCAGACATATCCGAGGACTCCTCCTTCTTTATCTCATCCACATCGTCTCCCTTCCCAAACGACGAGCCTCCGACCATTCCTGCCCTCTCAGTCTCCGTGGGCCTGAACATCAGGTGGTAGACCACACTCTCTCCTCTCTCGCCCTTGAAAAGCCCAACCTCGACCTTTCCCACCTTCTTCTCCCCTCCCTCCTCAAGTATCCCATTTGCTACCATCTTCCATCTCTCACTCCCGCCCTTCATGTACTTGCCAGTCCGGAAAAAAAACCTGTCACACTCCTTGCTCTTGATGAGCTCTGAAACTTCCACTATGTCATGCACCTTCTTCTGCTCCTTAATCTCTTCAATCGATCTATTTTTCCACCTCTCCTCGCTTCCTTTGTCCAGTTCACGCTTGATCTTCTCAGCACTCCTCTTCCACCGGAGAACCCGGCTGTGTATCTTGTAGTGGTGCCCATCGCCTTTTCTCTTCCCCTTCAAGCTCTTCTTACGCCGAGCCCCTCCAACCGCCGTCTCTACCAACGGAACCTCCGCACTCTCCTCCTCTTCTGCCTCTACACCTTCTTCTTCTTTTCCGTCCTCTTCCTTACTCTCCTCCTTAGCCTCTCCTGCACCCCTCTTGCCTCTCCCTTTACTCTCCTCCCTCTTCTCCCTCTTCTCCCTCTTCTCCCTCTCCTCCCTCTCCACCATCCTCAACAGCTCCTCCTCATTCTTGGCTCTTTCCTCCTCCCTTCTCTTTCTTTCTTCCATCTCTCTCATTTCTTCCAACCTTTTTCTCTCTCTAACTTCACGAACTGCATTGTTGATGCTCTCATCATCAATACCTTTATGCTCTATAAATGCTTGCTTGAATACTTCTGCCATAATGTCCACACTCTTATATTTCTCATCTGTACTCACCAGTTTATGGTGATCTATATAACTAATTAGCGGCACCTCAATATCAGTGTAAGGCATTACTATCTTTAAGCACAAATGTCTTGAATATACTTCCATAATAAAGCTCATTCTGTCTTCATCTTTCTCCCAGACATATGCACACACATCGCATATTATCTTCTGTGCCCTAACCATCTCCTCTTGCCTTTCTTTGGTACACAACCTTTCTCCATGCTCCTTGATCTTCCACAGCATCTCCTCTTCTTTCTTCCTTTCCTCAGGCGACAGAGACCCTGGTATCCCCTGCATCCGATCCTCTGCAGAGCGGGCAAGCCGTTGTCCAAACTCACTCACCATACTGACATTTTGCTTAAATACTTCCATCACCAGGTCCATCAGCCGGATCCCAGATCTTCTCCTGGCCCCCTTATACAGGGAAACAGGATCTGAATCCCTGGAAACGGTCGCCTCAAAAACTTCGTTTATCAAACTTTCAATCCAACTACTACCTCCAGGCACATGCATCCATACCATCAAACGCCACACCAGCCGTCGAAGTTGCATAACAACTCCTTCGACATACTTCTTTTCACTTTTATCTACATCCTGGTATCTTGTGGTTGGGAGTGCAACAACTCTATCTCCATGAAAAATAAATGGAATCATCACTCTTGTGTCTAAGCAGAGTTCTTTCTCGAATGTTCTTATCCTCTCCACCTCTGAGTCATACAACTTACGGGAAAAGGCTTTCTCAAGTACTTTTCTTACCTTCTTCATGCCTTCAGACTCCTCCACATCGGACCCGTGCAACCCCCCCCCCCAAGCAATCCAACCATGCACACTACCCATGCCCTCATTACTCGCCAAGGGCACCCACTTATTAGACTCCCGATGCTCTCTCCTTTGCTCCCCTGGATCCCTCGCCAAGCCTCTTATGCACTCTCTTCCCGTAACATCTCCAATTCTACACGTCACCCAGATATCAACACTAGCATAGAGTTAATACATGACACCCTGTACGCCGGCATCCCCTATTTCTCCCCAACCTTCTGCCTCTTACATTTGCCATCGTCTGATCAGTACAGCCATTGTCCATAACTGGAAACGGAATCTCAGTTCACTCTCCTTTTCCGCTGTTTTCTCCCTCTTCTTCTATTCCTCGCCTATCTCCCTCCCTTCTTTCTGTCTTGTCCCAGGACAATAGGGTTCATGGACGCCGGCATCACCATACAGACATGTTGATATCATTATGCTATGTGGCAAGCTTAGCACCTATGTGTGAGAGACTATCCTTTCTTTGTCGCCATCTTCCCTGTTCTTGTCTGGTGGATTGTTCAAGGAAAAATCCTTTCCACCAAGCAGAATCCCCTATGCAACCTGAGAGTAGATGTCTTATCCCTGCCTTTTCCTTGGCTATCCATTTCTGATATATATCCATGGGCGTCTTTGATGATCACTTCGATCAATAATCAAGTAGAAACATATCATTCCACTCTTCCACCACATCCAAGCCAAGGAAAATCGGCCCGTCGTAACAGAAAATGCACAGTAAGGAACAGAACACAAGCATAACACTATTTGCTTTATTAATCATCACATCACACCACTCAGATCACACATGGCCTGCGCTGAATCGTGAGACGCCGGAGAACCTCAGAGGTGTCAGAGGGATTCTCCCACACTATCTGGAATGATCCTGTTTCCTTCACCGTTTCAAACGTTACTCCTTTTGGATACACAAACATGCCCTCATCCTGGTATTCCCTATTCTTATCTATCTTCTCAATGTCATTAGCCTCAGCAAACTCTGGGCTCATAACATCTCCCATCCCCTCTATCCCTGTAACCCGGAACATCAGGTGGTACACAACTGGGCATCCACTAGAAGAGTCCTTGAACGTCCCAACCTCCACCACTCCTGCCATCCTCTTTCCTCCGCTCTCAAGAACCCCAATCGCCACCATCCTCTGCCTCTCACTCCCGCCCTTGGTGTACTTTCCTGTATCCATGAAGAACTTGTCTGCATCTTCACTCCTGAGAAGTTCCAGCACACCCATTATGTCATGGAACACCTTTTGCTCCTTGATCTCTTCAAGAGACCTTCCCTTCCACTTCTCCTCGCTTCCTTTGTCCCACTCATCCTTGATCTTCTCAGGGCTCTTTCTCCATCGGGAAACCCTTCTGTGAATCTTGTAGCGCTTCCGACCACCCTCACTTTTCTTACCTGTCTTCCTGCGTGCTCCTCCAACCTCCACGGACGGTATCCCAACCTCCTCACTCGCCTCCACCTCCTCTGTTTCGCTCTCCTTCTTCTCCTCTTCCTTGGCCTCAGAGACTCCCACACTCTCCCCTTTCTTCTTGCTTTTTGCCTTCTCCTTGCTCTTTGCCTTCTCCTTGCTCTTCGCCTTCTCCTCGTCCCTCATCAGCTCTTTCATATTCTTTTCTATCTCCCTTTCTCTTCTTCTCTGCCTTTCCTTGACTACATTCGCGACCTTATTGATATATCTTTTGTCTATATTCTTTCCCTTCTTCCCCAGCAGCATCTGCATGACTAACTCCTTTGTAACATCTCCTCCATGTTCTTTGTGCGCATCTAGTAGCAGCTTAATATCAACAAAGGCACATTCTAAATATCCCCTATGGCTGGCTTTCTCTTCACCAAGCTTCGCTTTCAAAGCCTTTCTCATGCTTCCCTCAGCAAACAGTCCCATCAGCTCCTCCTCTTTCAACCCAAGGCAGATCTCCTTGCATGCATTGCACACCATCTTCTCTGCCTCAACTATCTGCCTCCATTTTTCTGTATCACGAAAAGACTCCACATACTTCTTATCATCATTCAAATCACTTCGCATCTTCTCTTTTTCTTCTTCAGACATCTCGGAAGGCATGCTTTCCATCTTACTATCAATTTCCCTTATAAGACTCTCTCCATACCTTGCCATCTGCCTACTTCCCTTAGAGTCACATTCAAATATCCTTTCATACACCATTTCCAGCATCTCACTAAACGTCTTGTTCCCTCTTATGTATATCCTTGATGCATTTATGGATACATTGTTCAAATACTTCGACATCATCTTATCAAACAGTTTGTCAAATCGATCATCGTTTTTGTATGACACATGCCCGACCACGAGATCCCATACCACACTAGAAAGACTGTAGAGTAAAAACTCAGGATCTTTCATGTACCTGGTGCTTCTTTTGTAATCGCTGTACTTCATTGTTGGTAACATAATGATATTATCTCCTCCAAAGGCAAACGGAAATATTATTGTCTCATTATCTGGATCTAATTCGAAGGAGACAGCATTCTCTTCTTCCGAGGAGCAATACATTACATCAACTACGACAATTAAGACCCATGGAGCATGCCTCCACCACATAGGGCACGCCCCTCTTTACCCAATTTGCCACTATCTCCTTTTCCTTGCGATATTGGAATATCAAGAGGGAAGCCACCAACCTGCACAGGTGATTTCTCATAAGCCATAACGGGGCTCTTTCCCTACCTCCTCAACATCCAACACGCAACTATCCTCGAGCCACACACTCTGTCCTATAACTCACTCCGCTAGCCCTGCAGTGCATGTATGCATTTGTGTTAACACGAAACAACTCCAATCTCCTGGAGTCTCTCTTGTACCAAAACGTAAGACTGGGCTCTCAAGATACTCTTGCAAGCTACCCATTATCTGTAAGATGAGCAGAATTCTATCGTCCAATACAATCAGATGGCGATCTTCTACACAGCCATCGTAGGTATAATCCTAATCTCCATCCATATAAATAACACCCAGATAACAATAACCTTCATTCCATTTATTTATATATCCACCATAGCACATCACCGAATCTCAGGAATCCGAAGAATAGTGAGAGTCCGGAGAACCTCGCTGGTGTTCTTGGGATTCCGGTACTCTATCCTGAACTCATTCCCATTACTCGTCATTTCACACCGGACACCAGGAGGATACCGAAACCCAGACATATCCGAGGACTCCTCCTTCTTTATCTCATCCACATCGTCTCCCTTCCCAAACGACGAGCCTCCGACCATTCCTGCCCTCTCAGTCTCCGTGGGCCTGAACATCAGGTGATAGACCACACTCCCTCCTCTCTCACCCTTGAAAAGCCCAACCTCGACCTTTCCCACCTTCTTCTCCCCTCCCTCCTCAAGTATCCCATTTGCTACCATCTTCCATCTCTCACTCCCGCCCTTCATGTACTTGCCAGTCCGGAAAAAAAACCTGTCGCACTCCTTGCTCTTGAGGAGCTCTAAAATCTCCACTATGTCATGCACCTTCTTCTGCTCCTTAATCTCTTCCACGCTCTTGCCTCTCCACTTCTTCTCATAGCCCTCATCCAACTCACGCTTGATCCTCTCAGCACTCTTCATCCACCGGAGAACCCGGCTGTGCACCTTATAATGGTGTTCTTCACTCATCCTCTTTTCTCTCGATCCCTTCTTCTTGCGCCGAGCCCCTCCAACCGCCGTCTCTACCAACGGAACCTCCGCACTCTCTTCCTCTTCTGCCTCTACACCTTCTTCTTCTTTTCCGTCCTCTTCCTTACTCTCCTCCTTAGCCTCTCCTGCATCCCTCTTCTCCCTCTCCACTCTTGCCCTCTTCACTCTCTACCATCCTCAACAGCTCCTCCTCATTCTTGGCCCTTTCCTCCTCCTTTCTTATTCTCTTCTCTTCTTTTCTTATTCTCTCAGCTTCTTTTCTCTCTCTAACTTCACGAACTGCATTGTTGATGCTCTCATCATCAATATCTTTATTTCCTAAAAATACCTGTAAGACCAACTCTCCCGCAACATCCACCTGATGTTCTTCGTACGTCCTTATTAGCTTAGAGTGGCCCATACAATGAGCTAACAGCCCTTCCACACCTACACTAGGATCTACCATTCTTAAACATAGATGCTTCGAATATGCCTCAAGAAGAAAACTCCTTCGGTCACTCTCCCGCCCCCAAATATATGCACACGCATCGCACATTATCTTCTGTGCCTTAACTATCTCTTCCTGCCTTTTTTCGGTACACAACCTTTCTCCATACTCCTTGATCTTCCATAGCATCTCCTCTTCTTTCTTCCTTTCCCCAGGCGACAGAGACCCCGATATCCTCTGCAGACGAGCCTCTGCCAAACGAGCAAGTGAATCCCCAAACCTGCCAACCATACATCTATTCCGCCTGAACACTTCCACCACTAAGTCTACAAACTTCATTCCGTCTCTCTTCTTGCCATTCTTGTACAGAGCAACGAGATCAGGCCTCCAGAAAGAGGTCGCCGAAAAAACCTTGTGCGTTAAATCAGAAATCCAATCTCCACACCCCTCCACATATACACACACCATCAAGTGCCATGCCAGCCCTGGAAGCAGCTTGATAACTCTTTCGGTATACCTTCTTTCTTCCTTCTCTATCTCCCAGTATCTCGTGACAGGCGATGCAACAACCTTACTACCATGAAAAATAACTGGAATCAGCACCTTCGTGTCAAAGCCAACAGTTCTCTCAAGAGATCTTTCCATCTCTTCCATCTTTGACCTGTCAAACCTACAATCCAAAGCCTTTTCATGCATTTCTTTCATCATCTCCATTTCTTCAGTCTCCTCGACCCGAGAGCCATGCAGCCCTCCAAGCAGCCCAAGAACACAAGCCGCCAGTACTCCCATGTTTCAAGGGTCTACACACTCCGAACACCCATCTTACCGCTCCTTTTAGGACCTTCATCCAAAAACTCCATTCACACAGTCCGCTACACAATATTGCCACCACCATTTAATATCACACAATATGTCCCAAGAGGAAATAGAACGCTTCACTGGAACCATGGAACACAACACCCTCTGAGCACTCAATCAGGCGCCAATCCTGGCCCATCAAGCTCTCCTTTACACATACGCCATCCTCTCTCCACAAACACTGCCAACACCCAAGAATCACTCTCAAGTGCCACATAGCAGGACACCGAGAGTCGCTCGCAATGGGAAACAACAATACAACCTCAGCCCACCTATGTTCTTTGCACCTTCAGCCATTATCCATCCTGTCCAGGAGAGACCATTGATGGCCTTGCCTTAGGACCGGGCATCGACCACAGTGTGCTGATCCATCCCATAAAACACTCTGCTCCCCCCAGAATCTCATGTTTCTAGCATCGCCGTCACCTCCATCGGTGCTACCCTCGCATTCACCGCCATGGGTGCAAAAAGAATAGGCTATCCTTCTTGCACCGTCGTTCTTCTCTACCTACATCCAGATCCATTTGCTACCCACCTCCTGCAATTCCACAACAGGACAAACTCACCTTGCAGACACTACCACCTCCATCTCTGTCGGCCCAACCATATCTAACAGCCATGCTCACGGTCTCCTTAGAGCCCCATGAGCCTACTTCCATTCCGTTGCAGCCTCTTCCATATCTATCCTGCTAATCCCATCCGAAGAAACACTCTTTCAATCCAAGCAGAACTCCGCCTGTTTCTCCACGGAGAGTGGCTGCTTTCCCCGTGCTTATTTCAGTTATCCCTGCCCATGCACTCACTCCACTGTGCCATCCATAGCCATCCAAATCCACTGCCTTGCTCTATCAAATCGTTACCCAACATCTTCTCAGAAGTGGACACGCTCACCCAACAGCTCCCACTGCCAGAAAACTATGAGCCGTCTCTCCCTAAAGCTCTACCATGCTATCATCGGATACCTAATCTTGCCAGTTCCTGCCAGATGTCTTTGGCATGAACCATTAGGAAACCCCGCTTATTACAACAGAGAGGGGAAAGAACCGTCTTTTCTTGATGTCTGCCTACAGACTACCACCACCCACATCCCATTTCCATATCAGCCTACCCACACACAATGCTCAAATAATAAAGCCTTCTAATTCATTTTCTATTCCCATATATTTATTATCTATAGCTCCACCAGCTCGCCGAAGTTTCTCCAGAACAGTAGGGCTCCGAATAACCTTGCTGGTGTTCCTGGAATTCCAACACGCCACCTCAAACTCATTCTCATCCTTCATTACCTCACATCGCGTGCTCCGAGGATACGAAAACCCGGACATGTCAGAGAGCCCTCCTGCCCTCTCTTCTAGCTCATCAACACCATCCTCCTTCCCAAACGAGGACCCTACATCCCCTCCCATCTCCCAGTGCCCATAGCTCTGAACATCAGGTGGCAGATCACACTCTCTCCTCCCCTGTCCCTATACAGCCTTTCTCACTTTCTTCTCTCCACCAACACCTCCTCCAGCCTCTTCCCCTCAGAAGATCCCCGTACAGAGCAGCAGGATCAAAGCCCCTTCAAAACCCTGTTCATCAAGTCCCTAATCCAATCGTTGCATCCAGCCACATGTATCTATGCCACCAAACACCATACCGATGGAGATGCTCCTTGATAACCTCCTCTACATATTCCTTCCCCTTGCCTCAGCATCTTGGCATCTCGCCCCCGGCAAGCAACAACTCTGCAGTCAGAAAATACATGGAATCAATCCCCTTGTGCCAAAGTCATGCTTCGCCAGGGGCCCCCATAAGCTAGGCCCCTTCCTGCTCCTTTTCGCACCCAAAGAAAACCCTTCCACGCCAGGATCTATTCACTATCTCAGAGAACCTGGATCCCAAATGTCCTGCCAATCTCTATTTCCCTGCAATCATCCAGAGAGCCTCACACACCCTCTGCGCCAATCTCGTCGTCCTCAGAGCTTCCACCACTCCATTCCCTTGCCCTCAGAGGCAATCCAGTGCATACTTTTGTACTTCCAAACGTGATAAGAGGCGAAGAGCCCCCTCTGGAAGACTTACAGAAACCTCCGCACCACCGAAAACAGCCCTGCCCAAAGCAATCTTGTGCCAGGAAAGGCGCCTCCGAGTCAACACAAGGGCCACTCGAGGCTCCAAAGCCCTGAGCATTAGGAAGTAGAGCTCAGGCCATGCCTATATCGTCCAGCCTCCGACCATCCTACAACTACCTCTGCACCTGCCCACTATCCAGATCCTGCTCACTGAGTCGACCCAAGAATAGCCGGGAAAAGTCTGCAGAAACACCCATCCGCCAGGGCACGCCCCTTTTACCCAACGGGACAAGTGGATCCTCTTGCCCCATACACCTTCAATCCCTTTCCCTTGGCATCTGACGTCCTGTCCAATACCCCCGTCCAATTAGACGCGCCTCCTCCATGGGATATTGTAAGCCTCCTGCTCTAACTTGCTCTCCTCCTTAACTCTTCAACTACATAAGCAGCCTCCCTCTGCATCCCTACAATGAACTTAAAGACTCTCTTCCTTCTTTGCTTCACGTCACTTGCAAACGTCCTTGCCATGGAGCTGGGATCATCATCCACCGGGGGAAGTGGAGGTGGCAGCCTAGCAAAAGAAACCAAGAACATTTTGGGAGGAGGTAGTAGTGGTAATAGCAGAACTTCTTCCACATTCGGCGGTGACGACACCGATGAGAACAGCAACGATGACTAAATGGCAGGCACAGACCGGTGGAGAGCGGCTCTTAGGCCCAGGGGCCCTCTCCATTAATGGGACAAAATCCACAAGCCATTAAATACTTCCAAAACAAATCACAATAATACTTCGTTTACTTCTCAGCCTCCGGCAGAAGCCCACGAAGGACCTCCTCTCTTATCCCCCGCATCCTCCTTCTCCACTGGATCTCGTTCCGCACCTTCTCAATGCTCAGGTTGCTTCCAGAGTGCTTGATCCCAGAAAGAAACCTTTCGACCTTCTCCACAATCAAATCCCCGCTCACATGCCGCAGCGACATGATAATCATGTTGTACAGCATCGCATTCTTGTGCACCATCAGGTACAGCTCCTCCCCATGCGACACAACATACTCGACCATCGCGTCCCGGAACGCTCCTCCCCTGCTGATGCTCCCTATCACCACTCCAATATCCTCAACACTGAACTGAGAGAGATTCCCAACCACATCAAGAAAGTTCTCCTCCCTCTTTATCCCGCTGAATCCGTTCATGACCTCCCGCCGCATCCCAGGCGTATCCCCGTTCTTGTACTTGTCCATCATGTATCCAAGATTCTCGTCGACAACTGCCTTGTACACAATCCACCGGAGCTCTCCAAGCTCCTCTCCTGCCTCCACATGCCGCCTCCACAGCTCCTGGACCTTCTCAACCGCTTCCCGGATTCCCACCTCAACCCCCACAGACAGCACATACTTGTTCATGCTGACACTCTCAACAGACGTCCCAATATCAAACACATCAATCCTCCCAACACAGGGCAAAATCATCTTCCTGACCTTCTTGTCAATCAGAGACACAATCTCTGCGTCGTCGTAGAACACACTCCTCAACCGAAGCAACTTCTCAATCCCGCTCCGAGCAACATGGTACGAGTCAGAATAGTACTCAGATATCCGCCGAAGCCCATGCTCAAGACCCCCATACAGCCCAAACCCTAGCCCAAACACATCCTCAATAACATTCACCCTGTCAACCACACTCAGGGAATCAATCCGAGACTCAAGCCCAGATAGCCCGGCAGAGTCATACAGAACCCTGTAGAACCCCCCGTACTCGGCATTCACCTTGTACACACTGCTCCTCTTCCGAACAGTCGTCTCCCGTCCCCTAAGCTCAATCCTCTCCTGCCCCTTTCCTTCCCACGATACCACAACAGGAATCGTCCACAGGCTGTCATCACTCTTCCCTAGCATCGAGTATCTGCTCTGCGACAGAACAAGAGACGACCCGCAGTCCTGCACAGACACAACAGGATACCCTGCCTGCGAAATCCATCCCTCAACCATCTCAGAAATGTCCTCTCCATACTCCTCCCCAATCGCCTTCCACAGGCTCATTGCATTCCCGTTCCCATACATGTGCTCCTTGATGTACCGCCGGATCCCAAGCATAAACACAGACTCGCCGACATACCTCTCAATCATCCGGATAACACTCGCTCCCTTGCAGTAGCTGATGCTGTCGAAAATCTCCCCAATCTCCCCGGGATCCGTCACATTCATCCGGATCTGGTGGCTCTTCCCAAGCCCGTCGTCGACCATCCCGCGCACCACATTCCACAGCACAAACTCCCCCCACACGTCCCATGAAACAACAGATCCGATGTTCTCCATCCCCTTGAACGACACCCACGTCGCAAACCCCTCGTTCAGCCACAGGTCGTCCCACCACGACATCGTCACAAGATTCCCAAACCACATGTGCCCAAGCTCGTGGCACACCGTCCCTGCCACATTCTTCATGTCCTCCACATTGCTCTTCCCAGGCACATACAGAAGGCTCTCCCTTCGGAACGTGATCAGCCCCCAGTTCTCCATCGCCCCGCTGCTAAAGTTCGGGATCCCAACCATGTCAATCTTCGCAGACCCCGCACGAGGAAACTCATATCCAACCCCAAAGTACTCCGAAAAATACTCCAGGCACCTCTTCCCAACCTCAAGCCCATACCGTCCCCACTCAACCTCAGAGCTGTCCCCGTACACACGGAGGCGCACCCCGTCCTTGCTCCAGTCCTCAATGTACGAAAGCTCGCCAACCACAAATGCAACAAGATACGTCGACATCTTGCACGTCTCCTCAAAGTACTCGATCTTCCTGTCTCCATACTCCTCCCGGAGAGACGGAATCGCCTGTGTGTTCGCCAGCACAGTAAACTTCGACCCCGCGTCAATCGAAATCTTGAACGTCGCCTTCATATCGGGCTGGTCAAAGCACGGAAACGCCCGCCGTGCATCAGTCGGCTCAAAGTGTGTGCTGTACACCTCCTTCGGCCCTCCGCTCTTGTACAGCCCCACAAGCCCATTGCTATAGTCTCCACAAAACTCCATCGTAAGATATCCAGGCCCTGCACGCAGAGAGGACGGAAACACAATCCGCACAACCTCCAACTCCTTCTCCGCCTCCCCGACAACCACACGCCCCGGAATCCGTGCGCCCTCAACAACAATCCCTGCATCCCGTATCTCAAGCTCCTTGGCATTCAGAACTATCTCGGAAACATCCTGCGAAATCATCACCCGGATCCCCACAGACCCGCAGAACCCTGCATCAAGGATCTTCACATGCAGATCATAGTGCTCGGGAACAACAACCCTGCTCAGCCTTCTTTGCTGCGACGAGTCCTTCTCGTCGGCACCCTTACTTCCAATCATGGGCAGAAGCCCTGCCATTACTTTAATCCACCTCATCCCTTTGTTTTTTCACAATACTATTCATAATAAATAATTTCCCCATGCTTGCATTGGTCGTTGCCCTTGCTAGCCACCGCGGAATAGGAAATGCCAATGCCCTTCCATGGCCACGGCCCCTGGCTGCTGACATGGCCTGGTTCAGGACACTCTCCCAGAGCATCCCGCTCATCTCCCCAGACCGCATCGCCCTTGCCCCGTCTGCATCCAATGCCGTTGTCATGGGCAGGAGGACGTGGGACTCCATCCCCTCCAGGTTCAGGCCCCTTGCCAACCGCATCAACGTCGTCCTGTCGAGAGGCCCTGCCAGAAGCACAGAAAACACCTTCTTCATCCAGACCTTCGAGGCCCTCGACTCCCTGCCCCTCCCGCCGTCGTCCATGACATTTGTGATCGGAGGGCGCGACGTCTACAGCCTTGCACTCGAGAGCGGCAGGCCCCACCTTATATTTGCCACCGAGGTCTTCGAGTCTCCCGAGTGCGACGTGTTCTTCCCCCACATCGACTGGGCATCCTACGAAAAGCGAGACATCACCCGGGACGTCTCCAGGCTCATAGACCGCACACTCGCGAGTGCCTTCTACAGCCCCGAGACGGCCACCTTTACAGAGAACGGGACCTCCTTCAAGATGTTTCTCTACACTAAACCGGAGACCCGCTAGACCTGCCATATATAACCCCTGCCCATGCCTGCCAAATGCCCCAGGACCCGCGCCACCCAGAGCACCAGTATCTTGACCTGGTGAAGCACATACTGGAAAACGGCGCCAGAAGGATGGACAGGACAGGCACGGGAACGCTGTCCGTCTTCGGAGCAACAATGAGGTTTTCCCTCGAAGACAACACCTTCCCGCTGCTGACGACAAGGAGGGTCTTCTACAGAGGCGTTGTCGAGGAGCTCCTGTTCTTCCTGAGAGGCGAGACAGACTCGAAGGTCCTTGAGAAGAAAGGAGTCCGGATCTGGGAAAAGAACGGGGCCAAGCAGTTCCTGCAGTCCGTGGGGATAGACAGGGAGGAGGGCGACCTCGGCCCGATATACGGCTTCCAGTGGAGGCACTTCGGCGCCCGGTACGAGACATCGGCCTCGAGCTACGAGGGCAAGGGGGTCGACCAGATCGCGAGCGCCATCGCAGCAATCAGGGCCAACCCCGCCAGCAGGAGGATTGTTGTGAGTGCATGGAACCCCACAGACCTCGGGAGCATGGCCCTTCCCCCGTGCCACGTGCTCTTCCAGTTCAACGTGACGGACGGGAAGCTCAGCTGTGCAATGTACCAGAGGTCTGGAGACATGGGCCTGGGCGTTCCCTTCAACATTGCCTCGTACTCGCTGCTCACAATACTCGTGGCGCATCTGACAGGCCTGCAGCCCGGGGAGTTTGTTCACTTTCTGGGCGACGCCCACGTGTATCTGGACCACGTCGACTCTCTTCGGCAGCAGATCCAGAGACCCCCGAGAGCATTTCCAAAGCTCTTTGTCAGCCCAAAGGGGCCGAGAACAGAGCCGGAGCACTTCCAGTACGAGGACTTCGAGCTTGTGGGATACGACCCGCACCCTGCAATCAAGATGAACATGAGTGCTTGAGGACCCGACGGTTCCCTCCAAGATATTTAATCTTCTGGAGGGGAGGAGGCATGACAGATGCAAGAGAAAAGGGCTTCTGGACAGGCCCGCTGGAGATGGCAGACCCCGAGCTCCATGCCCTGATCTGCGGAGAGGTCGAGAGGCAGAAGAAGACAATAAACCTGATAGCAAGCGAGAACTATGCGCATCAGAGCGCGATGGAGGCCTGTGGGTCTGTCCTCACCAACAAGTATTCAGAAGGCAGGGTGGGAGAGCGATACTACGGGGGGACGCACTGGGTCGACAGGATCGAGCTCCTCTGCCAGAAGAGGGCTCTCGAGCTCTTCGGGCTGGATCCTGACGTCTGGGGCGTCAATGTCCAGCCATACTCGGGGAGCCCAGCCAACTTTGCAATCTACACGGCCGTTGTCCCTCCGGGCGGGAGGATCATGGGCCTTGACCTGCCGTCTGGAGGACACCTGACCCATGGATACAAGACGAAGACCAGGAAGATATCTGCCTCAAGCGTCTACTTCGACTCAAGGCCATACACAGTGGGGAGCAACGGCCTCATCGACTACGAGGGCCTCGAGAAGACCTTCACGGACTTTCTGCCGCACATCCTGATCTGCGGATACAGCGCATACTCCAGAGACATCGACTACAAGAGGCTGCAGTCGATAGCCGGCAGGAACGGTGCCTTTCTGTTTGCAGACATCTCGCACATCTCGCCGCTGGTTGCGTCTGGGCTGATGAACAGCCCGTTCGAGCACTGCGACATTGTCATGACGACAACGCAGAAGGGGCTCCGGGGACCTCGAGGGGCGCTCATCTTCTACAGGAGGGCCGTGACAAAGAATGGGGAGACTGTGGATCTGGATGCCCGGATCAACTTTGCCGTGTTTCCGATGCTGCAGGGAGGCCCCCACAACCACACGATTGCAGGGATTGCCTCTGCACTTCTCCATGCAGGAACTCCCGAGTTTGCGGAGTACACAAGGCGCGTGGTGGAGAACTCGAGGGAGCTGTGCAGCCGCTTGCAGTCTCTGGGCCTTGACATCCTGACGGGGGGAACGGACAACCACATGCTCCTTGTGGATCTCCGGAGCACGGGTGTCGACGGGGCGGCTGTGGAGCACATGTGCGATGCCCTGGGCATCAGCCTGAACAGAAACGCCATTGTCGGAAACTCCAGCCCGCTGAGCCCGTCTGGAATACGTGTGGGCACATATGCAGTCACTGCCAGGGGATTTGGCCCCGAGGAGATGAGGGAGGTTGGAGACATAATCGGCGGGGTAGTCAAGCTCTGCAGGGAGATGACGGGCGGCAGGAAGATGTCGAAGGCCGATCTCCACAGAGTGACGTCCGATGCCCGGGTCATGGGCAGCGAGCAGGTTTTAGTGCTGAGAAGAAGAGTGTGTGCCCTGGCAGAGGCATATCCCATCTACGAATGATTTATTAAACGGCTTTTCCCTCCTACCAAATGCCAGGCATTTAAAGGCTGCCCCTGCCTTGCACCAAAGACAATGAGGCGAATGGACCGCTGGACGGTTTGCAGGAGGCTGGCCTCCATGGCAAGGCCTGTGTCCTTCCTCGAGGCGGCACTCATGGCGGTTGTTGCTGCGTGTATCGTCCTCGGGAAGTGGTTTGATGTGATGTCGATCAAGAGGCGAGGGCTGATCATCAACGGCCTCAAGGACATTAAAGGCATGGGCAGTGCAAATGTGTCTTCCATCTACGGCGATGCAGCAGCCTTCCTCGTGCTCAGAACGCTCTCCTCTGCATTCACAGAGTCAAAGGCCATCCTCTTTTCGGCAGTGACAAATAGGGTCGTCCAGGCATCCACCTCCCGCATCCTCGATCTTACAATGCACGCCGCACACTCCTGCGAGATAAAGCCGACAGAGCTCAACCGGATTGTGGAGAGGGGAAACAGGAAGATCTCCAAGGTTCTTGTGAAGACACTCACCGTTGCCACCCCCGCACTCTTCAGGCTTGCTCTTCTGTTCCGGGAGGTCCATGCAATGTTTGGGCCCAAGTACCTGGTCCCAATCCTCTTTACTGCTGCAGCCTATGCAGCATACACCTGTGTGATGCTGAGGATCCGCGCCCGGTACAGAAAGGAGATCAACAATGCGGACAACTCTGTCTCCAGGAGGATCCACGAGTGTGTCTCGAATGTCGACCTTGTCAGGGCATGCTGCAGCGAGCAGTTTGAGGTGTCGAGGCTTGCAGGCGAGATGGAGACGATGTGGGCCCTCAAGCTCTCTGACAAGGGATGTGTGGGGATGACCAATCTCGGGCAGAGGGCCCTGTTCAGCGTGCTCTTTGTCCATGTTGCCTTCAAGGGCATTGCAGACATGGCTGCATTGCGGATGACGGTTGGCGACCTCAGCGTGCTCTTCTCCTTTGTGCTTTCGATCGACGCCTCCATGTGGACGCTTGGCGGCATTGCAAGGGACCTCGGGTTCTGGCTGACGGACTGCACGGATCTGCTCTGCCTCCACGACGGCCTGGAGAGGGCTGCCGAGCAAGGCCCCGGGGCAGGTGCGGCGGCTGAAGGCATGGCTGCGTGCCCCTCCTCTCCGCCCGGCGAGGCTGCTGCCGTTGAGTTTGACGATGTCAGCTTCGCATACCCAAGGTCGGCCGCATACCCAAGGTCGGCACACGTCCTCTCTGGCGTGTCCTTCCGGATCATGCGCGGAGAGCGTGTCGGGATAATCGGGAGGCCTGGGAGCGGGAAGAGCACCATCCTGAGGCTGATTCTGATGCTCCACAGACACAAGGGCCGCATCCGAGTCAACGGGGCTGAGCTCTGGAGTGCATCTCCAAGGGCGGTGAGAGGCTCGATTGGGTGCATCCTCCAGGACGGGCTTCTCTTTGACGAGAGCATTCTCTACAACGTGATGTATGGATGCCCGCGGGCTGGATTCCACAGGGTGCTGCGGGAGTGCAAGAATGCCGGGCTGTCCGACGTTGTCAGGAGGAAGGGGCTGCACTCTCGGATGAAGGCGCTGAGCGGAGGGGAGATGCAGATGGTCTCGCTTGCAAGGTGCTTCCTCAAGGACGCCCCGCTGATGCTGCTCGACGAGGCAACCTCGAAGCTGGATGCAGAGACCGAGAGGGATGTGTTTGGGTTGATGATGGGGATGAGGGGCAAGACAATTGTCATGGTGCTCCACGACCTCTGGATGACCGAGCACCTGGACAGGGTCATTCTTGTCGACTCTGGAACCGTGAAGGAGGTTGGGACCCACTCCGAGCTGATGGGGCTCCGGGGGATGTACTGGAGGATGAAGACGGCCTCGAGGGAATGAATTTCCGTGGGGCGGCGGGGGTCGCAAAGGACGGGGCTGGGACCCTGGGCGATGGAATCTGATGTTTGCAGGCTCCTGGACGAGATCCAACGCGACATTGACGAGGAGCACCTGGTCTTTGCAAGAAGGGACTTTGAGTGCAAGCTAGAGCACCACAAGGCGATCAGGCCGCTGCTGCTTCGGAGGGACTCGGTTATCAGCGAGGCTCTTCTGGAAATGTACTGGGGGCGTGCGCTTGCCGGGTTTGATGCTGCGCGCGGGATACTTCCTCGGGACGGGTGCGACCGGACCAGCACACAGTGGATGAGGTCTCTGGTGGCCGAGTACCTTGACGGATATGGATACCGGGTGCACATTGAGCTGAACGAGAACGAGTTTGTGTCGAACAGGACGCTGACGAAGAGGGTGGATCTTTCTCTTGCCTCTGTTGAGAAGACAGGGGTGGTGTGGAGAGGCAACCGGAGATACCCTGTGTTTGAGTTTTTTGAGAGCGACACACAGGACCTCGATATGTTTGACATTCTCTACGAGCTGTATGTCAACTCAGCCTCCTACTTCCTGATGTCTTCCCGAAGTCACCCCATGCCTTGATTAATTAAAATGGTTTACAAAGCTTCATTATTCCAACTCTCACTTCATGTATGGAGACTTCACCCCCTCCATTTACTACACCTCTTGCGATAAAAAGTGAAAGAATTTAATTTTCACGGAATTGAAAGTAGTTGATGATGTCCTGGAAATCTAACTTTAAATCCATAAAGAGCGGATATTGCAATTAGAGCAGTTACAAACTGCAATCGGCTGTACGCACTCTTATATTTCTCTGAGTTATGCCGCAGGTGCTGTAAAAACAGCTCCTTTAAAAGCAGAAAGCCTCCCAAGCCAATCCCACAAACCATGCAAGTATAAGGCATTATATCCTCTCTATCTTGAACGTATGCTACAATCATAGAAACAACTAGGACGACTTGAATAGTTACGTGGACCAATGCTTCAACTTCACAGCTTACGAAAGATGACCTAGGCAGAAGCTGTAGGGAATTAAATATTACATAAACCAAGGCCACGGACGGACTTTCCTCTCCCAAAAACTTCCCGAAGCCCTTTCCTCCTTTTTCGGTAGTAGTTAGAAATATGAACATGGGAATTAATAGAAAGAGATAAACTGAACAGAAGAAGAGGACGCCCCAATAAAGAAGACGAGACTTTCCTTCAGACTCTCTAAGGTTTTTTTTCCATATTCTTACTATCCAATACGCTGCCACAGACATTGTAAACGAAAGCTGTGCCAATGCTTCTACAGCAATAACCAGAACACGTCCTTTTTTTTCTATACCAAAAGACCAGAGCACTGTAAAGACCACCATAGACACTACATAAATAGAATTTATGATTATGCTAAATTCATTTTTCTGAGTCTTCAGTATTTTTTCTTCCATTAACCCCATTCAAAAGCAATTCTTATGAGTCCTGGCCTTCTGTCCTATAAACTACCTTGAAGTGCATTGAACCTAAGACAACCAACAGCAGGCGTTGATCCCCTGGAGAAGGAGATACTGAACCACAAATGAATATCAAGGCAGACACACAAGCCCGACCTGCCTCAACGTGATGATGGATACTAAGCATTGGAAGCACGTCTAAGAAATTTGTTTTATTCTTCAATGAAAAGAACACCTCTTGGATAAAGCCCGGGGATTTCTGATATCTTTTTTGTGCTTCTCTCTACGGGCGTCACATGGTTCATCTTGAACAGATTGAATCTCTTCTTATTAAGTTTTGCTTCGATTCTTCTGAAAAGATCCTCGATGGTATCATTTTTGGAGAATCCCAGTATTAGGGAGGTTCCGTCCCCGACCCATAGCTTTATTTTACAGTCAGAAATGTCCTCGCTCTTTTCAACATTTGTGCTCATCAGCCTCTCGTCTTCAAGTCTTTCCTTTTCGAGTTTTTCTGCCATATCTGCCTTGATTTGGTTTATAAGCTGTTCTCTGTAGAGCTTTTCCTTCATCAGCTCTTCCTTTCTCCTCTTTTCAAGGTCCATTGCTTCTTTTGACGCCTTGTTATTATTCACTTTTTTGGCCTGCTTGACACCCCCGTGAGCTCTGTTTTGGCTGGAGCTTATAATGAAGTTGACCAGGATGTCGATGTCTCTGGATCCGGTCCCCTTCATGGCATTCTGGACCTCTTCTCTTGTGAATCCGCTCTGGACTAGATACTTCACCACTTCCTCGTCACTTGTTTCGGTTTTGTTTCCTCCTTCCATTCTGGGGATACTTCTTGAAGGTCTTATAAGGCTTCATAAAAGAAACAAATTCGATTAAAAATGATTATATGGATCAGATTTATTCTCCTACCTTACTCCTGATCCCACAGCTTTCCCTCTGCTCCCCTACAAGCTTTGAACGATGTCTCTAGCAATATTTTCTGTGCTTCTTCAATATTTGAGTCATCTCCCCTCCATGTTTCTAGAACTCCATCTGTCAACGCCCTCGCAAAGCTAAAGCTCAAGCTCCATGTTCTGCATCCTCTTTCCATGTTTATTGCATTGAGAAAGCCTATTGCATCTTCCGAGCCATGTCCACCACTCAGAAAAACGATGCCTGGAATTCCACAGGGAATGGTTGAGAGAAGAGCCCTGAGTGTGAAGGTGGCAACCTTCTTTGGCGTATATTTTTCGTTGCTAAGTTGTCCGGACGTGACATAGCTTGCCTTAATGAGTACTCCTGGGATGTAAACCAATTCGTAGTTTAAGTACTTCATTAGAGTGCTTAATATCTGCCTGGTTACCTCGTATGATCTCTTCATGCTGTAGTCCCCTTCAAGAAATACCTCAGGCTCCACAATCGGGACAAGCCCATTCTTCTGGCATATTATTGCGTATTTTGCCAGGATGGAACAGTTTTCGTTGATGCAGTCTTCCGAGGGAATTCCGTCGTAGAAGTAGAACAGAGACCTCCACTTGGCAAATGTGGCGTCTTTGAATGCCGACGACTTGCACCTTAGGTCCAAGTCCTCAAGCCCTACAGAGATCTTTTCCTTTTCCTTGTAGTCTATCAGCCCTTTATCGAGCTTTATGCCTATTTCGATGCCCTTTTTCTTTAGCAGCTCTGTTAGTGGCACTCCACTTCCACTTGTCTGCTCGAATGTTTCTTGATTTAGGATAACCCCGCCAATGTACCTTTCAATTCCCTTAGTGCTAAATAGTATTTCTCTGAACTTCCTTCTATTCTCTTCGGTATTCGTGATCCCAAGCTTTTCAAATCTTCTGCCCAACGTCTTTGGGGTTTCATCGGCCGCGAGAATCCCTTTCCCGTTTTCCAATATCTTTTTTGCAGTCATTCCAAGCCTTAAAAGATGATCACAGTCCATCATTTCGAAGATGCTTCCGGAGTGGTTGATGGAGGATATAAAACTATTCTCCACTTCAACATCCAATCTTCTTTCAAGTCTTTTCCTGGGTCATTGGACCCATGCAAAAATCCCTGTCCAATGAATCACTTAGTCTTTTAGTTCTATCAAATGCTTTTTAATTACAATCTCTTGTGGCGGAAAGTACCTGATTAATAAAGCCCGGCGCTTACCCTAGTATGCACTTCAACATATTTGTAGAAGGAGAATTCAACAATGTCAAGGGAGTTTTCATTGATCAGTCGTATCCACTGAGGATTCAATGCACTAACTGCGGGTCACCCCACGAGAAGTCTGTTGTGTTATCTGAAGACAGCGTTGGAGAGGGAGACTTTGGAGAAAAAGTCAACCTGAGTATCACTTGCCGATGCTGCAGAAGAATTATGACACTGAAAATTTTGAAGTTGAAGGAGGGAAGGGAGGTAAAGAAGCATCTACTTCCCACAAACTTTGAGGATGAGTTCAAAGAAGTGTGGCTTTCAGATATGCAGAAAAGTAGGTTTTTAGTATCTAGGATCGAAACCAACGGGGCTGAGGTGACGTCCATCGAGTCCTGCATCCTTAACCTAGTTTCCAACCAGGATGTGCTGTTTACAAACGTGAACTTCGAAGATAGAACAGTAGCAAAGTGCAACAACCTCAATATGATATCTTCGATTATCGACTTTTCTCTCACTGTTGAGCTGGCTAAATAAAGCTTTTCTCTAGGTTTTTATTTTTCTTTCTTGCTTCCTAGCTTCCCGGAACAAATATTCTGAATATGGTTATTGAGTACACACCAAACGATATTTGTGCAAAGTACTTTTCCTCGAATGTGCAGCTTCCTGCAAAGTGGCCTCCAGCAAACACACACCAGCCCTTTCCAAACTTGCTGTCAAGCATGCTCTTTAGAGTCTCGCATATCTTTGTTGGGGGAGTCTCGTCAGTGAATGTTGCTAAAGAAAGCATTATCTGGCTCTTTATTTGCTCGTCCAGTGCTTCTCTCTGCTCGAAGACGGGTTCTATTACCTTTGGCCCAGCCACAATACCTCCACTCCGGCTTCCCTGCGCGGTTGTCTTGGAGGTTTTCTCGGAATCCCGGGAGCTGCTATCACTTGTATCTTCCCTTTTCGAACTCTTCATACTCATTGCCTACCTGCCTCTGCCGTTTATGTTTAACGGTGGAAAGTAACCAATGCCCATAGCTCACGCTAACCAATGTGGAAACTCTTCAAGTTATAGCGAACGCAACCAATCAGATTCCTGTTTCTCCCAGAAAATCCAGTGGCAGAGTGGTACGGGATCCTGCTTTGTTTCTGAGTTGGATCGCCCGCTTTTCTTAGGCCTTCTCCTTAGTCATCCCCTCAATCACATATATTTAAATAATGCATCAAAAATAGACCCTGATGCTTCCAAATGAGATCGATCCATATGAATTCAAGTTCTTCATAAAAGACATACTGCCTCTGTCAGAAACATACAGATTGTTTAGGAACTCGAAGCTGCTGAAGGCAAGGGAAACTGTAAAGGCCATTTCGAAGACAAACCAAGGGCTGATTGTTCTAATCCACAAGCCCAGAGAGACGATAGTATATACACCAGAAAACAAGATAACTTACTTCACAAAGAAAAGAAAGAATATGGCACCGAAGAATGCAGTTACCCGGTTTCTGAAGGCAAAAATGATCGACTTTGTTATCCTAAGATTCGGGGGATTCTACTGTTGCCTATCCAGATGGGATAAGGACATCTGCAGCTTTTGTATTGTGGCATGCATAGGCGGAAGAGCAACAGAAAAAGCGCTTCTGAATCCCTCGGAAATATTAGGGGAGGTGGAGGAGACTCCTCCCATTGCCGGAAAAGGAGTGTTCAAGTTCAAGGATTTGGACTTTTTCAGTGATCCAAAAGCGTGCACGGATCCTTCCCTCGAAGCCAATGACAGCTCTGTCTCTGAAACTCTCTCCAGCATCAATGATGTGAGGGTGAATCCTATTGATTTTTCCCAGGAGAAAGACGACTTGAAATGTGCAAAGGAAGACAGCACTCTCAGCAACGTAAATGCAGTTCCTGGTGAAAAGAAGGGAAGCAAGAACTGTCTTATCGAGATAACGTCTGGAAACACCGAAAACGCTTCTTCAAAGCCGTACAAGGAGGTCAAGAACGACGAGGAGGGACTGATTGACTACATAGTATCGAAGATTACCAAGCTTGTGTGTGAGGACATAAACACAGGCTGCTTACAGGAAAACAAGGGAAAAAGTAAGTCATGGAAGATAATTGAGGAAGATGAGGAAAGTGACTGCTCTAGTAAGGAGCCCGGGGATGATGTAGAGAACCAAGGCTCTTTCTGCCGCATAAGGGTTTCTGATGAAGAGCAAGGCAAGAGGAATGCTAGCTCCAGCGGCAAAAGCCAGATTGAGACCTCTAGGTGTGGCAACACTATAAAATTTGGAGTTATCGATGACGGAAAGCTAAGATGTGTCCAAAAGAGTGTTGGGTTACTGTCCATGGGGAATTTTGACAGACTAGAGGCATTTATCATCGGGATAATAGACCGCCTGAAAGAAACTAACATCGACTACATAGAGGTTTGCTCTGAAATTGACTTCTTTATTGTCAAAAAGAAGAGCTCCATTTATCTGTACATTCGAGATTTGATACACAAAAAGGAAAGAAGATTCATGGAAAGATTTAGTGAAATGTTTGGAAGGCTTGGTACAGTGGCTTGACTGAAGAAATGGTCTCGCCAGCAATGAACCCATTAAGTATTGCCCACTTTTATTTTTAAGTTTTTTGTCCATCAACTCCATCTTCTCCTACTGTCCTGATGTTGAAGGTAGATCTGAGTCTTTCTAAATCAAACGTGATTGGCTTTTTGGTAGATTTGAACTTACTCAAACGCTTGACCATTACTTTGCCTCCTTCCTTGACAATAGAGATTCTCCTTCCAATCGCATCAACGGCTTCTTCAACACTCCGAAAGTGCGTTCCTTCTATTCTGAATCTGTTTCTGGCTAAGTACTCTCTATAGACCTGGCCTATTTCCTTGTACTCGGCTATCTGTGAGATGTAGGAATGGAAATCTGCAATAAAATTACTTGTGTTTCGCTCCGTACTGGCTCTTCTATTCAACCTGCACTCCTCCTCGGCCTTTGCGTGCGAAGAAGTGGAGATATGGCACCTGTAAGCATTTTTTGTGTTGAACTTCCTCTGGCATGGAATGCAGAACATCAGCCCTGGGCTTTAGCTTAGCCTACACAATATAATATGCTGCAAACAAATGGACTTTATTTAGAGGCAGGCAGTTGCACTCAACTAGCAATAAACAGCACAAAGAACAAAAAGGAAAGGCCCGCTCCTCCAAGAATGAAATACAGCCACGATCTGAATCTTTTTGGATCTGACCTTCTTATACTTTGGATTGTAGTAAGTATTCTATTCAACGAAGATTGGAAAGAAGGTTCCAGCTGCCGCAGCTTGATGTTCTGTGCCTCTATTTCCTTCGTCAAGTCTATTGCAACATTCTTCAAGGTCTTTAGTCTCGCCGTGAAAACTTGTCCCTCATCTTCGTCGTAGTCGCTTTTCATGAATAAGAGGTGGGGATAAGAAAATAGGCAATTAACAAATAGGAAGGTCACACTGACCGGCGATAAAAATTGATAAGACCCGGAGCTCACTGAAGGCCACTAGATTCAGTAGGTCGATGAAATAATTTTAATCCTAAAGCTTCCTGGACCCAACCCTATATCCAGTGCGTCTAGCTCCAACAAGACCAATCTTCTGTTCTTGAGAAATATCCTTCTTCGAAACGGTGGTGGGCTTGCCAACATGCTGATGGTTGCCTCCTCCATGAATATGCTCAACGGGATTCATTGCTACACCTCTGACTCTTGGAAAGACATGGCCGCGGGCCTTTGCCTTGTAGTGAGCTACAGATGCCTTGAGAAGGGGCTTGTCGTGGATACCTCCTCCTGCAACCACACCTACAATGCACCTACACTCACTGCTCACAGTCAGCTTCTTTCCAGATGGTATCTTTATCACCGTTTCATTGGTTTCCTTCCTGTGATTCACCACGAGAGAATAGCTCCCATTCACCATGGCAAAAGTGCCTCCATCTCCATACACGCTTTCAACAGAGTTGACTGCCATTCCCTCAGGCACATTCTTGATTTTTGTGATGTTTCCTATGTCAATCGGCGCATCATCCCCAATGAGAATCTTCTGTCCGGTGTACATCCCCTCAGAAGCTGGAACCATGCAATCGTCCTCCTTAAAGCTTATAATCGCCACGGGCGCCCCTCTGCTCCTCTCGTGAACTATGTCAATCACCTCACCCTCCTCCACCTGGGGAATAATGGGATAGCTCAGACAGACCTTGACAATAGGCTGCCTTTGCTTCTTCTTCGCCTCTCTAGTTCTTCTTGTAATCTTACCCATTTCAGGGCTCAAAAATCATGCAAGTTTTAAAAGATGAGTTCAAAAAAATTTCAAGCAACTATGGTCATCGAGAGCTATATCTCGAGGGCTTCACGCCAGAGCAAATCTACTACCAGATGGAAGATCTGTGCAACGCCATTCTCCAGAGGTCTGAAAAGCTTATCAGCGAGCTTCATCCTAAATATGAAAAACTACCATCCCGGAAAGAAAGAAAAATTTGCAGTGAAAAAAGTCTGATGGATGTGGAGAGCGAAGCTATTCCGAACCAAGATGAAATTTCGTCAGGAAGCGTTCACGCAGAGGAAATGGGTGTAGCGGAAGAATCGGACGGAGAGGATGATGAGTCTCTGGAGTCTAGGGACTTTGACATCTCTGAAAACGAGATCTTTCAAATGCCAGCCAGTGATGCGATCAAACTCCTGGAGTCGAGAGTTAGAAGATCCGAGGAATATTCCTCAGATGGCTCTGGGTCAGACTCTGAGGCCGGGAATCAGGAGCAATAAAGACAAAGTCACCATAAAAACGATACAGATTCTTCAAGAGGTAATTCCAATTCCGGCTTGTTTAATGATAAGGTAGTCCAAAAGTACATCGGCATGTTCCCTCAATTGTTTTTTAGGACAGTGACATTCTTGATTCCATCGAGCGATTTAGCTCCGGGCTTCTTTCTAGAAGCCAAGGGCTTTTCCGTTTCCCTGACCATTCTTATCTCACTATCAGGGACAAATCCATTATTTCCAAAGTCGACAATCTGCATAAGATCCCCTTCAATTTCGTTGTAAAGAGCAAGGATGTCATTGGACTCCAAGTCACCAACCTCGGGAATTTCATCTGCAATATCAACCTCCTCCCTAATGTTGTATGCATGGTTGTCAAATGTTCCTTCTCGGATTCTCTGCAAAGTAATCTTCTCTACTTCATCGTCCTGCTTCGACGAAAATGGAATAAGCGGAGGCCCTTGCTTAAAGTCTATTTCCTCCTGGGCCAGTAAACTGTTCTTCGGCCTCTTTCTGGCGCTCACTTCTCCGGCATATTTCCACTCCTTTGGCTTGACCAGAAGTTTTTCTATCTCCTCAATTTTCTCGTCCATATTAACGGCTCGCTCCACAAGCTTTTTATAAGCAGCTCAATAAGCTGGCGCGGCATGCATATCTCATCCTTTCGCTCCTGTCTACAACAACTTCTTAGCAATGCACTGCTCCTCACATCCAAAAAAGTCATCCAGATACCTGCATATATAGCTAACTCCACAGTCCTCCGTTCCGGGCGTGTATGTCGGGCAGCATATAAAGTTCTGGTTGTGGATCGACTTGTCGATGCTGTCATCAACAAGAATGCACTTCCCAACATCGATGTTGTGGTTTCTTGCCACAACCTCGAGATCCTTAACCCACAAGTCGCATTTAGATTCAAGCTTTACCTTTCCAACCTTGCAGTCAAGCTGAGAATACCAGCCCAGAAACCCGTCGAGGCCGATAGATTCCAGATGCTTGACAAGGCGTACTGCATTTTGGCTCATACCAGTTGTCCACAACACATACCCGGCATCGTGGACTCGAAGAAACTCTGCTAGCAAATCCAAGTGAGGACGGTCGTAAACAAAGTACTCTCCAAACTTGAAATCAGCCTTTATGCCCATAGCGGCAAGAGTCCGGTATTCGCTCTTGGCCTTGTGGTATTTCCTCGCCAAAGTTCCGCTTATGTCGAAAACTACTAAGAACTTCATGGTCTCAGGGTGGAAAATCAAAGTATTAATCCAGATCCCCCTTCTGCATCGAAGGGAGGTCTCTTAAACACCATTCTAAAAACAATCAAAATTTAATTTTGTGCAGGCCTGCCAGAAGGAAATAGTGCCTCGAACTTCTTCACTATAAAGTCCTCACTAACTCCAAACCTCTCCCCAGCAGAAGCAAGGCCTTTGGCCAGTATCTCACCTCGCAACTCCGATAATGTCTTGGCGTTCCAGTTCTTTGGAAGCATCCCTCTTTTGGGCTGGGGAATCTTTGTCATAGATTCCAGACTATTGAACCAGCTCATCCTATCGAGACACTCTATTTCTGAGCTGCTAAGCTTATGTCTTTTCGCTTCCCCCAGTATCCTATTGATGGTCTCCTCCAGTCCTTCTATATCCTTGTCTCCTAGAAACTCAACTATACTTTCTCGGTTGTCATCGGTTACTCTTCCAAATATCATTATGGCCTTGTGGAATAGGTTGTCGTCTTCGCGAACCTCTTTCTTTCTACTCAGCGTGGAAACTATCTTTCTAATGCGCTGGTTCATATCGTCCACGCTTTTGTTCCTAATCGTTTCAGGATAGCAGTCGTATCCATACTTCAGCGTTAGACTGACAAGCGCCCTGTCATCATCGCTGGTCCAGCCCCTGACCTTCTCAACAGCAAGATCTTCTGTCTTCAGCAGGGAATTCAAGATCATCACCACTTGGATCCGCAGGAGAAACCTCTCTCCATACTTCTTGTAGACGCTCCCGAACTTCGAAAACAACGAAGGATCGTAGTTGTCAACAAGAAACTCTTCTATTCCGTCGGAAAAGTCCGATCTGACCTTTGTGCTTTGGAATTGGTCGACCGTATATTTCACAAGGTACCTGAAATATGCATCCGTATCCTTGAAACGAGGCGACTGGGGCAATATATGGGCCTTTTCCACCCCGTCCTTCAAGTCCTCATGCGTTAATGAAGGAATCTCAAGGCCAACAGATCTAGGCCCAAACCTGAGGACCCCAAGAAATATAAGTAGGCACTGGTTTTCGTAAAATACATTTTCATCCTCGCTTTCAAGCTTTGTGTTCAGCAGCTCATCAATCTCGGAAATGTCCTCAGAGGACAACCCGCCTTCCCTGGCAAGCCTTCGCATTTGCCTCCTAATCCTACCCTCACTCTCCTCGCTTTTTCTTTTGCTGAGAAGATTCTCCCAGAAGTCAGGATCATCAATCTCCTCTTCAACCTGAAAGGATGCCTTTGAAAACACATTTCCCCCATCAGAATGCTTTACAATCTTCGTTCTTCTTTCAAGAATTTGGTCGATGTCCTCCTCACAGAACTTCCTGCTCGATGCATCGTCCGTTTCCATAAGGACCCCATATGCTCCTTTCCGAAGAAGAGTTTCTATTGCATCCTTCTTCCTGGTCTTTTCGCTCTTCTGCTCCTCAAATGTCATCTTTTGCAGCACCGCCCTGTCAAGCCCCAGCTTCAACCCTGCCTTGTCAAACATCTCTCTTTCATATGTATTCTCCGTCACCAGCCTATACACTTTCACTTCGCTGGTCTGCCCAATTCTATGGCATCTAGCTTGCGCCTGGAGGTCATTCTGAGGATTCCAGTCAGAGTCAAAAATAATCACTGTGTCAGCCGCAGTCAGGTTTATCCCCACTCCTCCGGCACGGGTGCTCAGAAGAAACACAAAAACATCACTTGTCTTGTCGCTAAACCTGTCGATCGCAGCCTGTCTGTTCTCCGTCCTGGCTCCCCCATCAATCCTTTCGTACTTATACTTTCTGTATGCAAGATACTCTGCAAGAAGGTCTAGGCACCGGGTCATCTGCGAAAATATAAGCACCTTGTGTCCATCCTTCAGCTTTCCAAGGAGCTTGTCCAGAAGCACAAGCTTTCCACTGCTCTGGATAAATATTTTGTAATACTCATCAATATCGCTTATCACACTATTTCCGTCCTGGTGCTCATCCTCATTCAACACCTCAGAAGTCAGGGTAATGTCGTTCTCCGCCCCCTCGGCCTTACTCCTCTCCCTCTTCTTCTTGAGATATCCGCTGAGTATCTGCTCCTCCGCCCCCTTGATGAGATACGGGTGTATACAGCACTTCCGAAGCTCCATCATCACATTCAGCAGGTTCGGTGCAGATTCCTTTCCTCCCTTCGTTAGAAACTCAATGTTCTTCTCAAGTATTGCCCTGTAGAACCTCTTCTGGATCATCGTCAGCGCAACCTCGATAATCGTCTCCTCCTTCGTCGGGATTGACTTCTCGACATCTTCTTTCATCCTTCGAAGCATTAAGGGCCTCAGCAGCCCCTGGAGCTTCTCAACATCGTTGATATTTTCCATCTTGAACTCCCCGAGAAAGTGGGGAAGACTCGAAAACCGCATCGGGTCAATAAAGTTTAGCAGAGACCAGAGCTCAGAAATGTTGTTCTGGAGAGGAGTTCCACTTAACAGCACCTTGTGGTTGAACTTCAGCGTCCTCAGGATAGTGGCTGCCTTGGATTTTGCATTCTTCAGTCGATGTGCCTCATCAAATATCCCAACAGAAAAGTGGAACTGGCTCAGATGCTCCTGCTCAGCCATGACTGTGTCATATGTCGTAATCAGCACGTCAAATAATCTAATCTCGAGATTGTTTTTCTTTAATACAAACTCATACTCAGCTATCAATGCTCTTCCAGGTCGATTCTCATGGTACTTCAGCACTCTCAGGTCTGTCCAGGCCTCAAACTCCCTTTCCCAATGCGGAATAATGCTAAGAGGCGTCACAACAAGCACAGGCGCACAGTAGTCGTATTTGGTAAAAAGAGTATTGATAAACGTCACACTCTGTACGGTCTTTCCTAGCCCCATCTCATCTGCCATGATACAGCTCTGTTTATAGTACCACCTATTCAGCAGCCAATTGAGCCCTTCAAGCTGGTACTCCCTAAGCCTGTTTCCTCCCTTGAACACAGGAGACTCCTCGTACTTAATAAAGTTCTCTCGGGGTGGTCTCCAATCAATCCCTACCCTCATATTCCTTATCTTCTTTCTATCTCTGTACTTCTTCAGTTCCTCCTCAAATCCCTCGCACTTCGTCACACTCTCTGCAGTTTCAAAGGTCGATAGCTCATAGGCCTGGCCCCTCCACTTCACCAAAAACACCTTCTCTCCATCATAGTCCTCGTGAAGTATTCTATCCACTTTCACGAAATCGGGATTGAAGGGAACCTCCGTCGCTCGGAACTTCTTCACTTTCATCGCCCCAACCTTCGAGGCCATAATCTCAGATTTTGGAACCCAGTCGCAGTGGAGATAGCTCTTATGCTTGAACTTGACAAAGTACCTTTCGCTCTCGGAGTCATATTTCAGCAGCTTCTCGATTCCGTCCTCAGATTCCTCGTTGTAAGAGTCCGAGCTGCTTTCAGACTCGGGAGCCGATGCTCTTCTGACAACCGCTGCATTCCTCTTTTGCCTTCTCTCCGGAATGTAAACGCTTCTTCCCTCGTTTTTCTCTCGATATCCATCCATCTCTCTTGTCCTCGTCTCCTCTCCTTGAAGAGGAGCACTCGGCCCATATCCATGCCCATATCCAAACCCATGGCTGAAGTTGAAGGTGTTGTAAAACCCATGCTGGACCCCGGGAACAAACCCGTGCGGAATCCCAGGTCCTATTGTTGGTGCATATTGATATCCAAGAGGCGCTTGATAGAGCATGGGGTTGAAATGGCTCTGCGCCTGCCTGGAGTTGTCGTTCTTGCGTGGCCTTCCCCTCTTTCTGGGCATTACCTTCTTTTCACTGGATTCCGAGCTGCTGGTGACGGAACTTGCAGTACTCTCACTTTCTGAATCCATGTTTTGGGGCCCTGTTTTTTTGCTTTTAAAAATTTGCCTGCTGCACTAGAGAACCTCTTTAAGGTTCTAAACACCTCCATACATCTTGTTCTAAGCACCTTCAACAACTTCTCATCGCCGTCTTCCTTTCTTCCCAAACAACAGATTTCCAAAATCCTAAGTTCCCGCCAGCCCAGGTCTCTTTGCCAGAGGTTTTTATATCCAGTCTGAGTATCCCTGTGTTCCAAGCTCTAGAGCTATCCTAACCAGACTCTTCTGCATCTAACATGTCCTACCAAAATTAATCAATAAATTAAAAGCGACTCCCATCGTAAAAAAGCTTAAAAAGAAGTAGAGCCAATTCCATAACTTAAATGCAACCAAATCCTTTAATTAGAATCCTTTCTAGCAAAGAGATTCTCCTTCTCTGCCTTGTATAATGCCTTCCCTTCAAAGCACTTCTCAAGCACCTTGAGCACCTCAAGAACAAGCCTGGGCCCGATCTCCTCTAACTTTTTCCCTATTTTATAGCATCGAACCCATATAACTCCGTCAAGATAGAAAAAACACAGGGCCTTATCCTTTGTTTCGTTCGACCGAAAAATGTGCTCTATGACATCTTTGGCATACTTCAGGTGCTCTATGTCCTCAAACTCCTTGCTGAACATTAGAACATACCCACAATCCTTAAAGGAATTCACGGGGAAGTTACAGTCCCTCATCGTAGACATATTGTGCATCCTGAATAGGACAGATACTCCGTCAAGTATGCCCATCCATAGATCATCCGATCTCTTTGTGGACCGGAAAAAAAGCATGGAGTCACACTCGTTTATCGTCATGAGGCTTCGAAGCTCTCCGTAGTTCTTCCCCATGTCCCACTTCTGCTCCTCTTCAACCTTCACCAGCCTGGAAATGTCCTTCATCAGATGCCGTATCTTTACCGATGCTCCTCTTGTGCTTAGAATCACACTAGTCATAGATAGCCCTTGCAAAGATAAAAAATCATTCCGTTTTAACCTTCCCAAGACCTTCCACAAAACCACGAACTCCTAAAGCTGCTTTATTTAAGGATGGCATGCGCAATTCACTGGATATAATCATTTCTTCTCCATCTCTAGGCCCTTTTCCATCACCTCCTTAGTACTGCGCTTGACTTTGGTGATTCCAACCAATTTCTCGGTGATTATCTCCCACTTGTTCTTCTTTGCCTTTCCAAATAAGGCAAGGAGCCTTTTCAAAGTTGAGGTCTCCAGGGGCGTCCAGCTGCTTATTTTCATCATCTCCTTTATCTGCTCCTCAATACTTTTGCCTATTCTCGGATCTCTTTTCTTGGCAATCTGGACAAGTCTCTTGATTCTTAGGGCGTCCTGGTTCTTTAGTGAGGCCAGCTTCTCCCTGTTCTTCGCAGAGTATTGTGATCTATCATGCTCCTCCATACCATAAAGCTCCTCCACAGGTTCAAAGGTTCTCCACGATCTGAAGTTACTCCAAAACTCGTAGAACTCCTCAACCTTCTTGAGATCATCGCTGGGGCTTAGTAGAGGAACAGGCTGTTTGATGCTAAACTTGCTATTCCTTCGGAAGCACTCCTCAAAGACATCGAAAAACTCATCTGGCTGATAAATCCTATCTTCCGGAATGCTCTCATCAAAAAAGTTTGAGTCGTAGAATAGTCTGAGCTTCCGGTCTCCAAGGACATCTCTTGCAACCTTAACCAGCAGAAATGCTTCCCTGCATCCCTTGGTCAAGTCGGGGTGGTACTCATACATTTTCGCCTTCATGACATGCTCAAGGACGTGTGGCGGAATGGGCTTTGTCCTGTACATATCCAGATCAAGCAGGAGATACAGATCAACTCCCTTTCCCCAGTTCTTAAACTCCTCCCTCGTGTACAGATTCAGAACATTTCTTCCCTTGAAGTATTCGCTGTGGATCCGAGCAAGCTCTCCGACCGGCTTTTCAAATTTGATTATCCAGTTGGGCATCTAGGGGAGAAAATCCCAAATTTTAAGCCTTTGCTTTAGGAGGGCACATAATAAACACCATCCGACCCTATACCACTTTAGTCGACTCTTATCTATTCAGCATATCAAGTTGGTAAACGTCTTGAAGAGAGCCTTGCACTCCCCATCAGATGCGATTAATAAACTCGCCTCGTCGGTAAATAGCCCGTCAGGCTTCTTTGAACTCAGCAATGCCCTGATGTGAGGCTTTGCACAGAGTCGGATATAAATCCGCAGCGCCACTTTAATCAGCCTTGTAGATCCAAGACTAACAGCCTGTGATGCCAGTGAGTTAAACATTAGGTTTATTGCCGAAAACCTGTCGAACGTCTGGCATGCATAGTTAAGTCCGTCGTCATTCCCTATTATCAGTCCAAAGATATTTGCAGAAAGCAGTTGAGATGCCTCAGACCCTAGATCAACTATCTTGAGGAGGAGAGGGACAACCTCGGTCGTCTTCAGCTGCTTATGTATGTACTGGTCTCCATTCTGAAGTAGCGAGGCAATCACTCCCAGCGCAGAAATCCGCAGCGTCTCGTGCTTCGAGTTGGAATCAGACATCACCAGGTATCTGTATATGTAGTAGGGAAACCTGGCATCGACGAAGACTTTCTTTATCTTCGGTTCGCTAACCAGTATCTGCAGAATATTCAGAACCGTGTACAGCCGGTGACACTCTCTTTCATCGAACTTGCTTGTACTCAGGATCATGTACGGCGCAACCACCTCCTGAAGCAGGAAAATTGGCATCGAGTCGTATCTCCATATCTCCAGCGCCATCCCAGGTGACTTCTTCAGCCTCTCAAATAGCTCGTCCAGCTTACTTGTTTCCTTTGGATTGCTTACAACAGATGCACAGAGATCAGACAACCTCTGCCTCTGGGATTCATCACACTTATCATTCTTCACAGCATTTGCCATTCCTGGATGGGGATAAAACAAGAATTCCAATTTCCACTCCATCATTTCCTCTTCTTCTGCTTTGCCTCGTGGTACCTGATGATAAGCCATTTGAGCTTCTCAAACAGCAGCATGTTTCTTAGCGTGCTGTATTTTGGGCGTTTATCCATCCCTATTTCCTTCAGTGTCTTTTCATAATCACGACTCCACGTGGTTTTATTGAATCCAAGTGACGATGCAAGAAATGCATTTGGATATGTAAACTCTCTGTTTATAAGCCTCTTAACCACAGCGCTTCTGTCTTCCAGGTCATCTATGTTATAGGTGCATACCTCGTTGAAGTAGATGGACAAGACGTCGTTCCTGTCCTTCCTAATAGACTCTATGCTGTTAAGAACTTTCAAGTACTTGCGAACCACAGGGTCGCTGTGAAACTCATAATCCTGCCCGCTGCCCTTCCTTTCCATCTTCTGGGAAGGATCCGTGCAAGGAACTCATTATCTTGTCAAGAGCCCTGCTGCTAATAAAACTCCTGTTTAATTCTCCAAAACTCAACTAAAGGAGCTTATCTTCTCAATTAGCTCGGGCTCGATTCTCCTGACCACATCAGGGAACTCAAGGTACGAGTATATTAGCGCTAAGGTTCCAGATGAAAACATCGAGAGGAAACTGTAGACAAATGTAATCAGGGGGGCTCCTATGATGGCTGCCGTGACATACGAAAGATCGTTCGACTGGAAGCTGGAGTTCACAGAGAACAGCACGGCATCTCCGCATGCAATCGTCCAAACAAAGAAAAGCAGGCAGAAGAAAATCACCTTTCCCACAACCATGTTGGCGAGAAGAGTGATTCCTCTTTTCTCTCCAATCATGTTGTACGACTTGCTCATAGACTCGGTGTACTTTGTTCCATGCAGAGTGAGGTATGGAAACACCAGTTCGTTCATTACGTTCACCAGATCCCCGACAATACTCAGGAGGCACAGCAGGATTACATTTATGAAATTCCCTTCTCCTCTTTCTCTGTTTCTGTCTCTTTCTCTCTCGAGGAGAAGCTTGGCTGTATTGATTGCAGCCATGACCAGCCCTGCAAACGAGATACTCCCGAGAGCCATCAAGGCAACATAGAAGGATTGGCCGAAAGACTCCTTTCCGTCCGTTATATGGTTGATGACAATCGCAGACACAACAACCTGTGCGAAGTATACTATGTTGAAGAATGTCCAGTAGCTGTTCAGAATAAAAAGAATGGACATGACTCCTTTGCTTGCATCGTTATTCCCTAGCACTCTTAAGAACACGAAGCTCTGGACAACCTGAAGAGATACTGAGACAAGGAGCAGAAGTGTGCATCCTATGAGATTCGAGGAGAGAATCTTTGCCGTGGTTTCTATCGTTGCTGCTATTAACGGCAGCACGGGTTTAATGGCCCAGAGATAGAACATGAGGGAAACCCCAAATGATATTCCTGTGGAAAGAATGACAAGCGGATTGTATGTCAGTATTGAAAGCAGAAAGACTGTGGCTGGGGCTACAACGTTGGCAGTGAATATGAATCCCTTTGCTGCATATCTAAGGCCCAGATATGCTATCAGCAAGAACACAAGCATAAGGCCGACGTTGAGCACCAGCACTGGAAGGAAGGCCTCTTTGTCATACTGGGGGGCTTCCTTCATCTTTACCACCATCCACGATGTTGTTGCAGTCGTCAGAATGGCATACAGGACGAATGCCCATGCGTCATGGAAAGATCTGTTCTTCTTAAATTCCTCCATTTTGTTGTTTTGTTTTTTGTTGCAAATTTATATAGTGCATTTCTGATATTGCAAAGGCTGCTCAATTATTTCTGCGGCGATGGAATTGCCATTTTGGATTGATGTGCACCTATGGCCTACTAAGTAGGATTGCCTGGCTTCATTGGAGAGGCGGACCTGGATGCGGTGTTCTGATTTGACACATGCCCTCCTAGCCTCTGAGCGTTGTTGGTCTAGTGGATAGGATAACAGCCTTCCAAGCTGTTGGCCCGGGTTCGATTCCCGGACATCGCACTTTTGCCCTCCGCAGCAACTGCAACGCCGGGAAATTCCCATTTTGCCTCCCGGCTTCCCGCCTTCCTTCCAGCCTAGCCCAAACTAAGCTGCATTCTTTACCCTGAAACAAAGTACCTTGCATGGGTGATTATGATGCAATCAACGACGAGATAAAGAACTTCCTGAGCCTTACAGACAGAAGCCCATGCGAGAATGCCCTCTCTGCCAAGGAGCCGAAGACGGACGAGGAGAACCTTTCCTCTCTGATAGCGCTCCTTACTAGTTTGCAAAGTGTGTACAACGAAATCAACACAAACCTTGCTGCAGGAGACGGCGAAGGGCTTAAGAATGTCCTGCTGAACAGCGACATCAAGATGTCTCTTGTGTGCGAGTCTCTGATGAGGGTTCTGAAGGATGTGTCGCAGGAAAAGAGCGAGCTTGTGAAGAGCGAGGAGAAGCACAAGGAGAAGATAAGAAAGCTCAACGAGGAGAAGGAGAGTCTTGAGATCAGACTAAACAAGATGGAGAGTGATCTTGAGTTTGTCAACAGGGGAAACCAGGAGCTCAGCCGAATCATCAGGGACCAGAAGAACAAGATTCAGGGGTTTAAAGAGAAGGCAGATCTTGAAAAAAGGAACTGCGACAGCTTTCGGTCGATAAATGAGGAGCTAGAGACGCTGAGAAAGAAGGCCCTAGAAAAGTGCGATGTCTACGAGAGGGAGATAGGGGTGCTAAAGGAGTATGTGAAGGAAAGGGCCTTGGAGATTGGAAGGTTGAAAGATAGGGCGAGGCAAGACGAGTCTGAAAGGGAAAGCCTCAGCAAGAAGATAGTGGCTCTCGAGAAGAGCAACGAGCTACTTCGAAAGAAACTGGAGATGAAGGAAAATGCTCTTGGAATGTGCAACTCGGAGCTGTCGAAGCTGATTTCAAAAGAAAAAAGGATTGAGAACGAGCTTGAGAGGATGAAGGAGAGGGCGTCTTACTACGAGAGGCTTTACAACGCCACCAACAGTCAAAATGAATACCTCAACAGCCAGCTTTCCAAGATGATAAGGAGTTCCGACAAGATAGAGGTTCCTGAATACGATCCCGACGGACAGCAGGAGGTGACTGCAGTATCTGATGAGAAGCACACGAAGGACACGGAAAGGAGTGATGTGAAGAGGATAAGGAAGTACAGGCGTAGGATTTATGAGCAAAGAAAGGCTAATGAAAAGCAGAGTGCGGAGATTCGTGACCTGAACAGGGAGGTTGAAGCTCTTAGAAGCGAGGTTTCGAGACTTCAAGAAGAAAGGGCGAGAACGGTTAGTGGAAATGCCAAAATCATGGAAGAGCTGATGGGCAAGGTGGAAAGCCTACTGGAGAAGAATCGGGAGTACCAAGGGATTATTTATGAGCTCCGGGGAAAGAACGCAAGGGAGGACAGGAGCCGTGTGGATTTCAATGACAGCTTCAGGACTGTGAATGACGGGGAGAACGAACAACAGGAGAAGGAGGACTTCCCGATTCCGGGAGTTCTTGGTAAAGACGAAGCCTGGGGAGGCCGAGACGGGTTGAAACCCTTTGGTTTCGGAAACGACTACGAAAAGAAAATGAAGGAGGATGATGCGAATGATGGCCTGCATGGTATGGATAAGACTTATAACGGAGAGGTCGGAAATATTTATTCGAGGATGAGCTTTCCGAAGAAACGGCACGAAGCAAATGGGGATGGTGGGCCGATTAAGCTGAATCTTCCGGACAGTTTTTATAGCAGCCTTGTAAATCCCGGGAAAGAAGCATTTCTGGGCAGCGGAGAAGATGCAGAGAAGGCTTCTGTGAAGAATGAAGGCAAGGCGGATGTGCTGCACAAAGACTCTGGATATTTGGACGATCCGTTTGACAGTATAAGCAACAAGAATCTTAGAAGAGGTGATGAGGAGAAGGTTGAGTCTGAAGCCAGCAGCACGTCTCCCAAAACGGTCCGCACGACCTCGACCCTGCATGAAATGCTAAGGCGGACTGATGCTCTGCAAGAAAAGTTTGATAAGTTGGAGGACCAACTTAATGCAATAAAAAGTAGTGACAAGGTCGATGCCGAGAAGGTTCATGACCAAATCAAGGCCTACAAGAACTATTACTATTCAGATTACCTGGATATGTCGAATGGGTCTGATGTCATCTGATTTTCTTGCAGAAGCACGGGCTCTGAAGGCTGTGCATTGCTTTAATACTCGTTGTCATTCAGGTTTACTGTGCAGCCTGGAGGGCATAGACCATTGGTACCTGATGGCAGTCCGGAAATATCCAGATCCAACCAAAACAAAAGAAATAGCTTTCAAACCTGAAAAAAGGAGCAGAGAAATATAAAAAAGCCTAAGACGAGATGCCCATGGATAAGGAAACAGTGAAGGATATCCAGAGATCTATTGCGATGAAGCTGAACAGGGTGGAGTACACTGAGGTTCCCCTGATTGAGGGGTATTCGGAAGCAGAGGACTGCTATAAGAGGTTCCGAGACAGCCTCAAGAAGATTTCAGACAGCATTACATGGCTGATGACGTATGAGTATGGAGGAAGCAAGATGAAGTCTCTTTATTCGAAGATGACGATGATAACCTCCACCTCGAGGATCGGGCAGTTTAAGAACTACGACATCTATGAGGCCAACGGGCTCATTGGATTGGAGTTTTCGAAGATTGGAGTGGCCTCGAGCCTCAGCGACACAGGAAAGAAGTATTCGAAGGCGTATATGGACATTTCGAGGTACAAGCTCGAGATGAACAGCAGGCTTGAGCAGCAGCTAAAGAAGATATCTGACCTGAGGGACCATTCGAATGCAATTGACAAGAAGAGGAAGAAGGTTTCAAACATAAGATACGATTTAGAAATGGAAAAGAAGTCCAAAGAACCCAAGACACCTAGCATGGTGTCTAGAGAGAACGACATGGAAAGGACGTTTAAGGAGACATCGAAAGAAGCTCTCAAGGAGATGGAGAGGTTTATCGGGAACGATGGGGTGTCTGGGGTGCTCCAGAAGGTTGCTGAGGCCCACCGCATGTTTACTGAGAAAAGTGCCAAAGCACTGGAGGAGGTAAAATAAATGTTTTATTACCTGTGAAAGATACTTTATCATTTTCCTGTCATTTCTTGAGTGCAGACGTTGCCGTACCCTTTTACGAACTGGCTAGATTCGAGGGCTTCTGGATGATGTCACTGCGGGATATCTCGCGCCCCGGGCTAATGTTGAACTTGGGATGCCCGTAGTCGCAGTTTAGGCCCTTTGGACAGAAGCCAAGGAAGTAGTTGTAGCACAGCTTCTTTCTTACATGCTTGTTCTTGCATGATGCCCCGTTTCTGCAGAACCCACGGTTGTACCACGGGCACTCCTTCGAGGAGCTGTTTGGGTCTATGTGTATGTAGTTGCATTCTGGATTCATGCACTCTCCATAGCTGCTGAAGAAATAACACTCTGGCATCCTCGAGAGGTCGTATTCGTGCATAAACTCACACTTGATTCCCTTTTTGCACAGTCCTCGAAGCCAGTGTTTGCACACAACGGCAGTGCTCAGCTTGACATGCTGCTTGGGACAGTTCGGATCCCTACAGGAGTTTGTCTGATATGGAATGCAGTAGACCTCGTCCTCCTCGTGCAGACCCAACTTGTCTGAGACATAAGCTTCGAAGCTGAATGTTGGGGTTTTCATTGGCGGGTAATGGAAGAGAGGTTATATCCATTCAGCAGAGACTCGACGATTAAAAAATAACAAAAAAATAGCCCCAAGATGAGATTATATAAAGCCATGGCGTTATGTCTACCGCTTGTAGTGATATGCACCTCTGAGGTTTCTCAGTCTACTGCCGAGACCATGAAGAGCAAGGCCCAAGATTCGTACAAAAGGGTAGTGGAGCACGGGAAGACGTGTCTTGAAAGGATGTGTGGACTCCTCTCTCGGGGGAAAGGCATGCTCTATACTAGAGTCAAGAACATTGTGTCTAGTATCAGAAGGGGCGGAGAAAAGAACGAGGAGGTTGCTGGGCCTGTGGATGGCGAGGGATCGGAGGAAGAGGCGTTTGACCTTTCTCCTGAGGATATTGAGAAACTAATTGAGGAGATCAAGAAGAAGCTTGCAGGGTATATGGACGTAACAGGGGAACAGAATGAGGAGGAAGAGAAGAAGGAGTTGTGAAATGGCCGTGCTGTTTGTTTACGCCTAGTTGGTAAATAAACATAATATGTTCCTGTTTGTTTTTAGCTTTGATGGTTAAACAGATGTAAACTGCCCTTACGAATGGAATCAAGCGATAGCTGGGAGGAGGCCACTGAGGATTATCTGGAGGTTGTTCCTTGTAAGAGAGCGGACATCCGGAGGTCTGCAGACGTCAGGGCTGAAGCGATCCATAGGATTCTATGGATTTTCGGGAAGATTCTAGCGCCGGTGATGAGGCCTGTTATAGAAGAAAATGTTGACCTTCATGTCGATGAGAAGCTTAGGGAATATGTGAACTCGTTGGAAAACATTGGAGAAGCGGGTAGAGTAGTTATCTTATTTAAGCTTTTGATCTTGTTTGGAATTCCCAGCAGAATATACATAGTCCTTTCCGAGGGCATCAAGTGTTTTGTTGAGAGCAGGATTCTAGGGGCCATCAGAGAGCATCATGGGAGGTATAATGCATGTGTTGTTTCGGTAGACGCCTCTCTAAGGCTTAGGGACCAGTCATATTACTTCTCAAAGTCCACTCGGCATCTTGCTAGTGTGCAGTATGTGGTTAGGCAGTTCCCCGGGCCTGATGTGTGTGGAGAGGCATCTTCCGAGGAGATGACCAGGTGCTTTGATGATCTTGACGAAAGAAGAATGAGCAAGATCCCCACGTCTGTTGAAAAAATGAAGAGGCACCCAAAATTCATTGTTGAGTCTATTCTAAGGTGGGACCAGTGTATCTACCCCAAAAGGCCAACGTTCGGACTCTTCAAGGGGGAGGCGATATACCTGAGGGAAAACGTGGTGAGGCTGAGAACAAGGGAGCAGCTCTACAGGATGGGAAAGGTCATTGACTCACCAAAACCATACAGAATAGTAAGGAGGGACAAGGAAATCCGGCTGTATGCACCGTGGCAAACACGCGACCTGGTGGTTGAGGGGTTCTGTGAGTCCATGTACCAGGACTATTTGCATCCAAACTTTATACCTCGGGACTGCGTATACATAGACAACAAGAATGCAAGGGATGTTGCACGTCTACTGGGTCTTCCACACAGAATATGCTTCCATGGGTTTTCAAGGGGAGTTCCTGTCAATAGAGGAATATTCCTGGAAAAGAAGAATCTCTATGTGTTCTCAAACTTCCTAGCACAGTATTGCAGGTACTTGGAGATGAAGGAGAGGAGCGAGTGTAGATCCATGGGACTCAAGAGATGGAGGATTTTGATCAGAAATGCATCCAGGTACTTAAGGATCAGAAAAAGCCTGGGATTGAAGTAGCATGTGCCATCCTGGGGCTGGACTCTCCCACTTGGTTGTCTGTCCGAGACAATGCTTGTTCAGAGATGACCGCAACGGGGAAACCTTGCAAGGAACGTCCTGAAGGAGACAGAAGGCCTTTTGTTTTAGCGAATGTGCGGTGATGACAGCTTGGATGTCCATTTATGTATAATTGTTATCAAAATTTTCTCCGGGAAAACCTACATAAAGAAAAAAAAAAATACCCCTATGTCCGAAATAGTTCAGGCACTTGTTATTGATATTGGATCTGGAGTAGTGAAGTCTGGGTTTGCCGGAGACGACGCACCTAGGGCTGTATTTCCTAGCATAGTGGGGTTTCCCAAGCACAAGGGAGTGATGGTTGGAATGGGACAGAAAGATGCATATGTGGGGGATGAGGCACAAACCAAGAGAGGAATTCTGCACATAAAGTATCCGATTGAGCATGGAATTGTAAACAACTGGGACGACATGGAGAAGATATGGCACCACACATTCTACAACGAGCTGAGGGTTGCGCCTGAGGAGCATCCTGTGCTTCTTACGGAAGCGCCACTTAACCCAAAGGCCAACAGGGAAAAGATAACTCAGATTATGTTTGAGACCTTCAATGTGCCATCATTCTACATTTCGATCCAGGCAGTGCTGTCTCTCTATGCAAGTGGGAGGACGACAGGGATAGTGTTTGACTCTGGTGACGGGGTGTCTCATGTTGTTCCGATCTACGAGGGATACTCCCTTCCATACGCAATCAACAGGATTGACCTTGCCGGAAGGGATCTGACCGACTATCTTCAGCTGATTCTTACCGAGAGTGGAAACTCGTTCACCACTACTGCCGAAAGAGAGATAGTCAGGGACATCAAGGAAAAGCTCTGCTATGTATCGCTGAACTATGAGGAAGACATGAGAAACACCGAGCATCTGGCTTCGATCACAAAGACTTATGAAATGCCTGATGGACAGGTGATTTCGATAGGTAATGAGAGATTCAGGGCACCTGAGCTGCTATTCCAGCCAAAGCTCCGGGGTCTTGAGCTGAAGGGAATCCATCAGAACATCTATGACTCGATCATGAAGTGCGACGTTGATATCAGGAAGGAGCTCTACGGAAACATTGTTCTCTCTGGAGGTACCACGATGTATCCCGGATTGGCCGAGAGGATTCTTAATGAGATTAAGGCTCTGGCACCTCCAGTGATCAAGATTGGAGTGGTTGCGCCGCCGGAGAGGAAGTACAGCGTGTGGATTGGAGGGTCCATCCTGGCCTCTCTCTCAACCTTCCAGCAGATGTGGGTTTCCAAGGCTGAGTACCAGGAGCACGGGCCATCGATTGTTCACAGAAAGTGCTTCTAATCAAAGCCTCGCTTCTTGGCTGCTAGAGTCTATCTACTCTGCAGCAGGACTTCCCAGCTGCTTCCCCATAAATGCTGCGGGCTCGAAGCATTCTCAATGAATGATTTATCATGATTGTCTTTTAGATCATTTTTATTATCCATGTAATCTATTCCATCGCCTTGCTGATAAATGAAATCATCCAACTTCATTAAAGCAAAACTTTTCCTTTTGTTTATATGTTTGGGAAGGAGAAGTGTGGAAACGGAGATGTAACTCCAAGATGTAAGGACGGCGAGAGACGGAATCTGGATTATTCTCCCGAGCTCGACATCCAGGAGCAGGGAAAGAGGGGGAGGCGTCCAGGGATATCCTATGCAGACCTGATAACAGAGGCAATTGAAAGCAGTGCTGAGGGAATGCTGACTCTCAAAGAGATATACTCCTACATTTCCTCAAAGCATCCATACTTCTCTCTCAAGAAAACCGGATGGCAGAACTCGATCAGGCACAACCTGAGTCTGAACAAATCCTTTTACAAGGTTCCAAGGACATCGGTGAATCCAGGGAAAGGCTCGTTCTGGAAGATAAACTACGAGTTCCAGACCAACAAGGGCTCGCAGAAGACCTACAGATCTAGGAATAAATATTCGTTCAATAGTCATCGCGATGCAGAAAAGAATGTCAACTCGATATCAGAACTTCTTGGAACACAGCAAGGCTTCTTCGACAACATTGGGGTCACAGAGGTTCCCTACGAGCGCCACACAACCGTCTTCGACGGAAATTTAACAAGTCTTAGTGACTGCCTCGACCAGAGTTACCAGAAGGAGTACTTCGACCACAACGACGACGTCTCAAACACAAACTACATTTTCTCGTTTAGGTGATAGAGAAATAAATTCAAATTAGATGTACACTCTTTTGCCCGTCTTCCCTGGATGTGCCCACCTCGAAATCAATCCCATCTCTATCCCCCATCATGAATGTCCCAGTGATTATTGTTCTGAAGGGCGTCAAGCCAACTGCCGAGAAAAGACTTCACGGCGACGATCTGGAGTTCAACAGGTTTCATAGGGCGCTGAGGCTTCTAATGGACTCCCCTCTCAACAAATCAAAAAAGATGAAGATCTATATCCACACAGCCAGGAACGCACTTGTAGAGCTGAGCTATCTTCTTGAGGTTCCCGAGAACCCTGCCGATCTCAGCGACGCTATGTCTTATTTGTTGAAGAGGATGGTTATCAAGTCGTCCGATGGAACCATGCTGGGAAAGGTGGTGAAGAATCCAGTGACAAACCACCTGCCTCCAAACTCCACGAAGATTAGGCTTTCTCCCAGAGGCTGCAAAATGTCCTCCAAGGATTTGGAGTCGTCTTTGGAGAGAGGATTCGTTTTCTTCATCGACGTCGGGAGGGAGGAGGAGAGGGAAGAAGCAGAATTCGACATGAAGTTGTCGGATTTCAAGCTTTCTCCTGAGAGCTGTTGCGCCAAAATAACAAATATGTTTGAGGAACTACTGCAGATCTTCTGATCCAAGAAAATGCTTTTGCGTGCCTACGGTCTCTGAAGGAGAGCAAGAGCGTTTGATTTGAAACAGATCTTTAGGAGAGAATGGTGCAGGCTTAAAACACTGGAGTCCCTAAAACAATTGTTTCGTCACAAATAGGTTTTATTCTCCGCAGTAGATCCGTTACACAGAATGTTTCTGGGAACAGTGGCATCGATTATCCTTGCTCTTGGCCTTATCAGAGGGGCATACCAGCAGGCAAAGGTGAGCTCACCCGCCCAGATGGTGATGGTTAAAGGAAACGGCATCAATCCAAAGCCTGAGTGCTATCAAATATATCAGGGTCCGATGCAGGCTCCTGTCTGTGCGACGTTTTCGCAGCCGGTAGTAACAACAGGAGTGGTTTCCCAAGGATCAGACCAGTCCAGGCTCAGCCCAGACCTTGTAAGGCTGATCCAATCGATTCCAGGCGCATCTGAGAAGCTGTCGAGCTTTCTCGAGTACAAGGGGATAACCCAGCCATGGCCAGAAATATTCGACTTCAGCTCGGACAAGCACTACGGCCTGCCTGCTCCAGAGCCTATGTTTTCTAAGATACAGTCTCTGCTGAACGTTCTTGAAGACATCAAAGAGCTTCTGTCGAACGAGCTGTTCAAGGTAGAGACATACATCAGCAGAGGAAAGGGCCATCTCTGCGAAAGCATCAAGAAACTTAGGAGGTACGACGGGATCCTGAAGAAATATCTGAAGAAGATATCATCTGCAAAGACAACCAAGTCCAAACACAACTATGCCACCAAGTACACAGAGTTTAGCGAAAAGGCGCACGAGGAAGCGAAGGCATATTACGAGACAAAAAAGTGGTTACAGACGATAGTAGCATTGTTTAGATCTCTTATTTAGCGAATCATATCGAGTGTGCCTAGGATTTCCCAAAATGTATGCAGGGCTGGCTTATTCCCCGGTTGGAGAGTCCCAATTAAACGACTTATGCTGTTCTCACGACTCCGCCTGCTCCTTCTTGAAGTCATTAAAGATCTCCATCATAAAGTCCAGGTCCTTGCTGTCCTCCAAGCTTTTTGCAAGGCGCCTGCCTTTGGGCGGACTGAACGGGTTGAATCTCCTCTTCTCCATCATCCTATCAATAAACGAGTTCAGTTGCCACATCGAGTCGCCCATCCTGCATCTGTAGATGGAATAGTTTGTGGGTGCAGCATAGACATGTCCGTGGATTATGTAATACATCCCCAGCGTCTCTGCAGTGTCCCCATGGTTGTATGCCTTTCTGATCACGAACAGCGTCTTCTCATGGTTGCTACTCTCCACCTCATAGAATATCCCTACCATCGAGAAGAGCTTGGACTTCTGGTCGAGTCCTCTGAACTGCGTCTGCATCTTGAGTATTTCATTATTGCAGGACTTGTCGTAGAAGGGCGACCCAGAGAAGTACTCCAGGACATTCGTATCGTCAAGAGGCTTTGAGCCGAGAAACCGCTGGTCTACAAAGCTGATGCTCTCTTCCCTCTCTTCCATTAAGGGAACACCATTCTGTGTCTTTTACAGAGGCTGCCGGAAAACACCCCGTACAAACTCGGAACAAAAGCACTTTATTCTGATTATCTTGTCCCGTGGAGATATGCTTACCATCTCCATCATCCGCTTCATGGTGACGGCTTGTTCTTGTCCAGAAAGTCTTTGATTGCCATCTTGATGGCATCTTCTGCCAACATGGAGCAGTGGAGCTTGATCGGTGGTAAGGAGAGCTTCTTTGCTATGTCTCTATTGGATATCTTCAATGACTCATCTATTGTCTTCTTCTTGATCCACTCCGTTGCCAGACTTGACGATGCAATTGCAGACCCGCATCCAAAGGTCTTAAACTTTGCATCCTCAATCACATTATCCTTCCCTACCTTTATCTGAAGCTTCATCACGTCTCCACAGGCCGGGGCCCCGACCATCCCAGTTCCGACTCGAGGATCCGTCTTGTCAAGAGACCCAACGTTTCTCGGATTTTCAAAGTGGTCCACAACACTCGAGTCGTACTTCCCTGTTATTCCGCTCAGTTCCTGGAGTGCAGACATGCCAGGGTTGCTACTGTCATTTTTAACTCCTACTCATTCCTCAAAGCTCAAAATCTTTATGGAGTCTCTTGTGAGAAGGAACAGGCTGTCTCCAAGTGCAATATACTGGACCACCTCCCCAATAGAGATCAGACTTTTGAAAGACCAATCGTCACGGGCTATTTCGACACAGCTCTTCGTCACTCTAATCTTCTGGGCCCCGCATTCCATGATTCCTTTCTCTCTTCTGCACGAAAAACTATCGGAAATAAGCTGCAGCCTGCTGTTGTAAACCCTCGACTCCCCATTTCTATATGTGCACAAAACCATTCGATCTCCAAACTTCACATCAACCATCCAGTCAACGCACATGTAGCACATTATTTCCCTGAGCTTTGCGTCATATTTCCTCTCGTTGTTCTTCACGAGGTGGAGCAGTATATTGTAGAACAGGAATCTGCATCTCTGGTTCATGGCCTTCTTTTTTACCAGAAACGTCAGGAGATGGAGGTCCATGCTCCTTGTTCTCGTGCATCTAAACCTTTCATCGTATCTGTATATTCTAATCATGCCGTTTCTGTATAGCAGGAGATGTCCGTCGATCACATAGAACTCATCTCCCTTAAGCTCTATGGAGAATGTTTTAATCTTTTCTCCAGATAGGTTATATTCGTTCAGCGAAAAGAAAGGCCCCAGAGTGTCCAGCCTTACCACGTGGGACGCTGCCTCAAGATATTTCTTGTACTCCTTGGAAACTGTCTTATCCAACGGAGCCTCCATCGCCTCATCATACTCGACCGCTAAATACTGATGAAACATGCTAAAACTTCGTCAGAGGCTGGTTTGAAGAGCCGCGTCCGTAGATAACAAGAACCATTCACATTTATTCATAGACGAAACAAGGCCTCAGTTCACAAACTTCCCAAGATGGCAGTTTTTCGAATCAACCTCTTTGATACTTGGATCCATAAGATCTCTGTTTCTGATAAGAAAGGAGATATCCTTGTCTTCTTCGCTTAGGAATTGTTTCCTCTCCTCATCCGCATTCCTTTTCTGGCGCGCTTTCACCTTCAGGCCTTCTCTGCTCTTGACATAGTCCCTTGCATTGTATGTATTTCTGATTCCGTCAAAAAACAGATTGGAGTCGGAGTACTTCGATTGGAATCCTCCCATCACGAGGGTTGGAAATTTAGGATAACATCTTGCGTCGTGGGTGGGGTCTATGGAATCATAGAATTGACCCGGGGTCGCTATACGGAGGAGACCCAATACTTGTTGATTCCAGGCTGTTTTCCTCGGAATGTGGGTGGTCGCCTCCTAAATCCCCCATGATCCTAAGCCTTCCCAAAGGTACAGTAGCTTTCTTTTCACTTAGAAGGTCCCCAGGAGCGCCAAGGGATATTCTTCCAATCTCTCCTGCCTCCTCCTCATCACTAATTCCTGCATCACTGCTCGTTATCGAACTTAGGGAGGAGGATGTTTTGCTAGCCAGAGGCGTGTATTCCCCAGAAGACTCTGAAGACCTGTCGTGTTCCTCCCGATGGTGCTTAAAGCACAGTGGACACTCCCCGTTCGATTCATGTACAGATGTCGTTACAGCTCTGTGGGTGCCAGAGTCGTGCTCATTCTCAGTACCATAAAAAGAAAGACTTAGGCTGGAGAGGAAGTTTTTTGCATCAAACTCATCTCTATGAGTGTCACTCTTTTCTATGGGGAGAAAGAAGGTTTCTGGCTCTTCAACACCTCTGTCCTCGACCTGGTGTCTGGATTCTGGGTCCTCTGTTCTCTTTGTGGTACCTAGCTTCTGAAGCTCTTTTTTCTGGCCTACACCCTTGTTCGCCAGAGGCAGACTGTTCTCAAAGTCAAAATGGTCGTCCTGCTCTTGCTCAAGAATGTTTACAATGCTCTTGGAAACTCCATCCCTTTCTGTCTTCGCACGCTCCTGCTTATCTATGGGCACCTCGTAAGTAAGACTCTCAGGAAGTATCACGGGAATCTCATTTACATCCTCAATATCCAGCAAGGGAATCTCCAGGGGCTGGGAATCGCTGGAGACATCGGGAAAGCTTTCATCGCAGGATGGCTTCCTAAGGCTTGGGCTCATGAGGTTGTATGCAGGTGTTTTTTCCTGAACATCCCATGCATAGGTGCTAGACACAGACTCGGAGTGGCTATCGCTTCCACAAACAACATCCTTTAGCCTGCTGCTAATAATGTCCTTTCCTCGCAGCTTCCTTCTGAGTCTTCTAACATCGTTCCTAATGATCTCACTATTGAACTCAACCTTGCAGCGCCTCTGACTAAAGGGAACCTTGTAGAGCTCTCCCATTCCTATCTGGCATCCTAGAAGTACATCCACACCGACCTGGAGACTAACCGCCCTTACATACTCGAGGTCGCTGTTGTAGACCAGAAGCGGAACCACTCGTCTTCTATTCATCTCCAGGAACCTCAGGAGATCCTCCTCGTCCTTCGAGTAGATGTTCTCTATCCCAAGAATGTAGTCTCCGACCACCATTCCTGCCTTCTCCGCGGGAGATTCAGGATTTACCCGAAGAACCTCCATCGAAAGAAGACAGGCAATGCTCTGGTGGAACTTCACACTGATTCCAAGCCGGGTCTTGTCCTTCCTTGGTATCTCAAGAATAGAGGTCTCCATGGTTCTCATGTCTATCAGCTCCAGCTGAAGAGCTTTGCTCTCCCACTCCTTGTTCATCGTCAACGCATCATCCTTGCTCTCGATGGCCTTTCCATTGAAGCTAACTATCGAGTGTATGAACGGAAGAATGCCGTTTTTGTGCGACACGCTGTCCTCGGAAACCTTCAGTATTTGCAGCGATTTGATCGCTGATAAGCACGCTCCCATTTTCTTTGTAATTCCATTTTTTTATTTATTCGTCCGCAAGCCAAAATCCGCGAAACGATTGAGCCCTGCATCCCATTTGTCGGCACCTCTCCCCAGTATTGGCCCGCACGAGCCCGAAGGAATGCTTAGCAGCGCGTAGGACGCCCGTCGGCATGCAGATCCAGTAGGCCGGGAACCCTATTAATTATTTTTCTCTACGTTACCCGTCGAAGAAATGGAAGGCGAAAGCGACATAGAAAGGCTTCAACGCATGCAGCAGTCATATCTCGGTGCCCAGGAGAAGCCGGTCTCGAGCGTGTACGTAAAGAATCTGGATGCTTCTGTCACCAACTCAGACATTGCCGCACACTTCAGGTCCTGCGGAAACATGTCTGGAATAAATGTTGTTAACCCAAAGAACTCCAAGAAGTATGCAGTGATCGACTTCACTTCCGAGAGATCTGTTGAAATGTCCTTGCTCTTCAACGGATCCGTGCTCAAAGGAAAAAAGATTGTTGTCCAGAAAAAAAGAGAAGCCGATAAAAAATAGTCTGTATCCATTGTTTACACCCCTGTCTTCCTTCGCTTGGCCTTACCTGTTTCCTGTCCCCGGGCCCTATTTCTTGGCCTGTCGTCAACTAACAATGGCTTGAAATCGATATCGTCTCTGAAGAGGACATATCGAATAGAGCTCCCTCTTACTGTGTAGGTGCTCGCTGGTGCTCCGTCAACCACAACATCGACCATCTCAACGTTCATCGTTTTGTCAACAGAAACTATCTTGCCCTCGATCCTCCTGCCTTCTTTTGTCTCGATCTTGACTCTTTCGTTTTTGCATTTTCTCAGAACCCGCACAAGCTTCATTTGTGGGTGCTCTGCCGTGTAGAGTCATTTCCGTTGTATGCCACAGAGACCGAGATAATCTGACAGCCAGCCGGATTAAATTTTTTAGCCGCTCACCCATAATGAAGGAGCTGGTCGATGTCCTGTACTACGACTACATCCTGTACAAGCTTGCAAGCCTGTATACACTAGAGAATGCCGGCAATGAGGTAGGCCAGTACCAGAAGATAGCACAGAAGCTCCTGGTGAAGCTTCGCTCGGACAAGGTGGTCTTTGACGCTGAGGTGGGGCTGAAGTTTGCATACATAAAGCTGTACGACCTCCACCTGTCCTTTCCAAAGTGCACTGGAAGGCTCCATGTCTCCTGCTGCCAGAAACACTATCTACAGTTTCTCGGCACCTCCTACGACTATCTCACGAAGATCATGGCGGAGTACTCTTCTCTGAAGGAATGCATTCCATTCAACCACCTTCTGAATACCGTGGTGACGATGGCCTTCATCAGCTCTCCCACGCTGGAGCACTTCGTCAGCCTAAATAGAGACGAGGGCTTTGAGCCTATGAAGCCGTACCTTGCCAGGCAGGGAATCAAGGTTGACAGCGAAGAGGATTTTGGAAACGAGAAAGAAAGGCTCCTCAAGACTCTGAAGATCAAGGCCAAGGACGAGAACAAGCTCTTCAACAAAACATTCCAGTACGTGATGGACGAGCTCAAGAAAATATTTCTGTCCTTTGATGTTCCTCTTCTCCAGTTTTTTGGAACCAGCGAGGTAATCCAACTGAAGGAGCTTTATCCCAATGCATTTGAAGGCCTTGAAGAGCTTCCTGCATCATCAACAAGCTACAAGGAGGAGATCTTGAAGGAATACCTAGATGTGAGGAATTCTCTCAGCAAGACCAGGAGCGCATTCATAAATCCTAAGGATAAGGGAGAGAAGATACTGTGGGGGTCTGATACCAGCCCCTCTGATCGATAAGTCCCACCCCTTCCTGCTCAGAGAGGACACAGCGGTGTCCAGGAGATTGCTCCCTAAACTGTCTCTTAAAGGCCTATTAGTAAATCTGCCATCGAAATGCGCTCCTTTGTTCTCTATCGAGTCACCTCCATGTTTCGACAGGCAGCTGATTAATTCTGTTGTTATAAACACTTCAAATTGATATCATTTATTTGGAAATGGCCGGAGTCTAAGGTCCCTCGCTGATATCCTTATATTAGAAAATCTTTTAATCTTGAAACATGTCAATGAAATTAAATTGCAGGTTTGTTTACATAAATCCAAAAGCTTAAATTCATCTCGAAACTTGCCCTTAATGAAAGTACTACAAAAGCTCAGCCTTCTCCTGTTCCTGGTCTTCGGCCTTGCATATGCACATGAAAACCCCAAAACATCAAACGATAAGAATGAAGGTGGTAGTGATGATGAAAATAAAGAGGGTAAGGATGGTAAAAAGGATAGCTCAGCTCTGGGGCTGTCCACCAGCCTGCTCGGGCTTGGTGCTATCCTTGCCATCTGCCTGGCCAAATAAACCCTGCTCTTGACTTGTACAATCAATTTTATTTGTTTTCTTCGTCACACGGCCCAAGAAGCAGCCATAAAATACATCCTTATTAGAGTTTAGTTCCCATCCTCATCTCCAGCCTGGATATCATCTCGTCCTTCTTCCTGAGTCTGTCTGCCATTGCCGAGTAGAGGTCCCTTATCCTTTCTTCGTTTCTCCTGCATTCGTTGAATCTCCTTTCCAGAGCCTGGTTGCTTGCCTTTAGCTCTTTGTTCTCCCTTCCCTTCTTCTCGAGATATCTTTTACAGGCTTCCAGGTCTTTTCTAGCAATGCTGAACTCCTTGTTAAAGTCCTCAAGGAACTCCATCGTTCTTCTGTGCATGGCGTCCTTGTTGTTCTCTGCAAAGCTCATGGCCTCATTGGCCTCCTTATCCACCACTCTCAACCTCCTGGAAAGGTCTTTGTACGAACCTTTGAGCCTCCTTACAATCTCGTCCAATGGTCCCGACGGATCCACTCCAAGAGTTTTCAGGAATCTTTTGTTGTCCTCTGCAATCCCAACCATTTTCTTGTACTCCTCTTCTTTGCTTCGGAGATCCTTGACCTCCTGGCGCAGGGCATCCACCTCCTGGTCCATCTTCTCCTTCACTCCTCTTTCTCCCAGCATCTTCCTTGCAAGGTCTATCTTGGCATCTATGCCATACGCCATCTTTTCAACCTCTCCGAGTCTTCTATCGCACTCTCTACCTTTCTCTTGGAGAACATCCTTCAGAAACATCTCGAGATCCTTCGATCTCTCTAGATCAGACATGTGGTCCACACACTTCTTCTTCTGCCTTTCCATCTCCTCCACCAGCTCGCTTCTTTCTCTTCTCATTCTTTCTATCTCAGCTCTCATCTTGTGAGCCTCAGAACTTCCTCCGTCCAGAGACATCTTGTACGACAGCGCCCTCTTCTCATTCTCACACACCTCGAGCCTTCTCTTTAGCTCACTCCTCGATGCCTTCAGCTGCTCAACTTCTCTTCTTAACTCCTCATTCCCCAGCGCCAGCTCCTGCTTTTCCCTTGTCTCCCGCATATAGTTCTCGCTCACTTCCTTCAGATACAGCTCATTCGACTGCTTCTGCCTGTACATCTCCTCGTACTCCTTCTCCATGCCCTTGTGGTGCTCTCTCATCCGATTCATCTCGGCCTCCTTGAGACTCACCTTTTCCTCAAGGTTCCTCACAATCCCTTGAAGATGGGAAATCTTGCTGCTGTACTCGTTTCTTTCTCTCTCCCGCTCATATGCGATCTGGTCCTTTTCCTTGTTGCTGTTCAAAAGGGCATTCTTGTATGACAGAAGCTCCTTCTCAATCTGGGCCTTCTCTTCCTTCTCATGCCCCATCTTCTCGATGAGGCTCTTCTGCTCGTCAATAGCATTCTTACTTCTGTTGAAACACTCGCTCAGCATTCCGTTTTCTTCCCGAAGCTTGGCATTGACCCCATTGACATTCTCCAGGTGCTTGAGAAGCCTGCCGTTCTCCTCTTCGAGCATGGAAATTTTGTTGAGGTACTCCTGCAAGCTGCTTCCAAGCTTGGCTTCGGCGTCCTCCTTTTCTTTCCTTAGCCGGGTAGCCATCTCCTCCATCCCTTCAATCCGCCGGCTAAGCTCCTCATTCTCCCCCTCAAGAATGTCTATCGACCTCTTGCTGTCAAGAAGAAGCTTCTGGATATCCTCCTGGATGTTCCCCGTAGAGCTTGCCTTATAGTGAGAAAGCTGGTGCTTAATCTCAAAGTTCTCATTCCTCAGCTCCTCGATTTCTCTCTCATAATCCTTAACAGTCCTGATCCTTTGCAAAGGATTGAATTGGAGCGAAAATGAATGTTCTCCCATCGCACGGGTTAAGGGTATGCATCCTCAACAAAAATCTCAGGAATTGCTGAAAGGCAACGGATGGCTCTTAGGTACCGCTGTCTTTAATGCCGGTACCTGCGATTTCAGCTCCCTTTTATTTGCCCTGCCGTAGGAATGGGAAGCAGACACTCAAGGATAAAGAAATCACCTCATGAGGTCCTGGGCCTATCTCCGGTGTCCACCAGGAAGGAGATCAGAGACCGGTATAAAAGCCTCATACTCAAGGTTCACCCGGACGTGCAGAAGGTTCACTCCTCCCAGGCATCCAAGGAGGCGGTAGAGATAATGGATGCATATACATCCATCATGAAGTCTCCTCCTCTCTTCGAGTTCTACAACGAGGAGCTTTTCAGGGAAGACCTTCGCAAATATGCCGAGGACTTCTTCGAAAGAATAAGCGATTACTGTGGAATTCCAGGCGCTCCGAAGTTCTGTAGCCCCGACTTCGAAAGATTCTACCATATGTTTACCAACTTCAGAACCCAGAAGGCATTTGGGACCGAGGAAGAGAGGAGCGAGTTTTGTAGGGGTGTTAGGAGGGTGGCCAGGATCGTCAGGGATCTGGACAAAAGAATCGGCACAGACAGCTTTCCAGTCGAGATCCCCCCTGCTCCTGCCAGAGTAAAGGAAAGAAAGACCAAGACCTATCCGTTCAATTGCACCCACTGTGAGAAGGGATTCCACTCCCAGAATCAGATCATAAACCACTTCAGAAGCAGAAAGCACTTTGAGAGAGTGGGTCTGACCGAAAAGACACCAAGAAAGTACATAGAAAACCAGATCCAAGAAGTTACTCAGCAGAACTCCATCGAGGTAGTCCAAAAGCCCCATAGAGAAGAGAAGCCAGAGAGTCTAGAGAGTTGTAAGATCGAGGAACAAGGTGACATTAAGAAAACAACTGCCAGGCAGGAGCCCATCCCATTCAGAACATGTGCGAAGTGTAGAGCTGTACTCAGTAGTAGATCAGAGTTGCTTATGCATCTAAGAACAGACCACAAGGAGCCTTAAGAGTAGAGTTTAATATCAAAGCAGACGTATCTGCAGGGAGGTCAACAGCTCCATCGGTGAAATAGCCCATCTTTCATCTTTACCAATCCCGTAAATACTAGACTTTTTAGATGTTTGTCGAAGTCCTCATCAAAAGCCTCCTCTTCCTTTGAGGTCCCCACAGCATCTTTGGCTAGTCTTTTCAAGTCCTCATACCCAAGCCTCCGGGTAAGCTCCTTGTATATCACTGTGCTCAAACTGCCTTTGGACAGATACAGCTCGGGATTGAGCAAGGAAGATCTTATGGAAGCAAACACATCCGGTGCGAACGAAAGCTCTACACCCCTGCTGATGTACTTTCCTCCCAGCCTCTTCTCAATGTTTCTATAGTTCTCGACCCTTTCGTCTCTTGTATCGTCTGGGTATCTCACAAACTCGAATCTGCAATGCTTGAACAGGCTCATCTTGCAAAGAAAAAACTCGAAGTTTGCTACATAAAACAGGACTTCTTTGTTGAGCAGGAAGAGCTCCTTGAAGGCCCTGAGCGTGACATCCCCGTTGGTAAAGTGGAGCACATATCTCCTCTCTGGGTGGATCACATAGGTCCTCTGTAGATCGGAAATAACCTCTGCCCCGGGGACATTTGCTGTCGAAGCTATCCTTATGATCATACAAAGGGATTGGCAAAAATCGGCGGAAAGACCCGAGGCAGCAGAGAAACTCGAAGTAAAGCTGGGGTTTATTTTACACCACATCCTCCCTGAGACATAGGGCCAGGGCATCTTACTCTTCCAGACGATTGCATATCCAGTTTATTCCCTTGTGAACGCCCAGGAACGCCTTCGACTCCTCGTAGAGAATAAACTCAATTTTCCCGTGAGCTATTTCGTCACAGGTCCTCTTGAGCTCCTGAACAGCCTCACTTCCGTAGATATCCGATCTGCACAGAACAACAATGGTGTCCCTCGTCTTTATTGCATCCTCGTTGATGAGTGCAATGCATCTCTCGACAGAGGCCTTGTTATCCGCATTCACAGCAAAGACCACCGCAGCTGCGAGGCTTGTATGGATCCCTCTTATTTCATACAGGTCTGCATTGTCATCCAATGACTGGAAAATCAGCTCCATCCCATTCGCAATGCAGGTATCTTCAGAAAAGGGCCGGAGTGATTTGTCCTCCTTGTATCCAGAGACAGAGTGCTTCAAAACGTGCCTCTGGTCCTCCTGGCGCCCCAGTAGCGCGACAATATACTTCTTTCTCGTTACTCCACAGCACAGAGAAAGAATCCACTCCATCGTTGATGGGCAAAAAATTGACAACAAATACTACTAGGCCACAAAACCTTACATTTAATCGAAGCCATTCATTGTCCCAGAAGACCCTCAGCCTCGCACCTCAAGGCTCTGCTTTTTTCTATAAGTACTGAAACCGCCTTCTCTAGCAGGTAAAGCGGATCCAGAAACACGGTGTTGATTGTAAATAGGAAGTAGTCAGACCTCCTTCCAATAAATATCTTGTCCTTGAACTCCTCATGTCTAAGCGCCTCTCTGCTCATCGAATCCAGCCGAGGATTACTCACATAGGCCTTCATTCTCCCGTCGCTGGGCCTTACATCTATGACTCCCTCCGAAAAACATTTCTGCAGCTTGTAGGCATCCTCATCAAAGATGTCTCCTATCTCAATCAATGGCATGAGCCTGTAGGTTGCTGGACACACCGGACTCCACTTCGCATGCACCTTCCCCACATTCTTGGTGCACACAAGCTCTGCACTTATCTTTTGTCCACGAGCTAGCCTAAACATAAGCACCCTGCTGCTGAACTTGACATCCCTGAAAATCTCCCTCTGGCTCCCCACTGGATTCCATCTGATGTCATCCGAATATACATTCAGAACACCTTCAGACTCGTTCCTAACATCAAGAGTAAACCTAAGAGAGTTCCTTTCGTCCAATTCTTCGCCCGCAAACTCGAACATCTCCGGGTCTACCTCCAAGGGGACCAGCCCCAGCCTGTGTGCTATAAACTCGTCCGGGAACACGCTCTCGTTTTCCTTCAGAAAAATGTCCCGCACTGCCATCGTGGGAACCTCGCTCGAGAGTATGCGCCTCAGAGCATTGGCAATGGAGCAGTCGACATTGATCAGGTCAAACTCTAACTTCTCCGAGCTGTACTCTGTTATCCTTATCTCTATCTCATCCACAGTCTGCTCAAATGACTTTGCCTCTGCACAATACAGGTCAGTCATCATCTCTCTTCCCAGCTTGTGTATCTTCGACATCAGCCCCTAGGGCAAAATTTTCGGTCTCCTTATCGCCAACCCAGTCGTCCGAACATGCCGGTCGCACCAGAAACACCTTGACCATTCCATCAGCTCCCCCCGTAGCACATCTGCTCCCATCCTCGTTGAAGGATACCACATTCACCTGCCTGCCATGCTCTCTGCTTCTCTTCCAGACCACCAGCTCTCCTTTTCTAAACCCCAGACTCACCACATCGCCAGACTCAAGCCCCACAACCAGGAGATACTCTCTGGGCGAAAAGCACAAAGAAGTGGCCTCGCAGTCAAATCTGGACATGTACTTCACCCTGAGCTCCGGGAGCTCATACACAAGCACACTCTTGTCCCGAGAACATGTAGCAAGATATTTCGAGTCGTGGCTAAAGCTGCAGTCCCACACAATCCTCCTGTGGTCTTTTAGTCTCCGGGCAAGCTTGATGTCCTTGCCGACATTGTAGACAGACACCGTTCTGTCCTTCGAGGCTGCCGCTAGATACCTCCCGTCGCGCGAAAACACCAGCCTCTCTATTCCGTAATCATGCTCCTCTATGTAATCAATAAGCTCAAAAGCCCGGTTCCACACAAAAATCCCAGAAAACTTCTTTAGCGACGATCTGTTGCAAGAAACAATAAAGTCCTTTGACACGGCCAGGTCAGACACATCGAAATAATGTCCGTAAACTTTCTTTATCTCGTTGAATGTCGTTACAGACAGCAGCTGCTCGTTGAGGGACTCAAACACAAAGTCCTCACAAACCTCGTTTGTCAGAGACAGCTCTGCACAAACAGCCGCAAACTTCAGGCTGTTGACATCAGGGAAAAAATCGTCCAGGGATCTCCTGTGGTGGGAGACGGCCATCCTTCGAAGCGATTCAGCTATGCCCTTGCTGCAGCTTTCCACCCACATGCATGACATATAAAACACCTGTGTGGGCTCATAGACCCTTAAAATCGTCTCCTGTGCAGATCCTATGAACTGGAGGTCCTCCTCGTTAAGAAATCTCGCCGACGTCAAAGCATATCCATGCTTCTGGGGCCTGCCTACCTCGTGCCCCCTGTAGAATATCCTGGATGTCATGTCAAGCGATGCCGTCAGTAGAAACTCCCCCCTCCAGTCGATGGACTTCACCCCGTCAACATGCCCAGAAATAAAGCCCTCAAGCACATCTCCAAACTTGTAAAATCCCCCCGAACGAGACTGGCCTATAATCGAATTTCCAACCATCAGCACACCAAGAAATGCTCCTTCCCCGCCAAGCCTCATCACATCCTCCCATACCGACCCCTTCTTCCAGTGGATTATCGAGTTGTCCGCAGACGAGCTAAGCAAATCCCCCTCCTCTGTCCACCATAGCCCATAGACCCAATCCGTGTGGCCGTTGAGGGTCTGAACATGCTCAAGACACATGTCTCCCTCAACAACCCTCCATATCTTTACCGTCTCGTCCTGTGAGGATGTAGCAACATATGTCTCTCCCCCTAGCCGCGCAGACTTGATGTCATGAATGCTATCGCCGTGTCCTTCAACTTCTCGCCACCTTGCACCGCTGCCAGTAACGTCCAGCACAAAAATACTTCCCTTTCTGCTTCCAACAAACGTCTTGTTCCAAGCAGCCGTTAAACACGTGGGAATCCATTCGTTCTTGATCTCTTGTCTGACGACATTGTCATCTATATCATACACAAAGGTTGTGTCTATCGTACAGAACATGGCGCTTGATCTGTCTACAAATCCAACAGCTTCTATGCAGCCCCCGAAGCTATACTTCTTGATCTCTCCGTCTCTTATCAGATACCCTCCTCCGTCGACATCTCCCACCACCATCATGTTGTGCTCACACTCAACAGCATTCACATCGCCGTCCATGTAAAGCACAGAAAGAATCTTCTCCTCATCGGCTATAACAATGTTAGGCCCTGACCCATAGGCAATCTTATCTCCAAACATGGAAGAAACCTTTGGCTTCCGTGTGCACCCTGCAGATATGAAAATAGAGTCCATGAGACACCTAAGGGATAAAAATTTGAACTCAAAAGCTTCTGTAATCTCTCTATTTTATTCCAAAACCGCAAGGACGCGAAGTGCATCAACCCCCGCTGGAGCTCTGGATCCTAGCAAGGGCATCCTTTAGCACTGCAGACAGCTTGGCCTTGTCATTGAATGTCTTTTCAATGCTCCTGACCAATTCTCCCAGGTTGATTCCGTGGCTTTCCATCACCATGACATTTCTTTGGACCCACACATTCTCCAGCTCGCAGTACTTCTTGTAAAGAGAGGGGTTCTCCATCGTCGCCTTCTTTGTCTCCTCAAACACCTCGTTCACAGCCTTCTTGAACATTATCTTCAGCTCGATGGAGTCCGGATCGGCATCCCTTGTTGTCTGGACAACCTCGTTTGCAAGATACAGCAGATTCAGCTTATGATATGCACTGGACTTTCCATAGACAAACATCCATCCGTCCACTATTGCCCTGTAGTCCTTCTTGAAGGTTCTTATAAACAGCCCAACCGTCTTCATCTGCTCCTCGGTTGGAAGGAGGTTGATCAGCGACTTCAGAAGGTACTCCCTTGATAACGAAGTCATATTGTTCAGGGGCTGAGCTCCGCGATATTTATCTCATGCCGCTGGATGTGGGTTGCAGAAACAAAGCCAAAATGCGAAAAATGGAATCCCTGCATGTCCACCAAGGTCGAGCTGTACATGGAGATTGGCACGGTGATAACAGACCTCGAGTACCATACAAAGTACATGCTGAAGAAGCTTCTTGGAAGAGGAGCTTATGCACAGTGCTATCTAGCAGAGATAGAAAGTGGGGAGCAGTATGCAATGAAGGTGGTCAGGCTGAAGGACATCAAAAGCCGGAAGGTCCACGAGAAGCTGGAGTCTGAGATAGCGATACATTCCAAGCTGGATAATCCCAATGTTGTCAAGATGTATCGGTCGTTTAGGAGTTCTGAGTATGTTTTCATGGTTCTCGAACTCTGCGAAAGGGGGGCCCTGGATGCCCTGCTGAAGAGAAACGGAAAGCTGAAGGAGAGGCATGTGGCAAGGTTTGTCAAGCAGACCGTTGAGGGGCTTATCTATCTCCACAACAGCGTCAGTGTCGTGCATAGGGATCTGAAGCTGGGAAACCTATTTTTGGACTCGAAGTTCAATGTGAAGATAGGAGACTTTGGGCTGAGCGCGGTGATAAAGGATGGGGAGAAGAAGGTCACCATGTGCGGAACGCCGAACTATATAGCGCCCGAGGTTCTGTTTGGGAAGGCAAGCGGCCATTCGTTTGAAGCAGACATATGGTCTCTGGGGGTGATAATCTACACACTGCTGGTTGGAGTTCCTCCGTTTCAGAAGAAGAATGTGGAGGACATCTACAAGATGATAAAGCTCAACAACTACATATTTCCAGAAAACTGCGACCTCTCGAGTGAGGCAATCGACCTCATAACACAGATCCTGAACACGAATCCCCTTGAGCGGCCGACTCTGGAGCACATTCTCAGCCACAAGTTTCTGTCGAAGAAGGAGCACTTTCTGATGAAGATATACAGGAATCTGATGACCAACAGGACAGAGGAGGGTGTTGTGGATACAGACTATGTTCTTTTCAGCATTCCTGTGACCAAGCTCCGGGGGGTTGGATATGTGCTGAAGTCTGGGGTTTACGGAATCTACTTCAGCGACCACAGGAACCTGATGCTGAAACCGAACAGGAAGAGTGTTATCTACCTTAACTCTACCATTGAGAGCGGGAAGAGGGTGTTTTACAAGGAAGAGCATCTTGTTGAGAAGATACCTGCGGAGATTGCCGAGTCGTACAAGGGGCTGCAGTATTTTATCAGGACGTTTGACAATGGGTTTAGCTTTCTAGACGTCGAGCCATGCTTTATTGTGAAGATAAGAAAGATAGAGTGTGGATTTCTGTTTGTGATGGCTGACAGCACCATTGTGTTTGACTTTGTTGACGGGTGGCGGGTGGTGCTGTCGAGATGTGGAGAGAGGGTTTCTTGCTACAACGGACTTGGGCTTGCTTCGTTTAACCAGGAGATAAGGGGAAGGTGCATAGAGATTCTGAGAGGATGTCTCGGATGTGGATGAGGGCTCTTTCGGGTCTGGAGGATGCAAAGATTCTGATTGCAATGACTGAGCCTTGTTTTGGAATTCTGTGTCAAAACCAGTCAATAAAAGGCACAGGTGGTGCAGGTGTATGGAAGATGTGGAGAGTGTGAGAGCTTCGTATAAGATGCTAAAGTGCAAGTGTGCATACCTCAAGGGATATCTTGAGCATGTTGCTACGGTGTCGAAGAGATCCTCGGATCTCCTTTTCCGCGCTCTCCAGATTCCACGAGACACTGCATGGAATGATCCACTACTCACACACTGCATAGAAATGAACGAAAGGCAAAGGGCTGTGTTTGACGAGACGGTTCTGCTGTACGGAGAAGCCTTATTCAAGGAGCTTGACGGGCTGATTGCAACCATTGTTGATGACATGAGAATGATTGACGAGGAGGTAAGGGCCATTGCGGAAAAGCCTGCAGAGGGCCTGAAGGAGCTTCGAGCGGCCCGGGATAGGCATGTCGATGCCTGGACATATGGCAAGCATGATCCATGGCTAACCGAGCTTGGGCTGAAAAGAGCGGTCAAGAAGGTTCTTCTAATGGATGACGAGGCAAACCAGATGATGCACACCAAGATTGGGGGCTTCAACATGTCCCTGCAGAGTGCCACCGACAGATTTAGAGAGGTGCTTCTCAGCTTTGTGGGGATCCAGAAGCAGAAGTATCAGAAGCTCCAGGACTCTGTGGATACAGACATCAAGAGATATGACGAGATTGACAGGTTTTTTGACACTGTGTCCGAGTCGCCAAAGGAAATCAGAAGGGAATGCAAGAAGGATGAAAGATTGAAGGAGAAGGTTGATGCGTCGTTTGAGACCTTTGTGGAGGGGATAAGCAAGGAGCTGTCTGGGAGGGGTATAACCGTGAGAAAGAATCTCGAGGCTGTAAAGTCTTCGGTATGCAAAGTGAAGAAGGGATACACAGGGGATTGGACTACTGCATACATGGTAGTCACCTCGATGGGGTATGCGCACTTTTTCGATGTTTCTGCATTGGTAAATGAATCTGATAGCCTCAGGAATGCCATTGAAAGACTGAGTGCTGGAGCAAGCAGGGGACTTATATCCATGTTTGATGCAAGTAAGTCTACCAAGGAGATTGGAGGGGATAGAATTGTTTTTGAGGTGAATGCCAAGGTTGGGGAGATCATTGAGACCTTTTCAAGCCCAATGGTCTCGATCAAGCTGAGCGACAATACATATGAGCTTGACAAAGAGAGGAGGCAGGTCTCGGTCAACAGCAAGCATCAGAACGGGTTTGCTAGCTTTTTCGGCGTGAGCGAGGTGAAGGTGAAGCTCTTTACTCTTTCGAATGCGATAGAGATATTCCATGCACTCAGGAGCAAGAATCAAGTCGAGGAAAGCACGGAAGACTTTTCCGAGAGCTCCGAGAAGGAGACAGATGGAGGAAGAGTGTTTAGGGTTCTGCTGCAGGAAGAGGAAAACCCTTGGGTAAGCGGGTAATCTCTCTGTGGTTATTTTCCGGGGCCAGAGGATGAGTTTCGATGACGATTGTTTGTATGGGATGAGAATGTTTCCCTGACTTGCGGAGAGTGCTGGAGTCGTACACCTGCATCGACTTCTGTGATTCGTTGAGGGCCATATTGTGAATTGGTCCTTGGGCAACTCAATCAGGGGATGATCTAAGGGAACGGATGGTGGGATTGGATGTATTCAGGCCTGTTTAGTGGCTGAAACAAATAAATAAAAATGGAAAGCATAAGCCTGTTCGATGGACAATGCTCTGATAGCCGATGAGAATCTTAAAAAACCCTCGAAGCCAGCCTACTACGGAACTGCCGGGTACAGGTCGAAGACGTCTGACCTGAACAATATCCTGTGCAGGGCATCGCTCATAGCCTACCTGCGGTCTACGACGTTTGCAGGAAAGATCATTGGAGTGATGATCACGGCAAGCCACAACCCCGTGGAGTACAATGGAATCAAGATAATCGACCACAACGGAGACATGCTGGATGAGGTGTGGGAGGAGTATAGTGATAGGATTGTGAACTGCGATGATGAGAAGCTCGCAAGAGAAATGAAGAAAATCCTGAGGTCTTGCAGCAACCAGAGTGAGCTGGGGGAGGGGGTGAGAGGCCATGTAGTTCTTGGGAGAGATACCAGGGACAGCGGGGAGAGGCTGTGCAACAACATCAGATCGGTGTTGGGCAAGTTGAACTGCACGGTGGATGATTACGGGGTGGTGACGACTCCCGAGCTGCACTTTCTTGTAAGGAAGTGTAACACGGAGAACAGGGTGGTTGACAAGGCAGAGTACATGAAGAATATTGCTCACAACTTCAATTCACTATCTTCTATAACAAAGGGAAACCTTAGGATGATGATAGATACGGCAAACGGAGTCGCAGATATGAAGCTCAAGGAGTTGGATGGGATGCTCGACGGCAAGCTGAACTATGAGGTCCTGAACGATCCGAAGGGCATCCTGAATCTGGACTGTGGAGCCGACTTTGTCAAAACAAAGAAGAGGGCTCCGAGGCTCGAGGCGCTTAGCTCCAGTGGGTTCTCCCAGGCAGCAAACAGGATCTGTGCCTCCTTTGACGGCGACGTCGACAGACTCATATTCTTCACCGGCCCAAAGGATACGGAGATATTCGACGGAGACTCACAGGCAGTCTTCCTGGCCCTCTACATAAGGTCTCTTCTCGACAGAATTGAGTCTCGGCTCAGCATCGGGGTTGTGCTTTCCTACTACTCGAACAATGCAGCTGTTGACGTTCTCCCCCCTGAGTCGTTCAAGGTTGTGATGGCACAAACTGGGGTCAAGAACTTTGTGAGTGCAGCAAGAGAGTTTGATGTTGGGATATACTTCGAGCCGAATGGACATGGAAGCGTGTGCTTTTCACAGGCCTGCATAGACGAGATAGAGAAAGGAAGTACCAAATCCCATGCGATTCTTAAGATCTTGGCCAATCTGTTTGATCCGTGCATCGGAGACGCATTGGCAAACTTCGTGATTTTCAAGGCGCTGATGGGCAGTGCAGACGACCTCAGGAAGTTCAGAGAAAATCCAAGCAGGCTTCTCACAGTCAAGATAGTAGACAAGAACAGCATCAAGGTTGACCAGAAAAACCAAGTCATTGAGCCAAAAGAGCTTCAGGACAAGATTGATGTGGAGGCGCTGAGTCTTGGGGGCAGATCCTTCGTCAGGCCCTCTGGAACAGAAGATGTTGTCAGGGTATATGCCGAGTGTCCGTCAGAGGCCGACGCAGACCTCCTCTGCCTCAAGGTTGCACAACATGTCTATGACATGTGCAACGGCATTGGAGACCACCCTGAAATTGATTACACAAGTAAATAAAGTCTTTACGGTGTTTTTTCCCTCTGACTTTTTTTTCGGTAAACGAAATGCTCTCCATGTGGCCATGGGCTGCCTCATTTCTGAAAAGTACCTTGTGCACCTCGGGTTTGCCCTTCTCTTTGCCATGGAGTGGAATCCCATAAAGAGCCGTAGCTGCACGCCCTTAGGGCATGCCAAGCGAAGTCTCCCAAGCATGGCCATATCCAATAGACATCATCGAATACTTCGAAATGCTTCCGAGACACTCGAAGACACAGCTGTATGGAGCGCCGATCTTTGCAGTGTCGTTTCTTAAGGTCTTTGACGAGAAGACCACAAAATTTGTCTTCGACCTACTACTGAAGTCTCACTCCATAAGCTCGCTAAGGGAGATAGAGGGAATCAAGGAGACTTTGAAGATACTGCTAAGGATCCAGGTGATCGGAAAGAAAGGAAACAACATATATCTGGATGAGGGTTTCAGAAGGTCGTTAATGGACGGGTTTTGCATGCTTACGATGGAAAGGCACTACAGGAGCATTGGTGAGAAGGTGGAAATGGATGAGTCGGAAAGCAGCAGAAAATTTGAGGCTATTCTGGGGTCTGTCGTCAACAGGGAGTGCAGGATAGAGGCGTTTGGGGTCTCGGAGGTTCTTATGTTTGGAGGGCTCCTTGGCAGGGACAGAAACATTACCAACAGAGGATTTGAGTTTCTTCTGAAGACAAAAAAGGAGCAGCTGTGGTGTCTTGTGCTTCTATCCCTGAAGTACTTTCTCGGGTCTGTGGAAGAGGAGATAGCTGTGCTTGAGGCGCTGTTTGAGCTAAGCGCAAGGGCCGTTGGAACTGTGTATCGCCAGGTCGACCAGATGGACAGGAGACTGTTTAAGTACTTGGAGGCGCTGGGAATACTGAGGCTTTATGAAAAAGGTCTTGCAATTGGAAGATCCTTTGTACAGCTGTTCGAGGCATCGGAGCGCAACAGGAGGGAGTTTATAATAGTGGAGACGAACAACAAGATATATGCATACACAAACTCCGAATACGAAAAGTCTGTAATACATTTGTTCTGCAATGTGACTGTCAATCTTCCGAACCTGATCAAGGGAATCATAACGGAGGAGAGCGTGAATGTTGCATTCGACAAGGGAATAACCGGAAAGCAGATAATCCATTTTTTGGAGGCAAGTGTCAGACAAGGAAGCCTGCCCCCGGCAATTAGGAACCAGATAGTGATATGGGAGTCGAAGAGAAACAGGATTTTCATGGTGCCTGGATACCTGTATTCGAACTTCCTGAATCTGTCAGACTATCAGAAGGTACTAGAATTCTGCATTAGAGGAAACCACCTGGTGGAATCGGATGTTGACAAAAGAATGATAGTTGTGAAGCTGGAGGGGCATAGCCTCGTTAAGGAGTTCGTAAAGACTATACTCTAGGCTCATAAACAACTCAGGAGATAGAGCACAGACGGTTTAATTAAAGAGACGGCAGGGCCACCGGTCATTGCTTCATGGTATCCATAAACTCTTTCACATCGAACGACACCTTGCATCCTGCCCCTGCAAGGACTATCGCCTCTTTGCAGGGGGCCTTGTCGCTGACATAAAATACACCGTTGTCTTCTAGCAGAGGGCGGTATCTTGTCTCTAGGGCTTTGCTGTCGATTACTAGGGACTTCGTTTTGTACACGGAGGCGTCTGTCTTGACTTCAAGACACCCTTCTCTCCTGGCGATCTCCACAACCTCCTCCTCCACCACATTTATCCCCATGTTCCTAGACTGTCTTTCAACCAAGTCGATGAACTCTTCTGGCCTCTGAATTCCCTTCACACCCACAACATTTCCAGACCCGGAAAAGTCCGGCTTCTCTTTGCATGCTTTGATTATGAGAGGCGACATGTTGGCTGTGTGAAGGTATATCCCGCACATGTAGGCGCCGGGGCCCTGGCCCACAATCACAACACTTCTCATTCGCAGGGGTTAAAGAATTCATTAATTTCGTGTCCCAGGCACCTGGAGTCTGAGGAACCCTGGTCAAACCTCTTTGATAGAAATGATATCCAATCATGATAGATTTGTTTGATCTCCAAATAAGGAAAGTGTTAATACATAGATCTTGTCCCTGGCAGTGTGGAGAGGCCCTAATGTTTGGCAACACAGATGATATAAGGCTGTCTGATATATTGTTCGGAAGTGACATTGATGCAGAGTACTGTGGCAAGGCTTCAAGGAAAAAGGAGGAGGAGAAAGACACGTGGAAGAAGAGCGTCAAGCACTACCGAATCCTCTCTGTCGATCAGATAGCAGCGCTGGAGGACTTCTTTATGAGCAGGCAGATGCCTATAACAAAAACGAACATAAAGCATGCATCGAAGGCTCTCAAGATTCCATACCAGCGGTCTGTAAACTATCTCTACAACAAGTACAGAAGAGCCCAGGAGAATGCCGAGGATTTTTACCAGAGGTGTATCCATGAGTTTAGCGTAATAATGCAAAATGTAGAGAAGTGCTGGGACCTGTACCTCCGAGGGTGCCGGACATACGATGCTCCGAGAGACAGCAGAAATTAAAGCAAGGTGTTATGTATGCTCTTCCAGGAGAGGCGATGGAGCCCGATGAAAATTTTTTGCGTGAAAGGGGGCTAATTTTGGCCTCCCTAAAAGATGAATGATGCCTTGGAGATCATGAAGAAGCAGGCAACTCTCAACATAGGAACCATTGGGCATGTGGCACACGGAAAGTCCACCATTGTAAAGGCAATAAGCGGGATAAGCACAATAAAATTCAAGGCAGAGCTCGAGCGCAACATCACCATAAAGCTAGGATATGCCAACGCCAAGATATACAAGTGTGACTCCAAATGCGTGAGGCCCAACTGCTACCAATCGTTTGGAAGCTCCAGTCCAGATCGGCTTTCGTGCAAGAAGTGCGGAGGGACTCTGAAGCTCGTCAGACACGTGTCTTTCGTGGACTGCCCTGGGCACGACGTTTTGATGGCGACGATGCTGAACGGAACGGCCATAATGGATGCAGTGCTGCTTCTGATAGCGGCCAACGAGCCCTGCCCACAGCCCCAGACTACTGAGCATCTGTTTGCCGTGGAGATTATGGACCTCAAGAAGGTCCTGGTTGTACAGAACAAGATTGATCTTGTTTCCAGGGAACAAGCGCTGGAGCAGCACGACCAGATCCAGAAGTTCTTGAAGACATCGAATGTCTCAGGGCCTGTGATCCCGACGGCTGCCCAGATTGGGGTCAACATCCCTGCACTCCTGGACTTTATTGTTAACTACATTCCCGAGCCTGTCAGAGATTCGACAGCACGCCCAAAGATGATTGTGATCAGAAGCTTTGATGTCAACAGGCCGGGAACCAGGGTGTGCGAGATGTCTGGAGGGGTGATTGGAGGAAGTCTTGTTACTGGGATGCTGAGGGTTGGGGACAAGATCGAGATAAGGCCTGGACTTGTAATAAGGAAGGGTAACAGGTTTGTGTGTCGGCCCTTTGTTTCTGAAATTGTTTCTCTGAAGGCGGAGAGTATAGATCTCTCTGAAGCATATCCTGGGGGGCTGATAGGTGTTGGAACAACGATGGACCCCTCGTTCTGCAAGGCAGACAAGCTGGTTGGACAGGTTATGGGGAAGCTGGGGTTTCTCCCGTCGATTTTCCATAAGATAACTGTCGAGTATAGCCTCTTTCCAAAGACGACGATCCAGGGGAGCTCAAAGCTGAAGGAGGGCGAGCATGTGCTGCTGAACATAGGAAGTACAACCACTGGGAGTGTGATAGGAAGGATCAACGAGACCTCCGGAGAGTTCGACCTGGTGAAGCCTGCATGCTGCGAAATTGGAGAAAGAATAGCAATATCAAGAAAGATCAACAACCACTGGAGGCTAATAGGACACGGGGAGATCAAGGACGGAACATGTATTGAGCCGGAGTATGATGCCGAGATAGATGATGCGCAGCGGAAGGCCGACTAGAGAAAGAAAAAACATCAGAAATAAAAGTGAGCTGTTTTCCAGTAGTCTGCTTTAATAGGGCCGCAGTCATCTCTGGAGGCATATTCTGTCTCCCGACCTATCAAACACAATTATTCCTTTGCTCAGCAATCCATAAACTATTCTCAGAAGCGCAGCTCTGTCCATGCCAAGTCGCCTCCCCAGGTGATCAAGTTCGATGGATTCTTCCAGAACAAGGTGCTGGCAGACAATCTTATTGCATGAGTCTGGTGCATTTCCAAGCTCGTCGACTATAAGTATCTTCTCAATACTGTTTGAGTACTCCCTGCTTTCCCTGACATATCCGAAGGAGCTGATGACATCCTCGTCTGCGGGACCGTCCTCCTTTAGAAATGCAAGGATTTTGCTGATGAGGCCAGGATGCGTCTTCTCGTATTCCATGTCGTTGAACATCTTCCGAAGCTCATCGAGCCTGTACTTCAGGTCATCGACATTGTACCGGCTGTACTCCTGCATCTTCCCATACTTCTCCTTTGAGTTTGCCAACTCTATTTCCAGTACATCGCACTCTTTTTCATACTCGTCGTAAAGCGATATCTCCTCCTGCCTCTTTCTCAGCTCGTTCAGCTCTGACGAGATCACTAGTCCATATCTACTGTATTCAATGCTCAGGTTGTTCAGGACATCTATCAGGGCGATGTGGTCCCCAAGCATTCTTTCCTCAATAACGGGAAAGTCCATCTCTCTGTACATCTCGTTCAGATCCTCCAGTGACTTCAGTGATGTTGTTCTGGGAACCTCCAGTCTTGTTGTTGTTTCCAGAGAGGGGAATCTTCTGGGCTCTGGAATGGCCACCCAGGCCTCCCTGACTGCATCTTCCAGGCTGCGCATCGGGGGATTGGCGGCCCTGCAATTGTTCTCTGCAGACTTAAACAAAAAATCCTGTCGTCCTATGCCTGCTGGCCATGAGGACATTGGACTTCCGCAGGATGATGAGGCCTTTATGAGATACCGGGAAAGAAGAATCCAGGAGCTGTGTGGAAAGGTGGAGGAAGTCGTGTCTGAAAAGGAGCTGATTGAGAAGACCAAGTCCTTGAGGATGATAGTCCACTTCTACAAGCCAGAGTTCAAGCGCTGTAAAACAATGGACAAGGGGCTGGAGGAGGTAAAAGACTGCTTTCCAGGCATTAGGTTCTACCGAGTAAATGCTGAGATATGCCCTGTTGTAGCAAGGAAGCTGGAGATAAGAGTGCTGCCCTTTCTGGGCTTCTTCAAGGACGGATATTTTGTGGATCAGGTCGTTGGATTTGAAAAGCTTGGAGGCGACAGTGTGGAGCCGGAGGTCCTGAAGAAACGAATCTTAGACAGCAACATCTTCAAGCCTATATCCAGCATATAATTAAAGGTGGTTCTCGGAAGCTTTCTGGGAGAAGAGTGTGGATCGATGGTCAAGGAGTTTTATTCGAGGATACTACCCAGCACACCAATGTGAGTATATCCACTGGTGCATAGCAGGATCGCCAGGACTATCCATGGGGATTTCATCGGTGAGGGAGTCGATTGCTCATGTCAGCAGCGAATTCGGCGCTGGGTGCACCAGGAAGTGCAGAGAAGGGCCCTGTACTATCCAAGACAACAAGAGTGAAAGCCTACTGCGGCCGAAAGAACTTAGGAATTACAGGAACAGGTCTTCGTAGTAGTAGAACAGAAGAGAGGTTCCGCTCAAAAGCATGTAACTTGTGGACCAGAAGATGAAATGGCTCTTTCTGTGAACGGCCATAAAGCTGAACATGTAGAATCCATGGAATGCAACAAAGGCAAGATTTGCAAAGCTCTTGACCTCGAAGTCCATGTCGAACAACGGCTTCAGACCAAGGAAAATGCATACCAGGCTCAGCCCATAGAGCATGGACACCACTAGAATCTTTGTGAATCCCCAGTGCATTTCCTCCCTATAGCTGCCGTCGTGGTCCCTTGGCTCCATTTGTTTCCGGACCTGAAGAGCGTTTTATAGGTACTTGAAGTTTGAAACGGGAGTCATCTCTGGGGGAGACTCCCCGTTCATTTGGTGTAGGATGTTTTATCTCGAATGGATTTGGCGGTATTGGAATGGAAAAGTATAAAACGGCGAAATGCCCCTACGGCAGAAATGACAAGAGGAACATTGAATTTCGTGACTTCTCCAATGAATGCAGGCAAGACAGCAAACATGCTGCTGAGGGCGAGGCATGCTGCCACCCTCGGGCGAAGGGTGTTGCTTGCAAAGCCACTGTCTGACACCAGGCACGAAAGCTCAGTGATAAGGTCGCGATGTGGGATTGAGATGAAGTGTGACCTGTGTGCCGGACCCGAGTTCAGCTTTACAAAAGACGTTTTGTATGGAGACGTCGACATTCTACTTGTGGACGAGGCACAGTTTCTGAGCTCCAGGCAGATAGACGAGCTTCGGGAGGTTGCAGATGTCCATGGAATTCCTGTATGGTGCTACGGGCTTCTTACGGACTTCAAGAAGAATCTGTTCGAAGGATCGAAGCGCCTAGTTGAGCTGTGCGACAAGATGATCGAACTTGACATTGTATGTTATTTCTGCAAGGCGGATGGGAGGTTTCATCTGAAGTATGCCAATGGAAAGGCTGTTGTGGAAGGGCCCTCCATCGACATCAGTATACCCGGGGATGGAAAGTTTGTTGCGGTGTGCCACATGTGCTGGACAGAAAAGACATCGACGTCCGAGGAAGTGCAAGACCCCAGGGTCCTTTGTGCCAAGGTCATCCCGGTAGATAGATAAGACACGAGAGGAAATAAACGATAACACCTTTATGTTTCACCTTGTCCCTTATCAAAGCCCCTCCGATTGAATGAATTTGCAAACATTAGTGCCCTAGAAAAATGAAGAGGATTGTTGCATATGGGGTTTCCCACTTTATCCTGCTTGTCATATACACCATGAAGGCAAACCACGGAGGCTTGACGATGTACAATGTCCTCACAACTACGACACGCAATAGCACGGCGCACATCCTCCATGCTACGTTCCTGATCTTTCTTATGTGCTCTCTAACCGGACGGGTGATAGACGGAGTGTTTGGAAGTCTCAGATCCGAGGAGATTGCCAGCTTCAACGAGTCTCTTCTCTACTTCCTGACGGACTTCCTTCTTGTTGTATCTACATTTGACAGCGACATTAACTTCAAGAACGGTCTTCTTTTTGTTATGCTGCTGTGTGTGAAGTCCCTCAGCTGGCTGCTGGGTGTAAGGATAAAGAGAGACGTCTACGCTTCTCTGTACACCCTTGCATATGGGATATCGCTGTTTTCAGGGCTTATGGCACTTCTGTTTACCCTCTCCTGCATATCCTTCATTGACGGGCAGATTCTCTTTCTTTTTGAGTATGCCCTGCTTGTGCTTGCCTCTGTAAAGAACATTTGCGTCATGAACCTGATTCTGTCCGACGACGACGGAAAGAGGTCTCTGCACAACTTCTACATTGACATAGCATACATGGGCATTACGCTTCTTGCGTACGTCATATTCATAGGGATCACGTCCCTCAGTTATAGACTTCCCTTGAATCTCTTCCGGTCGGCCCTGACGATATTGGATGCACTGGTTTCGAAGATCAAGACGTTCCTTAGCTATCTTAGGCTATGCAAGGATCTCGAAAAGTGTGTTGAGGGGTCTGGAGACGGCTTTTGTGCGATCTGCATGGATGGCATGGAGACTGGCAAGAAGTTGACATGTGGACACTGTTTCCACCTCGAGTGCCTGAAGATGTGGTGCGAGCGCCAGCAGACATGCCCGATATGCAAATCCCCGCTTGCGTTTGACATGAGGAAGGAAAGCTTTGTTGTAGGAAATGAGTATATATCTGGGATTCCTGTGACAATCGACAACTAGAGAGCAATAAAGAAACTTTATTCTTCGATGTCCTGGTTTGGGCGAGTGTCTTTCTCCTCCCCGGTCTTTTCTATGATTTCACTGCCTAACTTAACGATGTTGATTCCGGTGCGGGATCCAGGGGAGCTAGACACATGGTACTTATGCCTGCCTATGACTCCATTCCGCTCCCCCTGAATGTTGATGATTGCCTCTTTGGCTCCAAAGGCCAGCCTGTACAGCCCAGCCTTCTTTGCTGCAGAATAGGGGAATTTCGATGGATACACACGTCTCTCTCCGAATGCATTCGAAATCTCCTCTCCTTCTTCGTTAACCTCGATGAAGTTTATCTTTGTAGTGTAGTAGTAGGATGCCTTTTTGTTTATCACCCTGAGCTTGTCGCTCAGGTCGATGTGTCTCCTGCTTTCGTTAAAGACATCTCTGTACTTCTCGAGGATTTCCTTCCACTTTCCACGCCCAAATTCCTTAACTCCCTTGAGCAGTGCCTCCTTCTCCTCCGTACTCCAGGGCTGGGGCTTTCTTCTCGGATTCTTTGTGTAGGTCCTCGTGATGGCGCTTTCGTTCACATACTTCTTCTTTGGAACCCTGCTGTAGATGTGCAGCTTGATCTTTGACGACGGTCCGCTATACTCGGTGTTCTTCATTTACCAAGGGCTTCAAATCTTAGTAAAGTCCATTGGTGCTCACCCAGTCACCTCTCTGTTGCCCCGTGGAAAAGTTCCTCTTCGCCAAAACAAGCTCCAGGCATACAGATATCATACGGGTGTCTCCTAAGATGGCTTCTTACCGCATGCTTCCACTCATGCTCTAGCACGCTGTTTTCAATGTAGGCTGTGGAAAGTGGATCCACAGTCACAATGCCATCGGCCCTGGAGACTCTGTACCGGTGGATTTTCTTGACAGAGCCGAAGTATGTGCCCACAAAAATGTCTTCTCCCTCCTGATATTCTTCCCCGCTCCTTTCAACCATCTTTTGCAACTCCACCAATGGGTTGGTGCAGAAGAAATACACAATCTTCCCGTTCCTGTATATCGGCATTCCGTACATGTTGACGACAACAGCATGTTTCATGTTGGCTTCTTCCAGGCATCGAGCTTGGATGTTTTCGTAGTACTGTCTTTTTATTTCTCTTTCATCCTTGTCGGGCCCGAGGTATTTGCCGTACTTCTTCAGAATCGCAGGCCAGTCTGTGCCAAAGCAAAGTATTCCTGTGTCCAGGGCACACATCTCGGCGTCCCTCCACTGCACAGGAATTTTCGAAGGCGAGTCATCGTGGGAGCATAGATCTTTTTTGCATCTGTTTTCCATGCGCGTTGTGCGAAGAGGCATTAAAAGACCCCACAAATGTATTGGTGTTTGGGAGCGTGGCATGCGCCATTCGAAGACGTGTGCCGAGTGGTCTAAGGCGCTGGTTTAGAAAACCAGTAGGCTCTGCCTGCGCAGGTTCGAATCCTGTCGTCTTCGCTTTTGTACGATGCGTCCATTGTAAATCCTTGGAACCGGTAGCCCATGAACTGCCAAATATGCACCGGCAGCACAGACGTCTCTGCGAGATACGACTGCGGGCATCAAATATGCATGGCATGTGCTGTGAGACTTGTGTTTCTATACATGCAGTCTGGGTGTCCCCTGTGTAGGGGGACGACGGAGGCTGTTGTTTTTTCTGCATCCTCTCCGGCATGTGGAACCTCCAGGCGGCAATGGAAGGGCAGAGAGGCTCCTGTCGCCGTTTTCTATGAGGGAGCCGATGTGAGGGACAGGATGGAGGACCTTCTGTCCAACAAATGCCAGAAGTGCCACCGGAGGTTTGGATCCTTGAAGGAGCTGAAGAAGCACTACGCACAGCATGGATTTGTTCTCTGCTCTGAATGCATTGGAAACAGGAAGGACTTCTGGAATGAGATCAGGCTCTACAGAAGCAGCACGATAAGAGACCACAAGAACGGGAGTCTCGAGGAGGAGGGGTTCAGCGGACATGTGCTTTGCATCCACTGCAAGATCTATCTATTTGATTCTGATGATGCAAGGCGGCACTGCAACCTCAGGCACGAGGCATGTCATGTTTGCGACATGGTCGGGATAAGATACCAGTACTACAGCAGCTTTGAAGATCTGGAGGCACACTACAGAAATGCCCATTACTGCTGCACCTTCCAGACATGCCGGGTAGGCAAGTGCTATGTGTTCCCATACCATACAGAGCTTCTTGAGCATCTTACAAGATTCCACAAGGTTAATGCCAGGCTATCTGAAATCCCTAGGCCTGGTAGGTGCAGCATTCCCGTGATGGATCCGTTCAAAAGAAAAAAGGCACCAGCCCGGGTCAGTGTTATAGACCCAAGCGGAGGGAATGCAAGAGCACCAATGGCCCATAGGGGAGGCTCCAGACAGGACACAGCTTCGCCAAGCACCGAGGCTGAGCTTCCAAAGTACCTGAATCGGAATATTTTGGAGGAGGAGAGGAGAAAGCTGCAGAAGCGCAGGCTGGTGATTGACCGTATATGTAAAGCGGAGGGTAACGAGATAGAAGAGATCATAAACGAGTTTCTGGGGGATTCCATAGATGTTACGGAGGCCTTCAACAGGATATCAAAGGTGACTGGGGATGCAGCTGCCCTTAAGCTATTTGAATCGGCGCCTTTCGGACCTAAGCAATCCGTGGTGGAGGGTAGCATCAAAGCCCTAAGGAAGAGAGTCATGTTTCCGAAGTTTGTTCCATCGGAGCCTGTAAGATACAGAGAGCCCGAAAGAAAAGGCCCGGGATTCACAGTTATAGATCTGCACAAAAGGAAGTGAGAGACACAGAGCTAAGGACCTTTTATTTCTTCACTATCTTCTTGGATATATAGAACTCCTTTGTCTTCCTATTGATGTACAGCAGGGTAGCAAATATCGTGGCTATCTTGAGGAGCACTATTCTGTTGATAAGCTTGAAGATGCTGTTGTATAGCCCTGTGTACTCCACCTCGTCCCAGTCGTCCAGCTTCTGCAGATCGAAGTTGTTCTTCGAAACATACAGCAGATCTCCCATCTTCTTCGTCAGCCATTCCATCTGGTAATCCGTCCCGGAGACAATCTCTGGGGTCCACGGGCGCCCTTCGTAGATAGTGAGTCCGAACGCCAGCTCTCCCCTAACATCCGTGTCCAGAGAGAACACCATGGTATAGTACCCTGTTTCCGGCGTCGTATAGAAGAACGTGCTAAACATCTCGTGCTTCACATCCTTGAAAATCAGGTTTTTTGGGTCGGGATCAGCACTTTTGTAGTCCCCATCGGACTTGTATATGCTGAGCCTTGTCCCGGCATTGATTCCCTTTGCCTCTCTCCACGGCTGGCTGGGCGATGCCCTGTGGAACAGCTTTGCCTGCATGAGAACCACGGTCTGTCCGTTCAGCCTCAGAGCACTTTCCACCGACCTGTTATCATCCAGATAGAACAAGGTCTGCGAGAAAACATGCGCCAGGAACAAGAAAAACATTCTTGAAGGGCATCGGCCAAGCGAAATAAAATCAACGGGCCCGCCAGAGAAGAAAGATGAATAAACACGGATTTACTCGCAAATGCAGGATTTAGAGCATCAGTGATTCCCTCCAATCGTCGCAGAGCCCGTCGAGGTTCTTCTCTGCCCATTCCACAGACGTGAAGGTATCAACAGCCTTCCTGTTGATCTCATGTCTTTCGGTTCTCTCTTCTAGAGACATCGTGATTGCCCTGTGGATCCCGTCTGCAATCTCTTCAGTGTTCCACGAATTCACTTCCACTGCAGCAGGCAATGTCGTGGACGCCCCTGCATTGCTACTGAGCAGAAGCACCCCGTTATTTTCGTTCTGGCATGAAATGTACTCCAGAGCAACAAGGTTCATTCCATCCTGAAGAGATGTCACAAGAAGCATGTCGCTTACTGCATACAGGGCACACAGCTCATTGAAGTCCACACTCTTGTTCAGGAAGTACAGGTGCACAGACTCGATGGATCCGAACTTGCTGTTTGTTTCTGACACAAGCTCATTCATCTTGGTGATGTACGAAGAGTACTCCTTGACACTTGTTCTGCTGGGAACGCCGACCTGCAGGAACACCACGTTGTCAAGAAACTCAGGATGCTTTTCGAGAAACCTTTGGAATCCCTTAACACGGTGTGGCATCCCCTTTATGTAGTCCGTCCTGTCCACTCCCAGAAGAATCTTTCTTCCTCTAAACATCTCCCGGAGCTCTTTGATCCTTTCCACCGTCTTCTCTTCCTTAAGGGCGCTTCGGAACATCGCTGGATCGATTCCTATTGGAATTGCATCCAGCTTCGACCTTACCTCTACCTTGTTTGCCCTGCACGTGTCGTCGAAGTTGATTGCGTAGTCAAACGAGTGGAATGCAATGAGATCGCTGTGTGCCATGCCGCTCACTATCTCTCTCCTGCATGCAAGAGTCTCCATTATCTCTGCCGGCGGAAACTGGGCGTGGAGGAAAAACATGATCTTGAAGCTCTTATCTGACTTCTTCCTCAGCATTTCAGGGAGTATCATCAAGTGGTAGTCGTGGACCCAGACGATATCGCCGTCCTCCACAATCTTGCATATCTCCTCGCAGAAGATTGTGTTGTACTCGACATATGCATTGTAGTCCTTGATGGTGAATGCAACATCGTCCTTGAACGAATGGATTATTGGCCACAGAATGGCGTTGCAGAAGCCGTCGTAGGAGTTGCTGTTGAGCACAGGGTCGATGAACACAGGAATCGAATGGAACTTTTCCCAGCAGTCTTTTCTTATCACCTTCTTCTCCTCTTCATCCAGCTCAACACCACTTATGTTTCCTAACCACATGAACCTGATCTTATCGCTGATGCCTCTCAGACCGGTTACGAGCCCCCCGCTTGTCTTTGTGTACTCAAAACCGTCCTTGCTCTTCTTTACTGTCAGAGGTAGGCGATTGCTGACAACCAAAAGCTTCATAGAGACACTCGGAGAGCCGGTATTTATTTAAAATAAGCAGAATGAAGTTTCAAACAACTTCACATGTAACCAATGGAAAGGCTCAGCCTTTACATGACAGAAAGCAAGCTGCAGAAGGTTTAATATTCCCTAGATAAGGTCGAGCCTGAATCTCCCGAGGTAGCGGCCCAGCCCTGTAAACACACGGTCAAACCCGGCCACATATGTAAGCAGCACCACTCCTACGTTCGACATGGCAAAGGTGAGGTAGAAGAAGGTGTTCACCATGTCCATACCGAAAAATGCTGTCAGCGAGCAGCATATGTGGCTGGTCAGCCCAAGGATAAGCAGACTGGTTGTCCTGTTGTTCAGAGACTTGAATATGTATGCACCAAGGAAATCGATGAACAGAATCAATGTCATGTAGGTGAACCCACGCTGCGCCTTCATCACCCTATACTTCATCCGGTCATTCTTGGATATCTTCGCCATCGACCGCATGGTCTCTAACATAAATCCGACGGCTGTTGTGGAGGACGAGAATAGAAAGCAGAACACGCCCTTTGCATCCGATACACGAAGAAACGGAGACCTGGCGAGATAGTCCACTCCTGCTGGGATTATCCAGCTTTCAGAGACTGCCACAAGCAGCAGAAAGGAAATGTACATGACCATCTGCCCTGCAAATAAATGTCCGAGTTGCATCATCAGGGTAACTGAGACTCTGCTCATTACCTTGAAAATGAATCGGAAGGATTGAGAGACATTTTTACAATCTGCCTTTATTTACATCAGCGATCGAGATCGAGAGGTCCAAATTCAACACCAAAGAGTCCGTGCTTAATAAGCTCTCGGAGCTTGTGTCCTCGAACCTTCTTGAGGTGGAGGTTTCTGTATCTTCTCCTGTCGTTAACCACGACTCTGTAGAAGTCGCAGTCCCCGACCAGCACAAAGATGTCGCACTTGGCATTGATGTACATGCAGACCTCCTGGCAGACCTTGCGCTCGATGTGCTTCTTGAGCTTGTGGAGCTGTCCTGGGCATCGGAGGCACTTTGGAAGAGGCTCCAGAATGCAGTTCTTGTTGTTGTTTCCCCTAATCTCTCCGTTCCTCGACAGAATGAATCTCTCGAACTTCTCCTTGGAGTCCTTAGAGCAAACTCTGACAACAACCTCTCCCCTTCTTCTGTACTTCTCAATGTCGAAAGTGTATGTCTTCTGGCTCTTCAGGACCTCGACCTTCCTTGGGCACCCACGGCGCCTAGATCCGCACTTCTCTTTGCATATCCTTGGGAATGTCTTGCATCTCTTCTTATTGCACTCGCTGCTGCTGCTAGAGTCATAGCACTCGGGCTCGCAAGGAATGCAGTTGCTTGGAGATGGATTGACGACGATCTTCTTGTAGTGGGGGCGGCGCTCAACCGGCTCGATGCACACTTCGGAGCATTGGGCAGGCCTGGCACTGCCCTCGACATATATCTTCTCGGATGAGGTAGCCGCCTGGAACCCACCAACGCTGGCAGCCTTGGACCCTGGGCATGGGCAGGCCTCGACACAGAGAACGTACTTCGCTGTGTTGGTGTACGGGTCGAAGGGTGCAAGAGCTCCGTTGTCATAAAGAACCATTGGAGTTCCACGGAGGTCATGGTCGTTCCAGTAGAGCACGTATGCCTTCTTGATGTTCATTGCCTGGAGGTATTTGATTGCCTCGTGAATGTTGCTTCCGTTCAGGGCAAACGCCATGCAGTTAGCATCTACCACGGCACTATATGGCCTCAGCTCCTGCTCGCATGTAAGGTGAAGAGCCTTAGTCTTAAGAGCACTGATGGCACTGAGTCCAACTATCAGGAATCCCAAGAGCTTCATTGAGCATCCCCCATACTGCCAATATATGCATTAAAACAACAAAGAACAGTCTTTTGGGCAATTCCTTTTTCCTTTTGGGGAACTGGATGATCACTGATGGCGAATACATCACTTCGTTCGACATCAAATTAACAGGATAATGACCCTTGAGGATTCATGACACTCTCCTCCCATCCAGGAGCAGTTGGAAGGAGAAGAGAACTAGAGCCCATGCGATTTTGGGCAACCTCCTGAGGTACGCAAAAGCACGGGAGCAGCAGTGCTTAGTATACCCTACAAGGCATCCCCTAGCCCTAATCCCCAGAAATCGCTGGTTAATTTAGTCCTAAAGATCAAGATCCAGGCAGATATTTAAATTAATCTATTGATCTGGGTGAATTTATCTCTTAATCATAGTCAAAATTGCTTGGTATACAAATCTTTTACTCCATATAAACTTAAGGTTCATGGGTGCTTTTGGCGGGAAAGTGGACGGGAGTCCGTGGCTGATAGAGACAATCAGCATCGATACAAACGACTCCGAGGAGGACCCTCTAGGTAGGTGCCGGTGTCTCCTGTCTAGGAGGACATCTAGGCTGAGAAATGTATGTACATGCTCTAAGGATGGCAAGAAACCGTCCCAAAACAATACCATCTCCCATCTTTCCGCCTCGCTGGCCAACAAAGAGCAAGGCCTCTTTGAAAAAAGGCAGAAGGCTCACGACTCCAGGGCTTCCACTAATGCTCCCCAAAACTATCCTTTATCAGGCAGGGGATCCCATGCCAATAAGAAATACCAGCTCTACAAGACAGAAATGTGCAGGAGCCATACAGAAATAGGCTACTGCAGGTATGGCGACAAATGCCAGTTTGCACACAGCAAGGCCGAGCTCAGGTATGTGCAGAGACATCCGAAGTACAAGACAGAGACGTGCAAGACCTTCTGGGAGGAAGGGAGCTGTCCCTATGGCAAGAGGTGCTGCTTCATCCACATCCCGAACACTGACATAGCTAATCTTCCGATTCACGGTCGTCAGAGGGACAGCGGAAAGAACTGCACAGGTTACACCCTGGGCATAGAGATAGACGAGCATCCACACGATGAGCTCATTTATACCAAAATCGAACAGCACATGCCGCTCGTCGAAGGCAATCCTCTCGACTGCCTCGGCAAGGACAGAGAAGACACTGACGAAATATGGATCTCTGGGGTGTCTCAGGATCCCTCCTGTAGAGGCCATGGACTCAACCACTCTCACTCCGAATCCATCAAACAGCCCTTCGAGCCCATCATTGAAGACGAGTCCAGCGAGGGAATCATGCTTCGAAGACCTTTCTGGGAAAGCAGCTATTCTAAGATATGGATGGACGAGGAGACGTCGCTATTCTACCTGGACGGCCCTTGTAGAAGGCGGGCCAAGGGCGGGGCCTTTGCCCCTGGAGGAGCGGTGTGCAAGTCCTTCGACAAGAAGATATCCGACTTTGTGTTTGGGAACTTAGGTATGTAAATAAATCTTTGTGGAATTCATTTGGTCTCTGGGCCATAAAACTAAAAGAATTCGGAGTCCCAATGGAAGTGGTGAAGTTCGAGCCAGATACTGAAGGCATAGAAAGAAGGAGAGGCATAAAGCCTTTTGGGAACATAGGTAAGATAAGGGTGATCAAAAGCACAACGGCCCCGAGGTTTAATCTGTACACGACGGAGGTGGGCATTGACTGTAAGGAGGAGCAGAAGCAATATATCCCCTACAGGCCTTCCCTTGAGGAGCCTGCCGTATCAAATGCCTATGTCCCCCCAACAATCAAGCGTCCCGAAACATGCAGCGTCAAGCTCTCGAATCTCCCGCTCGACATGACAAGGGATAGGCTGCATTCGATTATCAAGTCGCACACAAACATCTTCTTCATGAGTCCAAACCTTGTCATGAACAGGGAAACAGGTGCATTCAGAGGATTTGCATTTGTGACTCTGGAGTCCAGGGATGATGCCGTGAAGCTCATCAAGGACCTCAAGGGCGTTGCAATTGATAGCCTGGGGCTGTCTGCAGAGATAGCTAGGTAACTATTTTGACATGGCCATCTACTTGACAAGCACCGGAAAGGGGTCTGCTCTGCTGAATACCACTGCTCTTCTGCTGATCGATATGTATCCTTTGAGTCTCCCCAGCCCAATCGAGGTGCTCAGAAGGCAGATGATTTCCTTGAAGTCGATAGCAGGCAATGCCTCTACAATTCTCTGGATGTCGAGTCTGCTGTCGCACCCATGCAGCCTGTAAATCCTACCCACCAAATTGTTGAAGCATACAAGTGGATAGTGGGCAGCCATAGTCCTGCAGAGGTTGTAGTCTGCAATTTTCTCTGACGTCCTGCTTATTGCATCGTCTATGTCCTCATACAGCCCTCCTCGTACTATGGAAACCAGCCCCGACAGGTAACTACAGCCAAACCTCTCTAGATACACATCTTTGGGGAACTTGTTGACAAACAGGGACGAAATGAAATAAACAGGTGCTACTATCTTCCTCCATCTCTTGTACATGAATACTTTCTTCAATGACAGATATGCCTCCCTGAAGTCCTCCTCATGCATTTTGATAATGCCTCTGTAGTAGTGGAACACATGGTAGTCTCGGCACCTGGTATCCGGCTCCTTGGAAGCTCTGAGGAAGTCCTCTGCAGACTTGAACCTTCCCATGTCAAGATGTATCTGGAGCAAGGCATTTCCGACGTAGGCAGCGGCCGGGCTTTCTTCCTCCACTAACTTCTTATGCATGTCCGTCAGAAGCTTACTTATCTTGCCTAAGTTGTCCTGACTCTTCAGCTCAAGCAACCCATACACGGCTCTCTTGACAACCGTGCTGGCCCACTTCTCCCTTCCCAGCATCCTTACTGCATTTTTTACCAGCACCTCAGCCGAGCTATAGCTCTTCTCCGCCACAAGGGCCTTTTGGTACTCAAAAAGAGCATTAAACGGATACTTAACTCTGCCAAGGTCACTGCTCTTCATTCCTACCAGTGTGTCTGCATTTCTACCGAATAGTTGCGAGATGTACTCTCCATCTTCTGCGTCTATTTTTGAGTTGGTTGTTTCTACCCATCCCATTCAGGGATATTCCCGGGCTGCTGGTATACCATGCCTGAGAGTCTAGAGATGGCGATTTACATGGAAGGTCTCCATGCCCTGCCCATGGATCTTGAAATAAGAAGACATATGGAGAGTCTCTGTGGGAGATCGGAGCTGGGCATCCAGGCGTTTGTATCCAATGGAAGATATCTTTGTCTTCTCTTCAATCGGGAGACACTGCTGGCCGGGATGACACTCCAGAAAATAAGAAATCGTGTGTATATAAGAAATGTCGACACAACAGGTTATGGGAGAGGGCATGCTAGAGGATTCATCCTATCGGTCCTAAAGACACTGGCGCCTGGATTCTGCTGCTGCTTCAGTGTTCCAAGGAGTGAGTACATCTTTGGCGGTAGTTCCAGGAATAGAGAAAAGAGGATCAGGGGGCCCGGAGAGCTGCTGGAGTATTGGATTGAAGTGTTTGAGAGCCTTTACGACGATGTGCATGTATGGTCGAACCACTATGAGAACATCTCTTATCCATTTAAGCATATCGACGAGGTGGTGTATTTTGAAGATGATCCCAAGGAAAAGCTCAGAAGGCATTTTGAGGGAGGCCTAGAGGAGATGTTTGCGGCACTGTTGTGCAGGGCAGACTTTGCCAGTGGATCATTGGTGTATGGCCAGTCACGTGGAGATGATGTGTGTAGTGTGGTAGAGACAAGCATTGGGGACGTGGATGGCATGGAGGCGATGCTGAGGACGCTGGACTTCTCGTCAATTTCCAAGGCAAGGAGATCTACAAAGAAGTTTATATGTGAGTTTGAATTGGCCGTGGAGTATTTCCAAGGCCAAGGAGCTGTGAGGCCCAAGAAGAATGAGGAGGCCTTTGCTGTCATGAATGCAACAAATAAGTCTTGATTTGTTACTCTCCAGAATCATTCCGCCAGATGTCCTTTCAAATGGAAAGGTGTGACAATATGCATCTATCAGAGTGTTTGACGTGCAGAGTCTGATTTGTCCAGAAGGTATAGGATTTCATATATAAAAGTATCCATAGGTTTTCTGAAGATGAAGATCATAGTTGCTGCGGAAGAGCTGCCTATATGCGCATCAAGAATGGAGCCCTCCGAGGCAATAAAAAACTGGATTTCCACTCCTCTGAAGAAGATCCCCCATCCTGACAAGGCAAGTAAGATCCAGATTGAGTTTGGAGACAGGAGCAAGGAGAGTCTGCATCTCTTTGCAAAGCCTCACTTCATGGTGCCTGACATGTTGGACGACGATGAGATGTTCTTTGTGGGGGCTCCCGGATTTTATTCTCCTGAGGAGTTCAGTGACGAAGATTGCAGGAGGATTGAAGAGTCGATGAAGGCCTATAGATGCTATCCCATATTCCAAAAGAGGGTGAAATACTCAAAGATGATTGAAGAGATTCTCGGGAAAAATACTTATGAGTTTGTGCAAAGCAACTTCGACCATGCCAACATGTTTGCGAGGTACAAGGAGTACAACACGAGATGGCACGAGAAGATCATGGAGATCTACGAGGAGGGCGATGTTGTGTGGGTGATGGACCATTCGCTGTTTCTTCTTCCAGGGATGCTGGGCAACAGCATTCCTGTTGGGATGTCTGCTTCTGTCCCGTTCTCGTCCCTGCTCAAGTGCATTCCGTTTTGGGAACAGATCTTCTCATCGATTCTCTGCTGTAGGTACATCGAGTTTAATGAAAGCTCGTCAAAGGAGTCCTTTGACCTGTTGGTTTCCCAGAAGACAGGATTCTGTATGGGCGATCCGGGGTACAAAGACATAAGGGAGCCATTGACCTGCGTAGGAAAGAAAGGAATCGACAAGGATGTTCTTCTTAAGATGTCGTCTGAGGTGCATGAATTCGAGGGTCTTGGAAAAGGAAAGGTTATCCTTCTTCCATCCGACTCTCAGACGCACCTTCTTGGTGTCGAAGCCTATCTGTCCAGATACGGCAAGGAGATCACGGTTTTGTTTCTGAGAACCCGGGTCTTGAATGGAGATTCTGACAAGCAAGCCGAGGTTATGAGGCTCCGAGAATATCTTGAGATAAACTACAAGGTTCTATCAAGGGAATTTACACCTGCAAGTGATCCTGAGTTTATCTCTATGCTGAAGCGATGCGATCTGTGTCACTGCCCGGAGGTTGCAGATGTTTGCTCTCTTTTCGGAATTCCAGTTGTCCGGAACAATCCGTACGACTTCTTCGACATAGCAGATGAGATAAACGAGAATCTTATGCAGAGAGGAGAAGGCTCCAAGGAAGGCTCCAGCGAGGTGATTGGAAAGATGGAGTGGAAGAAGAGGTTTATGACGAGTCTCCTGAGCATTAGCGGAATGGAGTATGATGTTGACCTTGAGCCTAAGGAGCCTAGGATAAGATCGTCCCTATCCATGGACCAGACAGGCCACAAGAAGGTCGATGCAAAGAAGAAGCCGGGAATAAGGAAAAAGAACAGAGAAAAAGAAGAGGCAGTAGAGATCATCCTGAATAATAAGGAGGATGCAAATGCTGCAAGAATAGTCAATGACTTCAAGAAGAGCAAAGCGAGGACATTGGTTATGGACTACGATGGAACACTGACCAATATTGTTGCGCGCCCTCCGATGGCAGCACCGACACAGGAGATAAAGGACCTGCTCATACGCTTGGGCAAGATCTGCAGGGTTGTAATATCTACAGGAAGAAGCGTTGAAGATTGCGACAAGTTCTTTCCAAAGGAGATTGAGGTTTTTGCAGAGCACGGTGCATGCCACAGGATCGATGGGAAATGGAAAGAGGGGGGTACGTTTCCGCAGAAGGATCTTGCATGGAGAATAGGCCAGTTCTTCCTTGCAAGAACACCAGGCTCCGAGCTGGAGAGGAAGAAAACAGGATATGCATTCCACTTCAGAAATGTGTCTCCCTTGATAGGAGTGAAGCAGGCAAGGGCTCTTTTTGAGCTTCTAATGCGGGTCTGCAAAGATTATGTGAAGAAGGGAAACCATGTTATTGAGGTCAGGAGCAGCAAAAAGTCCTGTGCTATGGAGAAGATCGAGGAAGGGTTTGTCCTGTGTGCCGGAGACGATGTTGCAGACGAGGATATGTTCGATGTGTGCAAGGGATATACTATTAAGGTGGGCGACCAAAGCACGTCTGCAGCATACAGGGTCAAGGATCCAGAGAACTTCAGAATGCTGCTTGGAAGGCTCCTGGAATAAATAAACTGCTCTTCCCAGCCTCTTCTCTACCTTATGGGCGCTATCGCAGGAGATCCTCGAGCATTTCCCGGTGGCACTCGCTTGCTTTGAATGTCTTTCTGAAGGTCCTCACCCTGCTGACCCATCCAGCCTTGGACACGAAGAGCCGCTTCTTCCCCTGGAACAATGACGTGTATCCTCCAGAAAGATGGATTACGTCCCCGGGATTTAGAGAGCAGTTCCACACTCCAAACTCGATTGTGCCGCTCTCGTCCCCAACCAGCCACACATCAATCTTGTCGTTGTCCTTGGTCTTATTCGCCTCAAGATATTTGATCAGAATGAACTCCAAACATATGTTCTTTTGGTAGTCGCTCAACTCGGCTATGCTGTCCATTATTATGGGGTGTTGTTCCATCTTCAAGATGCAGAAAGTCCATGCAATGAGCCTGGAGTTGAGGTATTACTGTCACAATCTTGTTTAATTTCATGGATCTAGGGCCCAGATTCCTCAAGTCTTGATCGCCCTTACAAACTCGTCTGCATCGCTCTCGCTCCTAAAAACAACACAGTATAGCTGCTCAACACACTTGTTCTCTGCCATCTCCCTAACGACAATGCACACTCCCAGCCTTTTCTTTGTGGGCCTTACATCGTAGGTGACAAGGAAGTCAAATGCACTCAGCATCACCCCGTCCCTAATGAAGAAGCATCTCTTCTCCTTGTTTTTAGTCACATAGACAACACCTGTCCCTATACTTTCCCACTCCCCTACAAACTTGTGCAGGTTGGCACCTGCCTTAAGCACAACCCCCGGGATCTCGTTCTTTGCAGGGCCTGAGCTCTTCACCACGGGCTTCCGGAGAAACTCGGACTCTCTTGGCTGCTTCTTCTCTCCTCCAAGGTCCTGAAAGATGGTTCTGTCGCTCCTGAGGTCCTTCAGCTCTACCGGCTTGAATATGTCATTCAGCACCTCACCCCTGGCCTCGTGGCTGTCACCATGTGCATGGGCTGCACATTCTTGTTCCCTCTCACTGCAGGTGCTTTCTTGGTCGCTGCCCTTGGCTTCTTCAATGCCCATTCTCTCCATGGGTCCCTCCAAAAAGATTTTACTGCCTAGCTGCTAAGATGAGATGGCATTGTATATTCGTTTATTATTTCTGGCTCACACTGCTGCTTACCTCCGAAATGATGTCCGGCGTGTTGATTAGCTTGACAAGAACAAGCTTGAACAGATCCCGGAAGAATTTCAGATCCACTTCTGTCACATCGCCAAAGAACTTGGTAAAGACGTCTCCAACAATCCTGACAGGCTCTGACAGCTTGTCTCTGCTGCCCTTGATAATGCCCACAGCAACATTGATCTCGTCGTAACTTTCGGCGAGATTGTCAGCTACTCCGAAGCACCAGTTTATAAGTGCCCTGGCATCGTCATCACTAAGATAGTAGTTGATTATCTTTGGCTCTTTGGATATCTCATACTTGCTGCCGACTGCAGCCGATTCCTTAGGCTTCTCAGCCACTGCAATTTCTAACATTCCCCCGGCCAGGCAGACAGCAAGCCTTGCGGAAATTCTTATTCCTAGAACGTTCATGCTTCTCTGGTCGCTTTGCAACAATTTAAATGTTCCTCCGTACATTTGCCTTATAAGAAAAAGGAGGCCCTCCATACACCGCCCAGTGTTCCTAATAACAGCTCACAGACTCTTTCTGTTCGCCGCAGCAGGTGCGGTATGATCAAAGGTCAGAGAGCTTGCGGAAAAATTTATTTCTTCAAATAGTGTTTGGCGACTATATTAGCCAATGACTTAAGGATCTTGATGTCTTCCGACTCGGTTCCAGGAGCCGACTTCAAAAAGCTCAGCAGCATGTCAATAAACGACTTTGTTTTCTTGCTTATCCCGCGCTTGACCTTGTACTCTTCCAGAAGATTCATGATGTCTTCATATGCTTCTTTTGCATTGTTAATATCTTCGAAAAGCACATCAAACAGTCTCCGTACATGCTCCGCATCCATGGAAAGAATGCTCATTCGCTCGCCTCCATTGGGTCTCAGCCTACTCGATTCTTTTCGCAGTGGAATTCCGAAGGCGCCTTCGGGCTTTTGTTCTGTACCTCCAGAGCTCTTGGCATTCAGGTATTTGTAGAGAACCACGACCGTTGTTCCCATCATGAAAAAGAATATTGCCACAACCAGCCCTAGCTTCCTCAGCGACATGGCAGATCCAGACCTTCTACCAGGGGAATCCATCTCTGTGGCATGCTACCAAGGATTCTGTATATCACCTGCACTATCTCCTTATGCCGCCCCTTTCAGACCCTTATAATTCTCCAATGGGATCGGCAGGCATCATGGAAGAAGGCCCTCCACTCAATGGAAAGGAAGTTAGATTAAGATGTTTTATTGGGAGGAAATTCCCTTTAACAAGGCTGCCTGAACAAACCCTGCCTCTGAGGTTTGCTCACAGTAGTCTTGGACCCCGGCAACACAGCACCCCTTGCTCCTCACCTTCCCGCTGGAGCTGACATTCTCCACACCGACAATCCTTCCAAGCTCCAAGCAGCTTCCAATCGAAATGACAGGAATGTTCTTCTTTTTTGCCAGCGCCATGACAAGCTTGGAAATTCTTGGCTCTGCATTCTCGGCAACCATCACAAAGCTCATTTTATCTGCAAGCATCTTCTTTGTTGTCTCCTTGGCTCCCCTGCTCAGCTTGCAGTATGTTCTGGACACCTTGCACACCTTGGAGAGTGCTTCTTGGAGAGTCATTTCGGGCTCCATCATTGGCTCCTGCATTTCGCTCATTGGAGGGTAAATTTTTTCTGCCAATAACGTCCTCGTGGGGCGGGATGTCTGCAGGTCGGCACCCAGTGCCCACTGCGATCTGCCCTTCCTCCAAGGAAAGACGCTTTTGTTTTCCGGCAGTCATCCGTCATATCAATAAATTTTATTGGAAAACAAAGAAAGCCCCAATGCCAATTATAGTACGCAGCTGCAATGGCATGAGCATGGATGAAATCAAGGCGAAGGTGAAGGAGGCTGGAAGGCCTGTTCTCCTGAAGTTCTCTTCAGAGAGATGCGCCCCGTGCGAAGACCTGAAGGAGAAGCTCGCCCAGTATGAGACAGACCTTCAGGTCAACATCTTTGATCTCTGTAGAACAAGGACAGCCTCCTACGTTGAGCTCTGGGACAAGTTTTACATCACTGCATTCCCGACAATTGTTCTTGTGGACGAGGATATGAACGAGATGCAGAGCAGCGAGGACTCTGCAGGCCAGGCCGGCCCATACAGGATGTCCGGCTCAAACATCAAGAAGTTCGATGAGCTTATCAAGAGGCACAAGCATCTGTTTGAGTAGAGCATTCCCAATAAATCCTCATAGCCCTCTCCATTCTGGCTTGCTGTGGTATCTCTTGATGTTTTCTCTTACACTCTCCAGATACCCTGCCGGGTCCCTTCTAAGGCATCCACTGGCATCGGTGTTTGCAGGGCTGCGCGTGTTGGGGCTTCCAAGAAGTTGCTGGATCCCACAAAGGACATTCATAATGTTCAGGCTGGGCTTCCACCTATCTCCGATGATGTCGAGGCACACCTGGTTTGTGGGATAAACATTTGGATGGTATACAGGATACTTGAACATGACTTGTGGAGGGCTGAATGGATAGTCGTCCGGAAAGTCTACATACAGCGTGTAGTAGGACCCCTCGTATACATCGTCCTGAGGCCCGGGAATCCCGCACTCCCATCTTGTAATGTTTTTCTTTGGCCTTTCAGGCAGCGGGATCGCGTAGAATTTGTACTTTCTGCTCTTGACCAAGTTTTCTTGTTCTGCCAGAAGTCTTTCCAAGTTCGACATGGAGGGATGGAATCCAAGACTAAAAGAGGCATCAGGATGGCAACTCCTAGAAACGGTGCTTCTCTGTAGCCCCAATGGTAAGAGAGAGGCTGACAAAGGAAGATGAGGAAAATATCGACATGATTCTGAATCCATACCCTTTGGCCACGGAGGATGCCCTGAACGAAATCGAGATGTCTACCGATCCTGCAGTGCGCAACCAGCGTGTGGGCGATCTTTCCGTCATCTTGTCGAATGCTGCAGCTGTTCTGAATCCGAGGGTCCAGGAGAAATTTCCACGGCTAATCAGCCTGCTGAAAGACAAGCATATATACAACTCCAGCGCCCTCATGCTGTCGGACGCATGCAGACACATGGAAGGCATCCAGAATGCATTTAAGGCCCTTGGAATCTTCGAGCTCCTGGACTTCACCGTGGACCACTACAAGGCAACCTCGTCCTTAGTATACTCCCTCTGCATAGAGAACAAGGACAATACGGCATACTTCGTCGAAAAATACTACAGCACGGAGCGGGACAGAGACAATGCACTAATTCAGAATCTCAGAGGCCAGTCGTTCTGAACACTAGTGCCCTCATCTCCTGAACATTTTGCAAATAAAGACAAGGATGCTTTATTATTTCCAATCAGTTTTGACCTCGAGGATGCTCTCAAACTCCTTCGCAATCTTCTCGTTATACACTGCCTCCCCTCTTTCCCAGCTGTCGATTATGGATACATTTTTCTTCATCTTCTGGGCCAAGTCCTTTCTTGACATGCCCTTCTGGGCCCTTGCATTCGCTATGGCATCTCCTACCCTCTTGCTGACTATTCTCAGGCCCGTGTCCTCAGGAACCCCGTCTCTTGCCTTACTCTGTTCTTCAGGCTTTTTTCTTGTTAGGATTATTGGCTTATTGTCTCTCATTAGGGCTGCCTAATTGTTTCGGAAATATCGCCAGCTTAATAATTAAGGAAAAACCCCTTGTAGGGAGTCTCTTCAGGCCTCAATCCCCATCTCCTCGTACAGCTCAGACTTTTTCATGTCCAGACCCTCAGAAAGCTTTTCGATAATTTCATTGAATATCCTTCTGATCTTCTTGCACATGGAGTGTGCCCTCTCGTAGCCTTTCTTTGCATTACTCATGTCCTTCTTGGTTATCTCTCTCCTTCCGCTCTTGAAGCTCTCGATCCTCTTGGAGTTGTTCCTAACAACCTCGTCCAGCGAATTGATGCTTTCTTGCAGCTGCTCGATCGATAGCATCTTATCAAGCACCCTGATCTCTGCATCAACAGAGCTGGCCTCGTCTGCAAGGGCCCTCTTCTTCTCCTCATACCTTTGGATCTCCATGTCTAGCTTGGTGTCCTCTTCATTCCGAAACAAGTCCTGATTGACAAGATATATCTTCGACTTCCCGTAGGTCTTGGTTATCAACCTTCCACTCTCTTCTAGGCAATCCAGGATCTCCTGTATCGCCGTCCCTCCGATCTCCCCCTTGAAGTATGCAACCACCTCTGATTTGGATGTGGGTCTGTTGCATCTGTACATCATTTGAAACACCGCCTCCTCATCGTCCTCGTAGTTTTCCTTCATATGGGCGTAGGGGCATCGGTGATGTCATTGTTTCATGACATATTTGGAATTCCTGGGTATAAATACTCAGGATTTGTGAGTCCCGATGATCTGTAAGACGCAGAAGCTCAACAATGGAAAGGAGATCCCTACTGTTGGCCTCGGGACATGGGGGATGGAAGATGAGGCTGTCCTTGAAGGCGCAATAAGGAATGCACTTAGCTTAGGATACAGACACATTGACACTGCATTCATATACGGAAATGAGAAGATGATAGGAAACATCCTGAAGAAGCTGTTTGATGAAGGTGTGGTACAGAGGAAGGATTTATTCATAACATCAAAGCTTTGGAACACCTTTCATGGCTGCCCGGAGGATGGCCTGAGGCGGTCACTGAACGATCTCCAGATGGACTATGTGGACCTGTATCTTATCCACTGGCCAGTGACGTTTGACCCTGCACCTGACGGCACCGTGGAATCCTGCGGCAAGAAGTACAACGTCGGGAAGTTTGACGCCGTTGGAGTATGGAAGAAGATGGAGGCGCTTGTCGATCTTGGACTTGCAAAGTCGATCGGAATATCCAACTTCGGCAAGGCTAACACAGAGAAAATACTCGGGACTTGCCGAATTTGCCCGGCTGCCATCCAAATCGAGCTCCACCCATATCTGAATCAAAAGGAACTTGTGGAGTTCATGAAATCCAAGGGGATCCAGGTTATAAGCTACTCGTCCCTCGGATCGGCACCTGGTTCGTCCGCAAAGGTCAGAGATGACAAGACCATCAAAGCCATAGCCAAAAAGTATGGATGCGCCCCGTCCCAGATAATACTCAGCTACATTACTGCGCAGGGCATCTGTGTGATTCCGAAAAGCAGATCCAAGGAGCATCTGAGAGAAAACATCGACCTGAAGGAGTTGAGTAGGGAAGACATTTCGGCTATCGATGCCCTCAACACCGGGCACAGATACGTTGATCCCCCAGGATTTGGGCCGGAGAAATTCAAATAAAAAGCTTGGGTCCAGCCTTCTTATCGTTTCACAATCCTCGTCCTTGATGGATTGGGCAAGCCTCAAGGACATTCAGAGAGAAACTATGTATCTGATGGTGGGAAGCGACATTGCCCACATTGACAAGAAGAGTGTGCATAGAGAAAGAATGCACTCAGTGGATTACTTCAGAGTAGGGGGGTCGCGTGTGATAAAGGGCAGAGCGAAGTATCTATGTTCTTGCGGGTACGAGATATGCTGGCACATCATAAGGGTTGTCCTCTTCGCCGAGGTCGGTACCGGAAGATAGCGAGGTAACACATGAACACCGATCTCAAAAATACCTAAGATTTATCAGTCTTGGTGGGCCGTCGGATACGCAGATACACAGATAAGATCCATTTTCGGAAAATAAAAGGCTGGAAACACATCCATCTACATTGCACCTGTAAACCTCCCTGCATCTGGTATCGCTCAGCATTACTCTGCCACCCAGAGATCCGCTTGCAACCAGACATGAGGAGCAGTCAACAGCCATAACATTATCTCCGTGCTTCAGCTTATGCGTCGGCACTGGGCTTTTCACATCCCAGACCTTAACAAATCCGTCGGATCCGCATGTGATGATCCTGTCATTCATCCACCTGTGCCCATTAACCCCGCCTTCATGTGCATCCATCCTATTTCCGCTCATAGAAGCTGTGTTCCACAGCCCAAGAGTGCCATCATACGACGATGTTGACAGTACTAGCCCATTGTACTCCATGCCGCTGACCTTGCCATGATGGTTGCCGATCTTCGATATCTTGGGCCCATCAGCATCAACAAACAGAACAGAAAAGTCGCTTAGGCTGCACCCAACCTCGCTTTCCCCCATCCACACAACATCCTCTATCTCGCACTCGGAAACATTCACTTCCACAATTCCATTGTTCATCATGACTATGCGCCCGTCCTTCCCGGAGGAGAGGATCCCTCTTCCGCGCTGTCTTATTCTTGTAACACCCTTGCTATGGCATGCATAGCTCCTTGTCCTTCCGCTCGGAATGTTGATAGTTATCACCTCTCCGCCCTCGTTTCCAACAACCAAGTCGTCGCCACTCCAAGACAGCGCTGTAAGCCCCCGAATGTCCTTCTTCCACAGAAGATTTCCAGACCCAAACCCAAGAATCTCCCCAGATGCCGTGTAAACCCCAAGGCGCTCCCCATTCCAGCAGGAAAGTAGCCCGTTCCCCACCCCATCCAAGCAAACCTCTTCAACCCCAACATCCATGGCCTTCTTCTCCCTCGACCCATGCTCCGCCCCACCACTCCCGGGCTCTTTCCCTCCGAAGTCACACACGTGTTCCTCGGACAAGGAGAACTTCGCCTCGCAGGGAACCACCTCGCTCCCCCGGAGATGCTTTCTTCCATACAGATACTGCAGCCCCTTGCCCACAAGAGATATCAGGCTGTGCGAGAGCGGCTTGTCACTGCGCGTGGCCTCGTTTCTAAATGTAAACAGGGTGTATATGTACCCCTCATCCTCAAGATACTTCGAAACTAGCTGGTTTATCTCGTCTCTCGACATTTCAATCATCGCCCTTGAACTTCTATGGGCTTGCCGGCAAGTGTTGTCATTTAAGCGTTGTAATGCGCCCAAATAGTCACCCCAGAGAATGCTGGTAGGCAAGCTGGAGGAATTTCCATCACTGAAGAGCCCATCGGGCCAGGAAGACAACCCCTTGAGGCGCAAGAAGAGAAAACTTATCTTATATTCGTTATACTTTTTTTCGATGATTGCAATGTACAGAGTTGTCAAGACTTTCTATTGGCTGTACACCTTGGATCTCAACAAGCTGTGCCTCAACAAGGTGGTGTACGACACGGAGACATGGAAGAAGATAGAGGTGGGGATTTCCCTCGAGAACTCCGAGTCGCCCATCCATGTGAAGTTCATGAATGTGACTGCCAATCTGTTCAGCATACTGTCTGACGGCACGGAGCTCCCTCTTCTATCGCTGAGGATTCCTACAGCAAACATCACGAAGAACAAGAACATCCTGTTTAACGGAGACATATACATCGAGAACTTCAACAGGAGAAATATGATTGAGTCGCGGTTTTCAGTCCACTTTGGAATTAAGATGGATGCAAAGATGTATCCGCGCCTGTGCTTCATAAGGTTTCCATTCTGCAGCTCGCAGTCCTTTTCTCTGGGAAGCTCTGTCTCGAGTCCCGGAAAGGAGGTTGTATTCAAGCAGATCTATGCCGAGTCGAGGGATGGCAAGCTCCTTCTGGAGGGAGAGATCGATAACAGGAAGTTCAACATCCCGAAGTTTGTTGTGATTCGAAGCCAGGGAGTTGTAATCAACTTTGCAGGGGGCCGGGGTCCCAGGACCATAGTGGTTGGGCCTGTTGAGGTGGATGGGTCGATCTTCCTGACGCCCTTGATTGTAAGGATTGTAATTTCGGAAGAATGGGGAGACGAGCTCAGAAGGGACTTTGTCCGGGTCCTCAGGGGAGAGGAGGTCGGGGTCCGAGTGGAAGACTTTTACTTCAAAAACAATGCCGAAGGAACGCCTGAAGAGCGCATCAAGCTTGGGTTTGGGATTGGATTCAATGTAAGGAATCAAGAGGGCTATGATATAGCGTTTAAGGGATATGGAACCAAGAACATCCCCTCGAAGAAGCCGTTGATAATCCTGAAGAATGATCCGGGAATGGGCGATCCTAGCTTCAGCATCTGCATCAACAAGGATATCTTCCCATGCATTGAGTACCACAGCTCTCTTGCCATGCGCTGCAATGCATTCAGCGGGAACATGTATCTCAACGGGCATCGCATCGGGGAAATCAAGGTTTCCATAGACAACGGAGACGAGCACTTTATACTCTCATGCAGGTTTTCAGAGTTTGATCCCTCAAAGTTTCTTGAAGCCTTCAAGCTGCATAAGAAGAAGGACCTAAGGGTTATTTTCGGGTCCCCAAGCAGCCTTGGGGTTCTTGTGAATAATATCGAGCTGGTATGGAAGCTCTCTGGAGAGCTATACATTCTTTTCAAGGATGTAAGGTACGACATTATGTCTTCGCAGAAGAATACAAGCATAATCAGTATCCTGCACGCCCTTTCCAGCAGTGGAAAGTCGCTTCGTATTGATACGTTGGCCACATTTGCCCCGATAGAGGAGATCTCCTACAACTTCTTCCAACTGAAGCTCCTTGGCTTCGGCTTCTCTCTCTCCAAGCTGGGGATAGACGCAGACATCACTGTGCTGGACACTGACATAAGGTGCCAAAACAATGCCGAGCCATTGATCAAGAGGCTCTTTGGAGAGTTCCTGGTGTGCACAAGGATCAACGACACGCTAGACAGCATACTAGACAGGATTGGATATTGTGGAGACGATTCCGTGGAAGATGAGCAGGAGAAAGGTCCCAGCATCGAAAAGCTCTGCCTCAAGTACGACAAGAGCAGGCCCAACGAAATTAGAAAGCACTTCTTCTCTGTGTCTGTCTCCGAAAACAAGGCATCCTGCAGCCCTGGGGTTATTATCCAAAATATTGTCAGGATGCCAGGTGACATGAAGTTTGATATTGTAGCAGATGCAAGAGGCCTGGGCTTTGGGCCTGTTACACCTGTGACCGTGAACGTCGAGCATGCAGAGATCTGCTATGCGTGGAAAGGTAAGGAGTCGTGGATCGACTTCATAGGTGGAGTAGACTTTTCGGTATCCTTTTCCCATCTTTATGATCTTGTGGCATTGGGAATGTGTGATTTGGATGTAGTTTGTGACGAAGAGGACTATTTGGCTGGGATGATCAAGAGTATGGCTTCCAGGGCCATCAGGGAAAGGAGTAAGGGAGGTGTCGAAAAGGAGGTGGGTAGTAAGGACATGGTGCTCAAGTCCAGGCTCCGAAGGTTGAGAAATGACAAGCTAAGTCCTGTATATGTGTATGAGGGGACTACGGAGGTGTCCATTCCCATGGAGATGTTTGACTCTGCAAGCATTGAGTTTGATATCCCAAAGATCAGACTTGTGATTTTTGAGGCATCCAATGAAAACCCCCACGACAGGAGGTTTGCCTCCATAGAGACTCTGCCTTGTATTCAACGCGAGCTTGGAGAGCACAAGTACAAGTCTTTCGGGGTGCTGTACAGGTTTTCGGAGCTTCCCTCCTGCAATGTCCCGATGAACGTTTGCCTTGTTGTTGATGATAGGATGCATGAATTCATGACCATCGAGCACGGTCTTTACAGAAGAACGATGGGAGACATAAGGAGAGAGATTTTTGAAAAGAACAGCGGGAGAAAGGAAAATAAAGTGTTGGTTGCTGAGATCAACAGCACAAGCAACTTCAGAGTCGGGAGCCTAGAGGATGGATTTGCTTCTGACGAGGGCACCTGGTCGCTGAAGATCACCAGCAGCCATCTAAGCCACTTTCTGTTCTCAAGAATTCCCGGGCTACTTCTGGAGTCCTTCTACAGGGTCATAGCGCCTGGAATGAAGTTTGAGATAGACGTGGACAGGGATACCCTGGCACTCTACGTGGAGTCCGACCGAAGAAATCCTTGGAAGACTGTTGGGGAAGAGGAAAGAAAAAGTGAGAGCATGAGAGGCCCATTCTACAGGGTTCTTGATCTCATGTTCTCCAGATTCCTATTTTCAGAGACAATCAGATACAACTACCAGTCGGTAAAGAGGCTTTGTCCCGATGGTAGCGAAAGGACGGAGCTCAAAAGGCCATACCACGACCCGTTTGTTGATACGGCAGAGTACAGAAGTTGGAGCCTTGTCGGCAGGTTTGGAATCGAAGGAAAGGTCCCTGGCTACGGAATGATATGGATTCCAAAGGTAAGGTTCAATATACCCCTTGGGTTTGCTTTGGTAAGCATCTTTCCTAGCCATAATCCATATGTCTTCACTGTGAACAAGGCTGGAATGTATTTAGGGTTCCCCCTTCCATTTGACTTCTTGATCCCATCGCCGGGGATGCCTGCCGAGATTGTGTTTACCTCAAAGTCGAACGACAAGGAGCTTTGCAGGTTTGAGCTTGGATCTATTGACGCGAGGCCGAATGTGTTCTTCATGAGCATCTGCATTCCGCCAACATCATACATATTGAGCCTCAAGGAAACAATAAGGCGGTATAGAAAGTACAGGAGGAAGGACCTCCCTGTGATCCAACAAGACGCAAAGATCTCCATCCTTGTCAATGGTGCCAAGGCTTATGAATGTGTTAATAGAATAGTGATTGAGGCCCAGGAGTTTAGTAGTTTTCTCCACTCGTTGGCGTTTCTCGAGAAGCGATTCCTCAAGGCCACGGGTTTCATGGCAGGACGGGTTCAGAAGGGCCTTCGCGAAAACAAGAAGATGCAGCCCCCAGCATTGGGCAGCCACTAGTAAATATGCCTCGAATGCCGACTTCCTTAGCCATTACACACAACCTGCCTTTGGAAGGACCTTTAAAACAAAAAGCCCTTACCCCTCTTCCGTGAAATGAAACCCAGCGTAATATTCAATATCCCCAATTCTCTTGGATACCTCAGGATTTGCCTCTTGATCCTGTCCACCTTTGTGTCTGGCTCCACATTTGTTGTCCTATATGGCCTGTCATCTTCCCTTGACTTCTTTGATGGGCACTTTGCAAGGATGCTCAACCAATGCTCGCTACTGGGCTCGTGTCTCGACATGATAACCGACCTGACCTCCAGGGTTGTGATCCTGCTTCGCATTGTCCAGAGGAGATCTGAGTGCCTACAGCTTCTGACAATATACATGGTGTTTGATCTCATCTCCCACTTCACATACTTTCACATGGCAGCGTTAGTTGGGAGACACCACAAAAGAACAGATAACAGGTTCTTGAGGATTTACTATGACAAGCGAGTTCTTGGCCCGATATGCTTGCTGAGCGAGATGTTCTTTATGTATATGTATCATTCTAGCAGTAGAGGCCCACTTCTGTATGTTCTTGCAAGCATTACTGTTGTCAAGACGGGATTCCATCTGATCCAGCTTGTGGAGGCCATTTCAGGCATCAGTAACATCCACTACTGTACAAAACATGATGTCCAGGAAGTTGATTAAATTTCTGGGAAAAGACAGGTTCTGCAGAGATGAGAAAACACTTTATTGAAGCGGCTTCCTAATTCTCGGCTTTCATTTGCAACGCTACTTCCCTGGCCTGCGGATCTGTTCTTCTAAGCTTCTCATCTTCCTCCCTGGCAATCCTAATGACCTCTTTGATATACTCCTCAGGATTGTCTCTGTACATCACAGAGGCGTCTACGTTTGCCGGAGACGATATGTTTGGAGAGTTAAGAATCACCACAATCGACATGACAATCGTTCTGATATTCTGGACAGGGGTCCACTTATCTTTGGGGTCTCCGAATACTGATGAGTCCTGCTGCTTGTCCTCCTCGAGAATGGATATACACATCTTTCCGTCCTCGTAGATGTTTGGGTGGAACATCTTTGAAACAAACTTGAGAGTGGGTGGCCGAAGAGGATAGGAACTCGGAAATTTCATGACTGCCTTCAGAATCCTCCCTGCATATAAGGAGTCGCCTCCAAGGGTAAAATAGATGTCCCAAACTTTGTAGTCCCTGTTTTCCATTGATCCTCGGGGATATGCACTGAAGAGCTTCCTTTCGTCGCCATCGGCGATTTTCAGCCTCTCCTCCTCATTAGATAGGCGTCTGAGGGCACTAGGCCATAACGGGCCATCCTCGTCGTCTTCCTGTATTATGTCATCCTCCCTAGGTAGACGTCTGTGGGCACTAGGTTTGAACATTTGTAGGGGTCATGCATTTGTTTTTATATCCAGTCAACCGCTCCAGACCTCGCCCCGGTTGATCGCGAAGTATAAAACCTGGGCACTGACCAGTCTATAAAAGGGATGTCCAGGAGTAAAGTCACAGAAAAGCGAAAGACATACACACGCCCACTCCACAGGAGGAAGGGACAGGGAGTATGCCGCAAAGCACATCCAGTGCGACTTCCAAACGAGGACCAGCGATGAACAGCATATAACAGCCTTGGCAAAGCACGGCAGACCCCCCATAAGCAATGGAGTCAGAAAGTCAATCCTGAATCCTGGGGCTGCCATTCCCCTGCATCCTACAACCGCCCTGTATTCGTTGGCTCTGTCTGTGAACGAAGTACCCAGGAGAAGCCAGGCCACCCTCTTGTATGCCTGTCCGTAGTCCGTGCTTTCTATTGGAGGAGGTGTCAAGTGGTATATGCCGGCGAAGTTGAGGGCAGCAAGGCACAGCGACACAGCACGGCTGTTCAGCGAGTACAACGATAGCAACATTCCCATAGACTCCATCATCCCTGCTATTCTCAGGACTTCTCCGTGGAATCTGTCCATACAAAGGTTACTTACAGATACATACACTGCTGCGATTGTGAATCCATAGCACACGAAGTACAGGCTTGGAAACAGCAGAGAGAGAATAAACAGCGAGTTTGACACACACATTCTTCTCTTGGTACCTGGAACGATAAATGCAGCTAGAGAGGAGGGAATGGATAGAGCAAATAGATGCGGCCCGGGAAAATGGCTTGCCATCAAGAAGAGAGGCACAGCATACAGTACAGCCTGTCTCCTTAGGTATCTCGGGCTTTCCATGGATATTTGTTTATCCCACCCTGAGGAAAACATAAAGATATCGCTCCAAGGCTTTAATAAAATGCATGGGAGTGCAGAGTCCAAAGGATCTATTTCTCCACATATCATTCGCCATTTTCTTCATAGAGAATCCCAAACACATCGCTTCTAAGGCCCTCATCAAGCCCCTCTCTCTCCAGAAAGTACTTCTCGATGGTGAACAACTTCCTAAAGTAAAAATCTCTTTCCTTTTCAAAGGCCATAAGCAAGGATTTGACTTCATCGTCATCAAATCCCCCGGCACTGCTCTTAACCGCCGGCACCTTGTCTACTGCCCTGCTTTTATCTGCCTCCATCTGCATGATTCTATCCTCCATACTTGCAACCATACCTTCGAGCTCCTTAATTCTATTGTCTTTTGCATCCATAATCTCCCTAGTATTCTTGCATTCAGGACATTGAAGGGAAGTGCCAGGTAAGATCGAGGCTCTCGGGCCTTCGCGCTTGAGGCTCTCTCCGCATGGCCTCTCGCTAGCGTTTTTAGAGTAGTACCTTGCCAGCCACTGTGCAACCTCCAGATTGTCTTGCATTTTGCACTTGACCAGCCTGTCCACAGGGAAGTAAAGCTTTATGTTTCTCGATCCAAAGAATTCCTGGCATATCTTCATGTTCCTCAGATAGTCGTGTTCTCCAGCAGGGTTCTTGACGAAGTTCTGAGGGAAGTCTTTGTGGATAATAGACAGAATCTTGCAGATTGCCACCCCCTTTCCAAGCTCCTCTATTGCGGAAATCCCAATCCCTAACGATCTTATCCACTCAATAAGCTCTCTACGGCTCTTCTGTGTCATCCCTAGTAGGGCTTTGTTTCTGCCAATTGATATGTGCCCCAGATTCCTGACCCAATGGCAAACATCCAAAAGAGGCTGGAGCAGATCCAGCAGGAGCAGCAGACAATCCACGACATCAACAAGGACAAGCTGAGCGAAATCCTCTCCATAGTCAGAGAAAAGAAGTACCAGGATCCATCCACATACTATCCGCCGTCCCTTCTTTCCAGGATGCTTCCAAACTGCTATCCAAGGGCGCCGAACGAGGGAATCTTCAAGGTCAACATAGAGGACATGAAGATGGATAACCTGCATGAAGAAACGCTCTTCTATATCTTCTATTCGTTTCCAAACGACAGGCTGCAGATCAAGGCGTACGACAACATTCTCAAGAAAAAATATGTCTTCTGTAAAATGTACAAGTGCTTTGTCACATTCAACTCCCCAGCAACCGCCGACCATGTCAAGAGATCCATTGTTATGTTCGACCCATTCAGCTGGTCGAAGGTGTCGCTAGAGGTCGTCTTTGATGAGAAGTTCGTTCGGTCGCTAGAGAAGTGAAGTAGAGAAACATCCATATGCTCTGACGAATAAATCCACAACTCCGTTTATTTGTGTTAGGCGACATCATGATTTCTCGTGCTCTACAGTCGGACCGAGCAGGTCCTGGAGAGACGGCTCATTGTTCCGGAGATATCCATAGAAGCTGCAGAGATGCCCCCTTACAACCTTCTTTTCCTGTGGAGCCTGATCCTTGCCGCTCATGGCGCCTGTAAATCTATCTTTGATGTGGGATACTAGAGTCCTTTTTATCTCTGCATTTATGCTCTCGGGGAATCTCAGTTTTCTGACCCTGGAAAACAGTTTGAGAAGATCAACGCCAAAGTCATCGTTTTTGGTAACCATCCTGAAAAGCTCATCTATCTCCTTCTTCTTCTGTTCTACCACCTCTCCCTCGAACTTCCTGTTCCCTCTATCCACCTCAGCCGAGCATCTGAACTCGAGGCCCCTATAGAAGTTGTTTCTTTCGATGGCATGACCCAAAACATCCCCAACAACAGACTGGGCTTTGATGAATAGGTCCATGTCGCCCTTATTCCTCTCGACAAGGCTGCATAGATGCTGGTCTATTTTCTTTGCAAGAAGCTCATCAAGCTCGTTCGAAAACTGGGATATGTTAGAGACAAAGCTGTCACACTCGTCAATAAAGGCTATCATCGAGGACTTCAGCTGCTCCATGTCGCAGCTGCTGAGATCTGCATTCTTGGGCCCTTGGCTCTCGAAGTAGTTGATTGCTACAGAGCTTATCACCCTGTCCACATCCTCATAGTCGACATTGAGATGAACAGTGAGCCTCCGGAGAGAAACCAGTGCCTCTCTTATTCTCGAGAAGTTGCTGCTCTTGAGCAACATCTTGCTTCTGGACAGAAAGCCAAACACAAGTCTGTCATACATCTTGAAGCGCATGTCAAGCGTAGTAAGATAATGGCTCCACAGAATAAACCCCGCTACATCAGAAACCAGGACAGGCTCGTCTCCACTGAGAGTCCTCTCGGCAAACTCTTTCCTCTTCTCGTTGACCCTTTCCACAACAGCCAGGTCAACAGCCAGTCTTTTTGACTCGTGAAGAATACACAGGAAGCCTTTGGATATGAGATAGTGGTGCAGAGAGTCGAGAGGGTCGAATACATGGGACTTCTTCCTGCCCTCTATGAGCATGGCGCTCACCTCAATCCCAACCTGGCGGACATTGTTGCAGGCTCCCGAGATCCACAGATCAATGTCCTTCATCATAAGATCCACAAGTGTTCTTCTCGACCTGATGCATATCTGATTCGCATTAACAAAGAACGTATACTTCTCAAGCGTGCAGAGCTTCTTTTCCATGCTTAGCACTCTGCTTGTCATGTCGTAGTAGTACAGCGGATCCTCCCTCACCTCCTTGTCGGCATCCTCATACTCGGACGCAATGCCGGTGAAGCTCAAAATCTCCTTCAGCTCGGAGACAACAAGGCTGAGCCGGGACTCTACTAAGGAATTCTCTTCAATTTCCCGAAGAACATCAGTGTATTGTATGACAGAATCCGAAACAGATGAGACCAGCTCGCTGTTTATGCTTAAAATCCCTGCTAGCCTTTGCTTGACCCTTTCCAGCCCACTGCACCTGTTGATAATGCCCATGTAGTCCTGAGAAATGTTCTCCATCATCTCCTTTTCTTTCTTCTCAATCTCCTTGGAAAGCTCCATCAACAGCTCCTCCTTCTTGCCAGACTTCAACATCTTTCTAAACCTCTCCTCTTCGTTGCCCGTAAAGTCCATAAGGGATCTCGGATTCAAAACTAAGGCCTTGGGTTCCATTTCCTACTCTTTTTGCTGCCTTTGGCCAAAGTGCGGCCTTGTGGCGCCTTTCTTTCTATATATGCCATCTCATCACCACCGCTAAGGCTCTTCAGCTTTGTCGTGCTGTAAACAATTCCCTCAGAGTCCTCACTCTCTTCACTCTCCAGCTCCTTTTCAGACGCAAGGAGCACACCTGCCAGCAGCTCTCTCTGCTGCCCCTTTGTCTTATATACACAGTGCTCATTCTCATGCACCTCAGGTATGTCGGTCAGTATTGTGAACGTGTACCCCTGATCTATCAGAAACTGCTGTCTTTTGCTGGAGTAGAACATCTCGTCAGTATCCTTGCTCACTAGAGAGTAGAAGTAGACCTTGAAGTCAGGGTCGTTCCTCCTCTTCGCCCTCAGAATCCTTCCAAGCCTCTGTGCTTCCTGCCGCCGACTTCCAAAGTGGCTGCTTATCTGGATCAGGCATGTTGCCTCGGGGAGATCAATCGACGTGTCTCCAACCTTACTCAGAAATATCGTGTTGATCACAGGATTCGTCTGGAATTGCTTCAGGATCCTCATCCTCTCCGTTTGTCCGGTGGGCCCGTAAATAAATGGCTTCCCGAGCTTTAGGGCATATGCCTTCAGCGCATACACACTGTCAGAAAACACAATGATCTTGTCCCCTCTGCTCTCATGCTTGTTTATCAGGTACTCACACACCTGGAACTTCGTCGGGTTCATTATCGATAGAAGCCTTCTCCTTCTCGTTGGCTGCGAAAGATACTCCCTGTAGAAGTCTCCAGTCATCCCGCACCACACCTCGATGCACGACACTCTGGCTATGTGCCCCTTAGCGCTAAGGTCTTGCCAGTCGGCCTCGTAGAGCTTGGGCCCAATCAGGAAGTTCAGGTCTTCGATTTTGTCGTCTTCTCTGACAAGAGTTGCCGTGAGCCCAAGCTTGCAGTGATGTGACACCAGCGATAGGACTCGCCGGAACATCATTGCAGGAACAACATGGACCTCGTCGAGAACAAGGAGCCCCCACTCAGTCCTTCGTATCAGATCCATAATCTTCTGTGCCTCGTGCGATCTCTTTCCTGTGTATGCAAGCATCGTGTAGGTCGTGATAACTATGCCGCTATCGTCTTTGGGCCACTCCTTGTGATCAGAGGTAAACCTCCCCACGCCATCGGGCGCCATGTTGGTAAACTGCAGCGTCTGCTGCTTCCATTGTTCCACAGACACGGCAGACGTGCATAGAACCAGGCAGTTCTTCTTGATTGTGCTTATGGCTGTAATCCCAACAATGGTCTTCCCAGAGCCACAGGGTAGTACAATTATTCCAGATCGGGCCCTCCCGTTCCCAAACATCTTGTTGAGGCATATCTCCTGATAGGACCGAATGATCGTCGTGGGCTTAAGATCTATCTGAAGGCTCCGAAGCACCTTGTCGTTCCTGAAGTCATATTCCTCAATCAGCGGATAGTCAATCTCAATACATCTTTTCTTCACTAGCTCAACCTCCTCAACCTCAATGGACAGGCCGCCTCCTTCCTTGGACTTGCCGATTGTGTGAGACCGTATCACCGCATCCGAAGACAGCATCTTGTACACAGACTCGTTGGCAGTCTCCAGGAAAAAGCTACTCTCCTTCATGACAAGCTTCACCTTTCCATAGCTCAGTGTGCACTCGGTAATAAACACCCGAACAGATCTTGGAAGGAAGTTCTTGGAAAACCGATCCAGCGTCTCTATAATGTCGCTCGTTGTCAGCCCGACGCTAACAGCAGCATACAGGGAGTATGCAGTGATCTGGAACTCGTGTATCTGCAGAGGCCTGCTCATAGGCTCTGCAATTGCGATCAGAAAGTCACTGGCCTGCCGGGAGGATTCGCGGAATGTCTCCAGTATAATCAATCCGTCGTAGTTCACCCATATCGGATGGCTCTCTCCATCCTCCTTAAGGACAAGCTCCTCATACGGAAATTGGTGCTTTGTTGCCTTCTTGGGAATCACAACCTCGTTCATCTCTGGGTCGCCCTCCAGCATATTTATCCTTCCACACTTGTACCGGGGCACTCCACAGCCCATGTTCAACATGGATCACACATATTACACGGACGCATTTCTGGATGCATGCCTTCTGGGCCATACGACCATAGAACTAACTGCCAAGCCGTTCACAAATATAAAGGACGAGGACATAGAAGAGGCCCCCATCCCCCTTGCCAGGGATCAGGCATTTCCAATCGACTTCGGGCTTACCCCGTGGGAGCGTCAGGACCAAGCCTCCAAGAGAATAAATAATTAAACGGGTTTATTCTGGTTGGGGGAAGCAAAGTGGTATTCTTACAATCAATGAGGTTGCTACAATACAACCAGATATTAAGATATCATCTCTTAACATTGCCAGCGGTCTATGCTGCAAGGAATGGGCATGTCATTTCTTCTCGTCGTAGCATGAATCACTTGTCAGCTCGCTGATCTCTTCCTTCCCCTCGTCGTCACTCTTCTTGATGTCCTTCCTTCTGTAGTCCTTGCAATACTTGGCGCACTCTTCTCCTATGGCTGGAGAGTCGTATCTATCCATATCTGCACACATTTCCCTTGTACATGGCATGCCAGGGCTCCTGGAGGAGCGAGGCCTGGGACTTGGGCCATCATGGTCTGCCCTCCAACTACCTGAGGATTCCTCTCTCTCGCTCCAATCCTCACTTTCTCTATTCCTAAGCCTTGCCTTCCGGCTGCGGCGACCTCTGCGCTTCGGCAAATGCTGTCTATTCCAGTCCTCTGCAGGGTCCTTTTCATGGGGGCCCCTTGGATTGCCTTGTACCTCTGGCTGCTCTGCACTTCCCTGGCGGGGAAATTTCTCCCGGCGGTCCAGAATGTTGGTTATGGCTTCGTACTTGCTCTGCTCCATGGGATATATCAGTACACCAGATGGGACATCCTTTCCAAGTCCAAGAGAAGACAGGTTAGGAGGCGCGCTGTTGGGCTCCTCCTCGTCGCAGTTCTCCCCTCCTCTGCTGCATGATGTTAGGCTTCCAAGCTTGTTCCCTATTTTCTTCAGGCTTCCCTTGAGGGAGTCTAGCAGGGACTTTTTCAGCTGGTCCATGTTGAGGTTGTTCATGATCTCGTCTGCAATCCTGTCCCGGCACTTCTTATCTTTACAGGCCTTTTCGCCATCCTCTCCGTTGCAAGACGAATTTCCTCCGTTAAGAAGATCAAGGCACTTCTCATCAATGCAGCACTCCTTGGCGTTTTCTCCCAGGGCCTTTCTACAGTTCTCCAGTATGTTCTTGAACTTACCGAGCTGGTCAGACAGACACTTCTTGAACTGCTCCTTCTTCTCAGACAGATCGCATGTGTTTGCATACTGGGTACTCCCTGGGGGTTGAAGGGTTATGGGAGACATGGCCATCTGGGCCCCATTTCCGATTCCTCCGTCAGGCGTGAACGACAGCAGCTGCCCAGGCTTGCTAGATGGCATATTGATCGTCTGCACCTGGGGCACAGAGCCCACAAGCCCCTGGTCAAAGAGAGGGGAGTTTGACGGAAGAATCGAATATAGTGAATTTCCCGTATCTGTTGCCTTGACACAGCTCCAAAGTACTGCCACCAAACTCAGTTGCCCTATCATCTGATGTTTTGTTTACCAGCCCTCCATTTGCCCCATAGATATCAGATATTTCTGTAACCGGTTTCACCCAAGGATAAACGTTTCAAGACTCATCTCATCAATGCATCCAAAGCGGGACATTAAACTTTTAATACTTCTTCAGAATCTTTGCATAGAAGAACCCGTCCATGTTGTGCACATGCGGATAGATCCTCCTGGCCATCTTAAGAGACCCGTTGTAGTTCTTTCCCTTAAAGCTCATAAATCCATCCTTTCCAATGTCTATCTCGCATTCGGCCATCTTGGCAGAAGGACACTTGGAGAGAAGATAGTTAACAACCTCCTCATTCTCCTTGACAAGCACAGAACATGTGGAGTACATCAGTATCCCCCCGGGCTTCAGCATCCCAAACCCATGAAGTATAAGCTCTTTTTGCAGTGTAACCATTCTATCTATTTCGCTTCTTGTTCTGCTGGTCTTTACAGAAGGGTCCTTCGATATCACCCCGGTGCCAGAGCACGGAGCATCCAGCAGGACCCTGTCCACCCTTCCAACATTTACCTTCCTTCCATCCATATTCATCACTATGCAGTTTCGAACACCCATCCTCTGTATGTTGCTCTTCAGCCCCGCAATCCTCTCCTCGTTCACATCGTTTGCATAGATTACACCCGTGTTTTCCATCAATGCCGCAATGTGCGTCGTCTTCCCCCCGGGTGCCGCACACAGGTCGACAACCGTCAGCCCCTCCTTAAGATCCATGTTGAGCACAGGAAGCATCGATGCCGCCCCCTGGAGGCAGTAGTATCCTGCAAGATATTCGGGCGTCGCTCCAATCGGCACAGACGACTTGAAGACAACACATCCGCTGTCAGTCCAACTGAGAGCATCGAGATCCACTCCCCTTCCGCTCAGAAGCTTCAAAACATCCTTCCTACCCTTCAGGAGGGTGTTGATCCGGATGGTCATGGGCCTCTGCTTTTCGCTCTCCTCGATAAACGCCTCGACCTCCTTGCGCGGGAATATCTCGCATATCTTTTCCAGTAGATACTCGTTGTATGTCTCCATCAGAGGGCAATTTTTTCTGCAAAAAATCGTCCAGCTGCTTCCGGTCGGATCCAAAGAGTTTAATCCCTGCAGCCTCCCGGTGCTCCAGCTACTTCTTGAACAGAACCCCTGCCGTCGTACAGAACACAACCTCTTCCCTGGGGCTTCCAATGTGCCTTGCTGGAGGCGTCGTAAGCTGCCTACCGAAGTCATACAGGCTGGCCTCAAGCCTCTGCTCGTTGTAGCTAAGCCCCTTGTAATATCTATTGTAGTACTGCCGTAGATCGCTCGAGGTCTTCGATGGAAAATATGCCGCCATGGACACCCAGTTCTTGTTGTAGTATGGAAAGTATATGGCAAACACTTGCCTCTCGTCTATCGTCCATTTCCTCAGCACGTCCTCCTTGCTGATCGAGACCCTTCGGACAGGTGCAGATGCCGCGGTAGAGCTCCCGCCCGGAGGCAGGACAAACTTTGTGTAGTACCTGAAGAACATCTTCAGATCTTTCTCAGACTTGTTTATCAGCGACTGGTACTTCGCCCATGATCTTCCGAACATCCTGAAGTGCTGAGCAAACACATTCATTTCATACTCAGACCACTGGCTCTCAACTACAAGCTTAACCTCAGAGTCGGAAATCCTTCCAGATTTGTGCTTTATATATCCATACGTCTTGTCCTTCATCAGATAGTACTTCAGGATGCATTTCTTGATATCCAGCTGTGGAGCAAGCTCCTTGATCTTCTTGAAGTTGTTCCTGTACTTTAGGATAAGGTCAGAGGCAATTCTGTCTTCCTCCTCAGAAAGCCCGGCTCCAGAGATCTTCGGGATCGAGGAAATGATCGCCATAGGTGCTTGAGCAGGCATGCTGCCAAGCTCAGGAATTTCTGCCCTGTTGCGCCTTGCCCTGTGCTCGAGCATGAGTCTTTGGTCGACAATGTACTTCAGAACTCGCTCATCGTCTCTCTCCATTGATGGAAAGACCCTCTTCAGGAAGTGTCTGTATCTACAGTCCTCTAGGATCTCAGGCATCACATCTCTGCCACAGTCGGTCTCCGAGTCTTTGCCGTATATTCTCCCTCCACTACCAGTTCCCTTCTCTCCATTTCTCTTCACGCCTCTTTTGTTTTTCTTTTTCCCGTCACTCTTCTTCTCCTCTGCTTTTTCCGCAAACTCTCCACTCAGATTCGTCTCTACACTAAAAGGCCTTTCCATCCTCTTGGCATCAGAAGCCTCCGGAACTACCTCGGGAGATGTAGAGCCTTTGAAGCCGCTCATTCTAAACACCTTGACTTCGGCACATCGCTCAAAAAAGTGCAGAACTGGCACTATTTCAGGCCCAGGAACATCAACAACAATGCCATCCGCTAGGTCATTGCGCAGCATACTTTCTATCTTTTCAATCCTGTCTTTCCCATCCTCTAACGGCGAAGAGTGTAGGCGGCACATCTCTCGACCAAACACCTCGTTTGCAGGCCTCACAGAACACCTCCTGTTGCTACTGTCCCGTTCCTTTGCATCCACATAAACCTCCTCCTGGCATCTCTCTCCCTGTTGTCCACCCTCTCCGGTTGGCCCTTGGACTCCTATGTCTTCGCTCATCCTGAGTTCATATCGTCCTCCTGTCACAGCCTTCCCTTTCATCGGAAAACTCCCTCGCTCGCACCCGCTTCTATCACTCCGCTTTCCCCCACTCCTGCACAAGTGACTCCCAGAGCTCGTCCCTCCTCTGTATCCACGGATTCTTTGAGATTTCTGCCACACACCCCGGCGCCCTCCCGAGTCTTGTATGTCTCGATCGTACAAACATTCCCTTTCCATCTCGTTCCCTTTGGGATTGCCTCTTAGATTACTTGTTCCCTCATCGTTCTCCATCTTGCCCTAGAATAGCGTCTAAGTGGGGCAAGCGGATAACCCCTCAAGTATACAAACCCCATGGAGAACAAAGAGATAATAAAGCTGAAGAAATGGAACCTGGTCGCCCTGTGGTCTCTGGACATGAAGATCGAAACCTGTGCAATATGCAGAAACCATATAATGGATACATGTGTCGAATGCCAGAACGGCATGACAAACAATGGCGAATGCAAGGTATCGTGGGGGGTTTGCAATCATGCATTTCATACGCACTGCATAACAAGGTGGCTGAGCTCAAAGAACGTCTGCCCCCTAGACACAAAGAAGTGGGTCTACTACGACCCAGAGGAGAAATAGAGTGCAAAACGGGATTTAGTAAACATTTCGGACTGGGAGATCCCTACCTTGGCTGCCTCCCCTTGTGCAGCTCTTTTATCCTTTTCAGCGCTTCGCACCTCTTCCTGAGCTCCAAGGCCTTTGCTCTATAGGCCTCGTCAAGCCTTCTTTTGTATTCAAGGATCCTTTCCTTGCAGATCTTTTTATACATCTCCTTTCTTTTCTGAAGCTTTTCATCATACTGTCTTCTGAGACTCTCTTCCTCCGCCTTCTTCCTGGACTCCATCTTCTGCTTCATCTCAGACACCTCCTTTTCCATTGCTCTTATTAGCTTCCCCCGGGCCCTTAGTGTCTTTTTGTGCGCCTCCTTCAGCTCTTCAAATTCCTTCTGAATCCTAGAGAGCATGGCAGCCTTGCCATCTTCTCCATCCTCAAATTTTGCAGCCCTTGCCTCCTCGCCTGAGTCTCCAATAAAGTCCTTGAAAACAACCTTGCCTCTGCCCTCGCCTCTAGGCCCCGTCACATCCTTGGACACGGTCTGTACCACAATCTCTTTTCCTCCACTAGTCCCCGCATCCGAGGCGCCTGATTCCTGCCCGTGGGGTCCAGGCACTTCTCCCAACTTGTTCGTGATGTTCGAAAGCACGTCTCTCCTGTGAATCCGGACCCTCTCGTCAAACAACCCTTTGACATCCCCATCCTCAGATAGAAAGTCCATTCCAAGGGCTCTTCTTTTGTTGCCTAGGAATCCTGAAGACTGCTCAAAATCGTAGAGATATAGAGAAAACTTAAATAAAATATTACAAAGTCTTCAGATTACAGAATATGCACATGCAGCAAGGGCAAGCCTTTGACTCAGAGAGCGCAGTGCATCGGAAGATTATCCATTCAAGGTACATCGAGTAGGTGGGAAGTTAAGGTTAGACATCTTTAGATGCTGCAATGGACTTCCTTTTATCTGCAATTGTCATCATGAGACTTTAGGGGGGCTCCATTTAGCCACTTTAATATTCGGGAACCTGAAATTCCCAAAAATCAGAAGATTCTGGAGCTTAACAGTAGGTTTATACAGATGTCATATGAGCAGCACAAATCTTAGCAGGATGTAGAAAAAACACACCATGAAGAAAAATAGCAGAATAAAGGACAGGAAAAACACAACTCCCCCAAGAAGTGTATTGGCAAATGACCCCCCCTTTTCTCCATTCAGAAACACCTTCTTCTGAAGATCCGTGTTGCACACCAGATCAATCTCGTTTCCTATGAACATTGCCCTCACAACAGACCCGCACTCCTTAGAGCTCGGTACACCGTCCTTCGCTCCATTCCCGGTCTCCTCCTTTCCTCGCAGGAGATTGCTCTTCTGGATGTCCCTAAGTATCCTCAGATACAGAGGGTTCCGAACAACTTCAAAGTACAGGATGTCCTTGACCTCGTTTCTGGTCGACGGATCCCTCAATTTATATATTCGGATTGTTCCAGAAACCGTATACCTCATATTAACAATACTGCTTGCCAAGTACACGTGCTTGGTATTTTCACACACAAGAATGCAAAATACAACAGACCCAGTACTTGACAGAAGCTCCTCGTAGGTTTCCAACGTCAGCGGATCCACGTTCTGGAGCTCCTCGGTGTGGATCACCTCCCCATCCTTCATAAACTCAAGCATCTGCTATGGGCTTTACCAATTGTTTGCAGGAAATTTAAATGTTTACATCCACACTCCTCATTCAAGTCCCACCATCACACCCCACATTGACGGCACCTCAATCTCCTTCATCGCTCCACCACTACTCCAACAATGCTGTTGAACAGCAACTCGTTCTTGTTTATGTACCCATGCGCCTGGTTGAATGCATCAGTGCAGTCCTTTCCTGCATACTCCATGATGGTATCTACTCCTCCAGGGTGCAGCCGGAGGAAATCCGTGACGTCGTACACCACCCCGTCCATTATAATCCAGCAGTCGTCCGACCTGTTGTGCTTCGACACCTCATCTGCAGTCAGCGGCGCAAAAGACGGATCTCGGTGCTTTTCCCTGGACCATCTTATCAAGTCCATCGGAGATGCTAGGGCTGAGAACACATTGATTAAGCAAATTTTGTCCCTTAATGGGAGGTATAGAGCAAAGCAGTCTTTACATTAAAGTCAGTCCGTCCTTTAACAAATCCATGAGGACATCGGCAACCATATATGTTGACGAGGAGCTAAGAAAGCCTCTAATGTCTGAGCTAGAGGCTGGGAAGGGCTTATCCTCCATCGGTCAGATATCCGATGTCTGCTCCTTGCCGGGGCTCATTGGCGATGTCATAGGACTGCCAGACATACACACGGGGTATGGATTCCCCATCGGATCCGTTGCTGCATTTGACATAAACAACCCAGAGTCGGTTGTAAGCCCTGGAGGTGTGGGATACGACATCAACTGCGGGGTTCGGGCGCTAAGAACCAATCTCGACATCGGCGGGTTCAGGGGAAAGGCAGATGCCCTTGCCGACGAGCTGTTCAACATAATACCCACTGGAATGGGTAGTGACAGGAGATCAAGGATTGGGCTAGACGTGCTGAACTCGGTTCTAGAGCAAGGACTGGGCTATCTGCTGAAATCAAAGGAAATATCTGACGAGGACGTCGAGTATTGCGAGAGCAATGGATGCATGGCTGGAGACAGCCGCTTTGTCGGTCAGAAGTCGAAGGGCAAGGGATTGAATCAGCTTGGAACCCTTGGGTCTGGAAACCACTATCTCGAGGTGCAGTATGTCGACGAGGTGTATGATGCAGAAAAGGCAGGCATAATGGGGATAGGGAAGGGGCAGATTGTCGTGATGATACACACTGGAAGCCGAGGCCTTGGGCACGGAGTGTGCCATAGCTCGCTGATGAAGATGGCAGGAAAGGCTTTGGATTGTAGTCAACTTGCATGCTCCCCCTATAACTCGAAAGAGTCTCAAGAATACCTTCTCTCTATGGGATGTGCAGCAAACTTTGCCTTCGTCAACAGAGCGATGGTAACCGAAAAGGCCAGGCAGGCATTTGGAAAGGTATTTCCGGGGTCAAGGCTTGAGCTGGTCTACGATGTTTGCCATAACATTGTAAAGATAGAGAAGCACAGGGTTCATGGGGTGGAGTATGACGCGATTGTGCACAGGAAAGGGGCATCCAGAGCATTTCCTCCGCACCATCCAGACATTCCGTGGAAGTACAGGGAGATAGGACAGCCTGTAGTGGTGGGAGGGTCGATGGGAACGTACAGTTATATTCTGTGTGGATCAGAAAAGTCCATGGACCTGAGCTTTGGGTCGACATGCCATGGGGCAGGACGTGTCCTTTCCAGAAGCATGTCAAAGACCCTGTTTACCCATGAGAGCGTCTGCGATCTTCTAAGGAGCAGGGACATAGTATTCAGGTGTCCAAGTGACCTTGGGGTCGTTGAAGAAGCGCCTGGGTGCTACAAGGACGTCAATAGAGTTGTTGACCTAAGCGACAGGGTCGGGCTGACAGAAAAGGTTTGCCGTCTCAAGCCATGCCTGGTCATTAAAGGCTAGTCAATATATCACCGCATTTTATTCCTGACTCTCCTTAACAGCCTCTCCATGGACAGAATTGGAAGCTTCTTTTTGTTGGCGTTGAACAGCGATGGGAGGGGCCATATAGTGGTGCCGTCATAGTCGTCCTCAGAGACATCCTCTATGAGACGGGCATCGCCTATGATGCGGCTCTTGAGCATGTGGGGGTCGTAGTCGTAGTATGTGAGATATGCTGCTATGGCTCCTGAAGTGTGCGGAGCTGCCATGGATGTTCCAGATACTATCTTCTGTGTCCCTCCTATCCACGAGCTGAGTATATCCACTCCCGGAGCAAAGACATTCACACACTTCCCGAAGTTGCTGAAGAACGCAACTGTATCCCTATATGTGGATGCACCCGTTGTGATGGCTGCTCTTGACGATCCTGGAGAAAAGTCGCATGCATCCTCATGCTCGTTGCCAGCAGCGGTAGAAAAGTGAATCCCAAGCCTCGACGCATACTCAATGGCAAAGTTGAGTGCTGCATTTCTGAAACCTCCGACGCTGAGGTTGACAACCGTCTTTGGCTGCAAGGCTTTCCGAGAAATGGCATCTACTAGGCGCTGTATTGATGGCGTCTCTGGCTGGACAAAGGAGAAGCTTTCAGATCCATCCATTTCTATCTCAATGTCGGAAGACCCGCCGGAACTGAGATATTCATCTGCAGCAGCATTGTACAGTTCGTCTTTTTTCTTTTCATGCTCCTTAATGACAAAGTCCACCCCCTGTAGGAGTCTTGAGGTCATCCCAGACCCATACTTGTCAAGAACCTTTACGGCAATGATGCTCGACTCCTTAGTCACTCCGAAGTTCTTGCCTCCAATCACTCCTGCGCAGTGCGTTCCATGGCCATGCTCATCTCTATCTGGGCTTTTCGGGACAAAGTTGGCCCCCCACCTAGCTCTTCCTCCAAACTCAGGATGCTCGATCTCCACACCAGTATCTAGGACATAGACATCAACACCCTTCCCTGAGTTTATAGGATAGCAGTAGTTTCCATGCACCAGAGATACACTCCCCCCTACCCTGGCCAGCCCCCACGGCGCATGCCTCTGCATCACAATGCCGCTCCGATCATCGCTTCCAGGAACATCAAACTTGAGTCCACTGATTCCCACAGGGCTGTCCTTGACGACCATCTTCACGCTCGGGTGCCTCTTCATCCTCTCGGCAGTGGACTCGCTCATACGAGCCACAAACCCATTCGTCATCTTTATTCCAATGCTTTCATCGGGTCGTAGGATGTTCTGGGCCTCATGAATGTTCATGTTGTACAATACCTTCATCGATGCCCTGTCCATGCTTGGATCCTGGTCAAACATAACAATATAATCACTTACTTCTCTGCATATCACCACAGACAAAGATATGATAGCCAGAATCATCTCGCTCCAGCTATTTACTTCGCCATGTATTTATTTCCCGTTTGAAACGCTTGGTTTTGATGACTAACGGCAAGATCTCTCCGCTTTACTGCCATAGTCTCCCTCCACCAGCTCCTTGGTAGACCTTCGTCTCGTACTCTTCTGGATCAGAATCTTGTTCACTTCGTCCTTAAGCCTATCTTTTACTTTGTACAGGTAACAGTCGACAGCTAGGTTTCGAAACACTTCAATCAGATCCTTAAACGTCCTGATTCCATACACCTTTGTTATCTGGATAAACCTCGACCTCAGTAGTGCAGAAGGAAATTGCACAAACAGCCTTATGGTTCTCCAGAAAATATCCTCGGCATCAATTGGAATGTCCAGCTTGTAACTCCCGAGATCAGGAATGAACCTCGATATCTCCTCGTGTATCCTTTCCCTGCTTACTCCCTCCCCACCCGAGGTTTCGGCACTCCCCTCGTCTATCACCCTGAGAATCTCAGAAACCTTGATGTCCACGGAGCAGAAGTGGTTGTGGAGTATCACATATCCCATCAGGGCCATGTTGTTGTATTCGTTCCAGAAGGGAACAACTAGTTTGCTTGATATGTACCCGTTGATTAGATGTGACAGCCTCTTTCGAGTAGTCCTAAGACTCTCGCATAACCTGTCCCACTCCTCGTTTGTGGTGGGAATGCCCCCCTCAGGCATCTTAAAGCTCTTCCTATACAGGTATCTAAACCCCATTATCCTGTAGTAGTTGGAAATGCACTTTCGAGAGGTCTTGTTCATTATTCCGCATATCTCCTTCCACTTGAATCCAAGGACCCTGACAAGATTGAGAAGCTGGATCTCGTTCTCGGGCTCCCACTTCGCATCGATGTACGGGTGATAGTGGTAGGATACATAAACCCATACAGAGTTCATTGTTCTCTGCTCAAGCGCATTGCTCACCTCCACCAAAAGATCTTTTATTGGAAACTCTGGCTCCTCCTCAAGAAAGAAGGCATGCAAGTTCCTCATCTCAAGCCGATGCTCCTTCAGAAACCTTCGTATGGCTTCGTCGATCACTTTGCCCTCGTATGAGTTGTAGCATCCTCTCTTCATCGAGATGTTGTACCTCTTCATCAGCTCCCTGACCTCGTGTGCATCCGTAAACTTTGTCCGTAAATGGCTCACAGCCTCTTCCTTGCTCCTAAAAACATGCATGGGTGTGGCGTGTTCATTTCTTTAGTAACACCGATCTTATTTCCTCAACCAGCACCCTGCTCACGGCCACCCCGAAGAAGCACTCAAAGAGAATGAGCTCGTCATCGTCCAAAACACTCAGGGCAACCATCTCTGGCTCATACACCCCGTTGAAGTACTTAATCAGATTCACCCTTCCATCGCCATGGATTTCGTCGAGAACCGCAAGCTTCCTCAGGACATCCGTATTCAACGTTTTTCCGATTCTCAGAAGGAAGAGCTGCGCGGGCCTGATGTTGAACTGGAACTCGATCAGCTCAATCACCTTGCACTCGATGGCTATAAGCCGCTCTCTGTGGGGGGTCGTGCCCATGCTTGTGGCTCTTGGGATTGCATCGAGTATTGTCTCCATCTTTATCAGTGTCTCGTTGATCTTCGATGCCAGGTAAACACAGACGAGAGCAACTATGTTGTAGCTCTCCTTCTTGAAAAGCTTTGGATATGCATGGTGGAATATTATCTGCGCCACTATCTTGGACTTGTATGGCATGTAAAGAAGTCTTGCGAGATGCAGGATTGTTTTGTTCCCTTCAAGAATATCGTTTTTGAGCACGGATTCCATAGCAGGGATTTGATGGATTTTTATCTATCCCTTGGATGTTTATCAGGGAGATAGTCCTGGATGGATTCAAGTGCTATGAGGAAAAGGTTGTTGTAGCCAACCTCGACAGGTCCTTCAACGCAATAACCGGGATGAATGGGTCCGGGAAGTCTAATGTGCTTGACGGGATTCTGTTTGCTCTTGGGCTCGAGAGTACAAAGGCCCTGCGAGCTAACAACACCAGGGAGCTGATCAATGCCCACAGAAAGGAGTGCAGGGTGAGTGTTGTGATGTGTAATAGGGAAAAGGCCCGAAGTCCCCCTGGGTATGAGCACCATGACGAGATCTGCGTCTCCAGAACGATTGACCTGGAGGGAAGGACGAAGTGCTACATAAACAACCATCTGTGTTCGTTCTCCACGTTAGGCAAGCTGTGTGCGTCGATGGGCCTCGTGTCTCGGGGATCGCTTTCCTCTGTTGTGATGCAGGGGCACATAACAAAGGTTCTGAGTATGAAGAGCTCGGATCTCCGGGGGCTGGTTGAGGAGACTGCCGGGACATGGAGCTACGAGAGGGAAAAGGAGAAAGCAATGGCGATGATTGAAAGAAAAGAAGAGAAGCTCAAAGAGGTCCGGGAGATGCTGAGAAGGAGGATCTCCCCGTTTTACGACAAGCTTCGAGAGGAGAGGACAAGATTTCTTGAGACCAGAGACCTGGATGAGAAGAGAAGGGTCCTAATAGAAAGAGAACGGGAGATCAAGCGGAAGCTGCTTCTTCACGAGATAGGAGAGGATGTGAATGTCTTGAATAGGTGTTTGGAGAGCTATGGTGCGGAAATGAAGAGCCTGGAGTCTGTTGAGAAAAGGATTTCTGAGATTTGTGGGATGAAGGAGGAAGTCGATGTTGTATGGATCAAAGCATCTATTGACGGGGAAAGGGAAAAGCTGGAGGAGATGAGAAGCAGAGGACTGGAGCAGAGGCTGAAGATGAAGAAGGAAGAGCTGAGAATGATGGGGGATGCAAGGCCAATGATGGAGCTAAGCAAGTTGCTTGAAAAGGAAAGGATGCTTGTGGAAAGCCTGAGAAACATGGATTCTGGAGAGAACGATGTTTTGCGGAAGGCTGAGGAGCTTGCAGCGCTCAAGTTCCAGAGGTCTCGAGTTGAGTTTGAGCTCAGCTCTATTTCTGCAGAAACTTTTTCGCAGGAAAGGCTGGATGAGATTGAACGGCTCAGGGTTTCTGAGGAGGAGATTGAAGAGGCGAGAAAAAGGGCCCGGACGCTGCGGTCTAAGATCAACTATCCGTTTATGGAGGGAGTCCTTGGAACTGTTGAGGAAAACATTGAGGTGTGTGACAAGAAATATCTTGAGGCGGTGCATACGGTGATGGGATCCCGGGGAAAGTATGTTATAACATGTGATGAGAAGGTTGGGGGACTCTTACTGAGTACTGTGGAAAGGAATGTAAGTGTGATACCGCTCTCGAAGATAAGGGTGTTCCGTCTTTCTCCGGGCGTTGCGAAGGAGATAAGATCCAAGGGCGGAATGAACATGGTTGATCTTTTGAGGTTTGATGGCAGTGTTCGTAAGGCTGTTGAGTTTGTCTTTGGCAACTTCTTTGTATTTGAGAGCAAGGAGATAGCCAGAAGGGTCTGCTTTGAGCACAAGGTGATGTGTGTAACGGTTGATGGGACTGTGTATGATCCGAAAGGAACGCTTACTGGGGGGAAGTCGAGCTTCAGGGCCGATGCAGTGGGTAGGAAAGATGTGGAAGATGCAGAAAGACTTCTTGAATCCCTGGAGTCGAACAAGAGGAAGTTTGACTTGCTGAGACAGGAGTATACCAATCTCCTGAGGGGAAGGGCTCTGGATGAAAAGAGGAAAAGGCTTCAGGAGGAGAGGAGATCTCTTGACACACGGATTTCGATATTGTCTGGGCTGTGCGAGAGCGGGATGAACATAAAGGAGGAGCTGAGGGCAGTACGGGAAAAGATGGTTGAGGGGATGCGAGAGAAGAATGAGACGGATGCGTTTGCGGAAAGAAAGAGGAGAGTGGAGGACCAAATAAAAGAGATTGAAGAGAAGATCCGAAGAAATGAGGAAGAGGCAAGGGAATGCGAGAAAAGGATACTGTCCTACCAAAGAATTCTTGGGGAGCATGACGTTGAGAACGATGCAAGAAGAATGAGCGAGAGGGAGATGGGCGGGCTTGAGTTGAAGCAGAGGGATCTGATCCGGAGCACCGGGAAGCTACACGGCAAAATCACCAAGGTCTATGGTGACGTTGAGAAGAAGCTGAAGCAGGTTGCTGATTGCGACAAGATGCAGGTGTATGGAGACGCTCTGCCTTCCGAAGAGATTTGCAGCACGGCAAAGTCTATGGGGATTGATCCCAGACACCTCCTGATCGGAAGGGTGGAAATGTTCCCGGAGGAAAAGGCTGCACTGAGAAAGGAGCTAGAGACGGTTGCAGGAGAGATTGCGAGACTGGGCTGTGCAAAGAGAAGTACGATGGACCCGGCGAACTTTGATCTACTTGAGCGGAATGAGCTGATGATTGCAGAAGTGAAAGAGAAGATGGAGAAGCTGGAAAAGGACAGGCTTGCAATTGTACAGAGTGTATCGAGATTTGATGATCTAGGGCACAGGGAGAATCTGAAAGCATTCAAGCACATCAATGGAAGGCTGGGAAGATTTCTTAGGTACTTCATACCTGAGTCTGATGCAAGGATTGAGGAAAAGAATGGGGAGTATGTCCTGAGGGTCAAGATTGGAAACTGGAAGGAATCCTTGAGCGAGCTTAGTGGGGGGCAGCGGTCTCTTGTGGCTCTTTGCCTGATATTCTCGATGCTGACATACAGGCCATCCTCCTTCTACATCTTCGACGAGATCGACTCTGCACTGGATCTGAGCTACACACAGGGCATTGGGGAAATCATAAGGAACGAGTTTGGAAATGCCCAGTTCGTGGTTGTGTCTCTAAAGAGCGGGATGTTTGATAATGCAAACAGCATATTCAAGGTATACCTACAGGACGGAAAGTCGAGGATATGTAGAATTAAGTAGCACCATACGACGGAATAAAATATTTATGACCTATGTTTGTGGAGAGAGGAAACACCCTCAAGGAATGAATGAGACCATGAAGAGTGCAAAGTTTGACTTTGACACGGGAGACAGCGATAGCCACAACTATATCCACAATGAGTCTGAAAGCTACTCTGCCGAGGATGCAAAGTACGAGGTTGGGAAGGAGGAAAGCACAGGGCCATTTGAAAAGCTGAAGAGCAGTGCAGCAGACACTCTCCACCAGAGAACAGGATGGATCTTCTTGATAGGCGTCGTTCTGTCGATACTTGCGATTTGCTGCTGGGGCCTTTATGTGGATGTCAAGGACAGAAGTGGAGACGTGTCCAGCATCAGGGTCCGAGACGTCCTGTTTGTGTGCTCCATGGGCGTGTTTGTCTTTATGGTCCTGAACTTTGCTCTTTTCAAGATGAGCTTCCTTGGGCTAAAGAGATCGAACAGCCTGAACACGTTCTTTTACTACACAAACGAGCTTTCTGAGCACATTTCTGTAGGAATCATCCTCAGTGCAGGGTTTTTCCTGGCATTTCTCCGGGATCTGGACTTCTGTGTGGACAACAAGCAGAGGATGGACCTGTTTCTCAGCGACGTGTTCAGCAGCCTCTTGATAACGACCTTCATGCTTGGAGCCGTGAAGATATTCCACAGGTCCATTTCGATGAACTTCAACTATTCTGTATACATCAAGAGGATTAGAAGAGTGCTTTCCGAAGATGCATTTGTCAATCTCCTCGGGGTCATAGACAACCGAAGGAGCCGGGGAATAGAGAGGCCTAGACTCAGCAGGTCACAGGAGATGATGTATAAAAGCGATGCAGTCTCCTCGATAAATGAGTACATGGAAGACCTGTATGGCTACAACGAGCCCACAAACGAACTCGACCTGCCCAGGAAAAGGGTTCTCCTCAAGGAATTCCAGAGGCTGATGCGGCGGTCCAGCACCATTCGAGGAAGCGTTATACAGATCTCGCAGAAGCTTAAGAGCAAGGCTGGAAGCAAGGCAAGCAAGATGGTTGGAAAAGATGGGGTCATTGGGCCCATGTCTGACCTGTCGCTGTACTTCTACAACCCAGAGGTGTTCAAGTTTTTGATGAAGGAAATTGGCGTTGAGGAGGGATTCAAGTTCACAAGAGCCAGTTTGGCAGATTTTATCGAGAGAACGTACAGAGAGAGATACTTTCTCAAGGAGAATCTCGAGCACATGAATTCTGCTATAGACAAGGTTGCGTTTGGACTCAAGGTGATGATAGCAGGGATTCTTCTGGCAATGCTATATATCAAGGCCGGAGGAGAGGGTGTTACGACCATTGGTGTGATTTCGGCATTTTTCGGAACACAGTTCATCTCAAATTCGTTCTCTTCCAGCGTGATAAGCAGCATAATTTTCCTGTTTTTCATCCATCCATACGACATCGGAGACAGGATCTTCGTGACGCTGGAGGGTGTGGAGGAGAATCTGGTTGTGTCTGAGCTGAATGTGTTTTCGACTGTGTTCTACAGATGGGATGGGGTCTATATAACCATTCTCAACACTGTGCTGGCGCAAAAGGCAATTAAGAACCTCAGGAGGAGTGGAATCATGGCTGAGTCCCATAGAATTCAAATAAATAGCAGGACCAACCAGAAGAAGCTAATCCGCCTGAAGGAGGTTATCGAGGACTTTGTCAAGAGCAACCCGGAGGACTATACGGAATACATGATGCTGAACCATGAGTACATCGAGGATGCCTCGAAGCTTCATATGAAGGTTTACATGCAGTACAAGAGCAGCTGGCAGAACTTTGAGCTGTATCTTCGAAGAAAGACCAAATTCCTGTCATTCCTGAACAGAGCTCTGCAGGAGCTTGAGATCGAATATATCCTTCCACCAATGCCCATTTTCCTGAAAAAGGCCCAGGAGTGAGCTTTTCCTTCTTAGATTAGAATAAACGTACGTACCTTTCAACAATCATCAAGGATCTGTGAATTGGGAGTATCCCTGGAAAATGGGAAGCGCGCTCTGGACAGAAAAGTATAGACCAAGGAAATACACGGAGCTGGTATTTAAGGGAGATGTTCATCACGACGCTCTCAGATGGCTGAGAGATTATCCTAGCAATGGACGGATCCTCCTGCTATGTGGGCCACCAGGAACAGGAAAGACGGCATTGGCGCATGTCCTTTCATCCGTATTTGGGATGAATCTCGTCGAGTTTAATGCCAGCAGCGATTCTGAGTATGTGAGTAAGATATTGGACAGCGGAGGGACGATAAACGGAAAGAAGAATCTGATTCTTGTTGACGAAATAGACGGCAATCCGTTGATAGAGGTGGGCAGGCTGGCATCTTCTACGAGGTTGGCACATCCGGTGGTAATGACATCAAATGAAGTACGTCTGAAGGATGTTTATACTCTAGAGATCAAAAGGCCTGGAATAGATGAGATCAGGAGGGGCATAGAAAGGATCTGCAGGGAAGAGGGAATCAGGGTTGACAACTCTGTCCTGACAAGGATGGTGGAAGATTCTGGTGGGGATTTCCGGGCGATAATAAATCACCTTCAGATGTGTAGCCTGGTGCTGGCGAGCTCGGGCTGCCCAGTGATGGAGAAGTCGATCCCAATAGGCCAATACAGAGCAACCGAGCTGATTCTGTCAAGGTACATTGGGTGGGGGGCATACGAGGACATGTACTCCAGTGGTGTGCTGTCCCTATGCCATAGCTCATTTCCATATAACACTGGTGTAATGAGATGCATCAGAGACATAAGCGAAGGTACATCCATTGCAGATCTTCTCCCGGAGGAGTTCAGATACATAGTCCTATCAAAGTACAACGGGTGCAACAGCAGAAAGGCCGATATAAGGAGGGCAGAGCACTACAACGAGCCCAGGGGTGATCTCCTAAACGAAAGAGTCCTCCCTTATTTCAAGAAGTATGATTTGAACAGAACAGATAAAAGGAGCCTGGACCACCTAAGGGAGATAGTGAAAACATACAACATCAAGAATGTAAAGCTGAAGGAGGAGAGTGTGGTGAAGACCGACAGAAACAAGGGCCCCAAGAAGTTCAGGTTCAAGTATAAGCCTGGATCTTCATCGGCATTTAGAAGAGATGTAACAGTGGATGAGATTATGGACTGGCTATTTAACTCTTGAGCCTGCTCTAAGCCTCTTCAAGTAAGGAATAGATGAGCTCGATAAACTCCTTTGGATTCACGATAGACTTATGGTACAGAACAAGAAGGAAGTGCACTATCGACGGGTTATTCTTCTCTTGCCTTGCGAATCTGACTATGTCATCCCCCAATGCATTTCCGTGGAGCCTAAGGACATTCCATCTTTCCATTAGGGCAAGTGAATGCTCTGAAAGGCCTGGATTTGTTCTGATGTCTCTGTTGATTAGATTTGAGAGGTTTTCTATCGACCAAATTCCATTGACAGGGCTTTCATGTTCCTGCCCTACTGTTGGGACTGCCCTAACTCCCAGTCTTTTCCTCGTATACCTCTTAGAGAAATAAATCAGGGTTTTGCCAGCCTGCAAGGAGCCAGCCTCTTCTTTTCTGAAAAGAAGAGTCTCGCCATTTTGGATGCATTTGTAGCTAAAATGCATACGATTGATGTGGGATGTCAGAGAGCCGATGGATTCAAACTCCCTAATGCAGAAAATGCAGCAAAAACCATGTATACGATACTTTTCTCCTTCTACCTCAAGATTAACAGGATGCTTACTTTGCTTCACCTCCGCATCCTGAATGCCCCAATAGCAATGGAGAAGGCCTTGGTGCCTGCTCCTGATGTCTATGGACTTGAGTGTCAGATCGTGAGACGGCTCCTCGTCTATTTTGTAGAATCCGTCTTTGTGGAATAGCTCAACTCTATACAGTGGTGTCTTTGGATCTCTTAGGGAATGGCATCCTCTAAACTGGGTGTAATACATGCAGGTTTTCCCGCTGGCATCTACAATAAACATATAAAGCACCGTCTTGTCATGGCACGAGAAGGTTGTCATTCTGGTTTTTCGTACATCCCTAACCACGTAGCAGTCTTCTGCATCCAGGGCAGTTGAGAAGTTTATTTTGGCCCTAACCCCACCATTCCATTGATATCCTTTCACTATCAAGGTGGCAGGACTGGGTGTTCCTGTCCTGGGCACAATGGAGAGCATGTATGATACAGAGCACTCCTTTGCACTGGGAGCTGGGGTTCTCTTTCCTATTTCCGTTCTCTTCAATCGCCTTTCCAGAATAGGTGGGAATAGCCCGAGGCTATTTTCCACGAACCAGCCAATCATGTGGTGGGCTCTGAAACCTGAGACGGAAGAAGCTTTATTAAATAGGTCTTTACAAGGGCTCTCATCACCGCACGGCTGAGGAGACTTCAATGGGGTGAGGACTCAGGGGCTATGGAGAAAATGCTCTCATTGTCGGAGTAGTTCATCGACGTGGCGTTTTCGATGTTTTTGCTATAGAAATGGCTGTAAACATTTTGAGCATTTTCAAGCTTCTTCACAAGCCCTATGTTTTCGGCCTCAAGCTCCTTTATCCTGGCCTCCTTCGCCCTCAGGTCTTCCTTCATCCTCTTCGTCTTCTCTTCCATTCCCTTCACCTTCTTCTTGAGATCCTCGATCTCGGACTTGTACTTTTTGTTGCTCACCCGAAGATCTTTTGATGCTTCTTCATTTCCATCCATCGCACTCTTCATCTGTGCTATCTCCTCGCTGTATTTCCTTATTATTTCATTTGCCGTGTTTACCTCCTCTCGGAGAGTCTTGCTTTCATCCTCTATCTTCTGAGCCCTCTCAATCAGACCAGAGTTCTTTACATCCTGCAACCTGAGCTTGTCTAGTTCATATTGCAGCCTACCGTTCTCCTTCTCCAAGTCATAGGCCTTACTGCTCAGCTTGTCAACCTCTGCCCTCCAGGTATCTCCCTTCTCATTCAGGACCTCGTTCTCTTTGTACAGCTTATCTATCTTCTTCTGTGCCACCATTGTCTCTTCCTCTAAGTACCTGATCCTGTCCCTTAGCTCCTTTTCCCCACTCCTGCACTTATCCCGCAGCATCCCGTTTTCCTTAATGAGCTTCACATTTTCAGACTCCATCCTGCTTATCATATCCCCCAGGTACATCTTGTAATGTGTCTCGTCCGGCTTCGAGAACTTCAGCTCCAGCCTGACTATGTTTCTGAATTCGTCCTTCTCAACAAACAGAAACTTGTTTGTTTCCTTTGAAAATAGTCCTCTTAGCTTCCCGCCCTGCAGGCTGTGGAACATCTTCACCAGAACCGATATAAACCTCTCATAGTCAACAATAATGTCTTGCTCCCTTTTCATCACATAGAAGTCGCTTGGAGACATGGTGCTGAAGTAGAATGTAAAAATGTCCCTTGTGTCTATGAGCCTGATCTCGATCTTGTCATCAGACCGCACGATATCGCACTTCATTTGCCATGGAATATCTTCGCTTGGACAGGATATAGGAATCTTCCCTGTGAAAATCGATTCCCTCATTTCAGGGCTGAATTGGGCGTCCAACAATATAAATCCTCTTGGTCTATAAGACTGTCTGCCCAGCCATTGCTCGATACCCCATGGTTAACATCAAAAAGATACACAGTCTGCAGGATATTGCTGCTGCAGTGTCATGCCTTGGAATCAGCATGCCGCAAATAGTAGCCATAGGATCCCAAAGCAGTGGAAAGAGCAGTGTGCTTGAGCAGATAGTAGGAAGGGAAATCTTGCCGCGTGGCACAAACTTGGTGACAAGGTGCCCGGTCATTCTGCATCTTAGGAGATGCAGAGATAAGGCCGAGAGCGTGGTATTCGATCATGTCGCAGATCCGGTCTGGGACTTCACTGCGGTAAGCTCGATCATCACAAAGAGAATGGAGGAAATATGCGGGCTCAATAAGGGAATCAGCAGCAGGCCGATAACTGCATTTGTCAATATAAAGGACACATTGGAGATGACGCTAGTCGATCTCCCAGGCCTTATAAAGGTTCCCATCGGGGAGCAGCCCGAAGACATTGAGATGCAGATCGAGAACATGGTTCTTGGCTATGCAGCGAAAGAGTCCTCGATAATTCTGGCGCTTATAAATGCAAATGCAGATATAGCAACAAACGAGGCATTGAAAATAGCAAGGAAAGCAGATCCTCAGCTGAAAAGAACCCTGGGAGTTGTCACAAAGATCGACTTGATGGATTCCGGGACAGACTGCATGAGCATTCTCCTCAACAAAAGCCCGAGGCTGAGTCTTGGGTATGTCGGTGTAATAAACAAGGGACAGCAGGACATTGCTAAAGGTGTCTCTGTAAGAGAAGCTATCCTTAGGGAGACTGCATACTTCAAGGAAAGCCCTGTGTACAGCCAGATATATCCAAACATAGGATCTAGCTATCTGGTGAAGAGACTGAATGAGATATTCTACAAGATGGCGATGGAGTCAATTCCGGGAATCAAGATGGCAGTAAGAAACCAGCTGAATGATAAGGCAAAACGGCTCCGTGAGATAGGGTCTGGCAGCACCATGAAAAACGAGCGCTCTCTTGTGATGGCGTACCACCAAACGGTTCTGGGGATATTCAAGCACACCAAGTCCGGAAATGGGATATTCGTCAGGAGCTCTTCAAGCTTTTTGAGTGGGTTTAAGGAGATATTCAAAAAAGATGGATTTTCAGCTAGTTTTGAAGGCTTGCCTTCCAGGCTGAATAGATCCTCGTATCTATTCATATCCGAGGCTGTCTTCTATGACGTGGTGCGAGAAAACATAGGGACGATGACAGAGATATATTTGGAAAAGATCGATTCCGTTGTGAAGCTGCTCGTTGACGAGATCTGGTCTATATCAAGCACAAGGTTTGGAGCACTTTGCAAAAGGCTTAACAGTGTGGTCTGTGAGCATGTGGACAAGCAGAGAGATAGACTGGTCGACGGCATACGCGTTTATTCGTCGATCCAGTCGTCATACATCAATGTAGACCATCCGGACTTTGATAGAGGGAGGGCATTGGCCCTGATTCTGCGAAAAGCACCAAAGAGCGAGTCTGGGATTCTGGGGATGTTCAATTCCAGGGAGATATCGTTTGCCGACAAGGCTCTTGAAGCTGGGTTGATAAGAGAGCTGGCAGCGTCGTATCTTGAAATTGTAAACAAAGAAATGAGGAACTACGTTTTCAAAGCAGCTTACCACCACTTGTGCGAGTACATGGACTCAAAGCTTCCCGGGATGCTTTCAGAACTGCAGATTGAGGACTCGATATTAGCAGAATGCCCTGAAATCACTCACGAAAGAACCATCCTTGGCAGGGATGTGGAAATACTGAAGAATGCACTCTACACCCTGGGAACCCTTTGATTTTCCGGCAAATGGTATGAAAGAGCCGTGCTTGCTAGAATCGGAATGTCTTGGATATGATCTCCTCAACTTCCCTTTTAGATTTCTCAAGGGAATGGCTATTGTCGATGACATAGTCACATCTATCCTTAATTGAATCAAATTTTTCGTACAGCCTCATCCGCCCCTCCAGCTCCTTCTTGTTTTCACTCCCCATCCTCTTTTTCAACCTTTCGTAGGCAATGTTCTTGTCACAGTAGATGTATATAATGACAAAGTTTGGGCAATTCTTCCGGCAGTACAGAACGCCATCGTACTCCAAATCCAGTATAACAGTCTTCGAGGGGTTCCTCAGCTGAGCTGCTGCTGTTCCATAGTAGTTACCGTTGTACTGGATATACTCAAGCAGCTCCTGCCTCTCTACCATCGACTCAAATTCTTCTGTTGTTACAAAGAAGTAATCTTTCCCATTCACCTCTCCATTTCTAGGTGCCCTGGTCGTGTGGGACACCGAAAACTCGAACGGAAACTTCGACAGGACGTGGCTTATAATGGTAGACTTCCCAGATCCGCTAGGCCCAGTAAGCACTAGGTGAACACCGTCAATCATGGGCATAAAAATAAGGAGGACAAAGTAGGTGTCCCAGGTTACGCGTTGCAGAAAACAACTAATCCATTTATTCGTAGAGCCCATCATCGTTGATGTCATTTTTCTTGTCGAACTTTCTTACATCAACTTTCATCGACCTTGCAAACGCCTCGTACCGCTCGACCTCCTTCTCAGACACACTGCGTCTTGCAGTCTTCAAGGATTGAACTAGATGATCGGGACGAAGGTAGGGAACGGGGTCCTCGAGATCCATCATCTCAGAGCCCTTTTTCTTCTGCTCAAGCTCATACTCGATCGTTTCTCTTATCGCCAGTTTGCACGCCCTCTGGCATATCTCCGAAAGATCGGCCCCAGAGAACTTGTCCGTGGCCTCTGCAAGCTGTCGAAGATCGATCTCAGGAGAGAGGGGTGTCTTCTTGAGTGTGGCCTGCAGGATGGATACTCTGCTGTCGAGATCGGGCAGTGGGATGTAAACCAGCTGGTCAAGCCTTCCTGGCCTCATCAAAGCACTATCCAACTGGTCAGGCCTGTTTGTTGCCCCGATCACAAACACATTCTTCTTCTGGTTTATCCCATCCATCTCAGATAGCAGCTGGTTCAGCATTCTATCAGTGGCCCCACTACTCCCATCATTCCCAGACCTTGCCTTGGCAATCGAATCTATCTCATCAAAGAACAGAACGCAAGGTGCTGCCCCCCTTGCCCGTGCAAACAGGTCTCTGATGTTCGACTCAGACTCTCCAACCCACATCGAAAGGAGCTCCGGGCCCTTTATGGATATGAAGTTGGCCTTGCATTCCGTAGCAACAGCCTTGGCAAGAAGTGTCTTACCACATCCCGGAGGCCCGTAGAACAAGACACCCTTAGCAGGCGTCATTCCAAACTTTATGAACTTCTCAGGATACTCCACAGGATACTGCACAGTTTCCCTCAGCTCCTGCTTAACCTGCTCAAGCCCCCCGATATCCGACCACTTGACATTTGGAGATTGGATAACTGTTTCCCTAAGAGAACTTGGGTCCGTGTGCTCGATTGCATACCTGAAGTTCTCACTGTTAACTTTCAGCGAGGCTAGGACCTTGGCATCAATCTTCTCGCTGTCTAGATCTATCTGCGGAAGCTTTTCTCTGATCTGCTGTAGTGCCGCTTCACTGCATAGCGATGCCAGGTCACTCCCAGTAAACCCATGCAGCTCCTTGTTTATCGCCACCAGGTCCACATCCTCCGACATCTTCATGTTCTTGGTGTGGATCCTCAAAATCTCAAGCCTTCCGGTCTCATCGGGAACCCCAATCTCAATCTCCCTGTCGAATCTCCCATATCTCCTGAGTGCAGGGTCAATGGAGTTGGGCCTGTTCGTGGCCCCGAGAACTATCACGTTGCTCCTTGCCTTCATCCCGTCCATGAGGGTCAACAGCTGGCTCACAATCCTTCTTTCAACTTCACCTTGGGATTTCTCTCTTTTAGGTGCAAGCGCGTCAATCTCGTCAATGAAGATTATTGCAGGGGAGTTCTTCTCTGCCTCTTCAAAGGCCTTTCTTAGGTTCGACTCGCTCTCGCCCGCCATCTTCGACATGATTTCAGGCCCGTTAATCAAAAACAGAAAGGCCCCAGTCTCGTTTGCTATCGCCCTTGCTATCAAGGTCTTTCCTGTTCCAGGAGGTCCGTACAGCAGAATCCCCTTCGGCGGCTTCACCCCTATCTTTGAGTATAGCTGGGAGTGCCTCAGCGGAAGCTCAACCAGCTCCCTGATCTTCGCCATCTGTGCCCTGCATCCTCCAACATCGTCATATCCGACCATGTTGAACTCCTTTTCAACCTCCTCCCTTGAAATCGTCTCGTCGCAGTATACAGAGGTTGTCGACGTCACAGACCCATGCTTAATCTCCATGTCCTGTGCATCTATCATCTTGGTAACCTTGAACTCAACCCTCCCAAGCCCAGAGGTGACTCCGTAAATCGACCCCGTCGTAAGGGGCATGAAGTTGAAATCCAGAAACGGCCTGACAAACTCGTCGAAAATGTTTCCCCTGATATTCTCAACCGTATCCTTTATCGGAAGGAAGTTAAGCTTGCTAACCACCGGAATGTCCTTGTCCACTCTGTATAGCTTCACAGTGTCCGTGATCCTTATCCTCAGGTTGAATCTTCCGTCCCTAACAATTGCAATGTGCCTGGGGGGGACGCTTTCGAGCGCAACCGTGCTGAAGATCAGCTCCGCCTTTTTCTTTCCCAGTATCCTGACATAGTCAGACTCAAAGAGCTCCAGCTCGTTGAGGGTTGTGGGGTGAAGGCCCACCTGGTATGTCCGGAGCTTACTGCAGTCCTTGTCGCAGACTATAAGCGTATTCTTTGTCTTCGACTCAAGAATGGCTGTCGAAAAGTCCTTCTCGTTTGCAGCAGCTGCCATTTGGGGCTGTCTTTGTTTTTGTTTTTAGCCTAGCATTTTTGTAAACAAGCCGCCAATATCAGTGGGTCTTTGCTACATCTCCTGTGCAGAAGCACTGCTGAAAAGGCGATCAACCGGTCGGGAGGTCATTTGGGCCAGAATGACTTTCATACTGCCGTCCAGAGATGCCTTTCTGCCAATGGGTCATAATGTACGACAGACTCTACCCCGAAGGATGGGATGGTATTCAAGCTTTTTGGCATTCTCAACTCTGGTCGTCCTGCTTTTGGGATACATTCTTCTGGGCAAGCCTGCAAAGTATATACTGTATCTACCTCTCAACGCCATCTCATTCATCATCTACTTTAGAATTAGAAGTTCTGTTGTAAGAAAGCGCCTGGGCATAGCCACAAATGTGCTCATCAGGCTTGTGAAGTTTGGTGCCGGAGCCCTTCTGATGTGCACAACAGTACTACTGACATCAGCTAAGTACAGCCATGGGCCCTTGGTTTTGGGAGTTCTCCTCCTTCTGATGGATCTGGTAAGAGCATACTTCTACGAGTTATCGAAGAGGAGCTTTGAAAAGAAGATACTTACAGGAAACTTCATGGACATTCTCAGGCTGGAGAAGTACGTCATATATTCTGTAGAAGGCCCCCATGCAGTGGATCTAAAGAAAAACCTGTCTGTTGACGAATACTTCAACAGAGGGCGGCCGAGGCCGATTGATGTCAACAGTCTTTTTGATTTATGGAACGACCAAAATCCTTATGAAGAGCATGTTTCCGATAGTGAGGTCACCGAGGACAGCATCGAACCAAGGAAGAAGGTGGGGAGGCGCAGGGTCTGGATCAACCCTGAAACATACAGATTTACCAGCGAAAAGGGGAGACCAGCCAGAGACCTCCACAAGATACAGAAAGTAGTCCTTACTCCCGAGGAGAAGAGAAGGGAAAAGACGTACATCATGGATCCGTCTGAGACGATGCCTAGTCCAGGCCACGAGCCAAGCGTCTCCTGGGAAAACATCGACGGTGAGGAATGGAAGTTTCTGGAGATAGATAAGGGAAGAGCTAAGAAAATGCCGGCAAAGCCTGGGCTGATAACGGCCGAGTCTCTTCGGGTGCACTTTGGTGAGGAGCACGCAAGAGAGGCATATTCATTGATTGCCTTCAAAAGAGGAGAAGGGATCAACTATGACGTGTTCAGGGAAAACGGCAGGCAGATCAATGGAGAAAGAGACAATCTGTACAGAACGATTATGGACAACAAAAAGCTCTTGAACGTCATCTGGTTTATCCTGGCTCTTCTCGAAAGCATCGTCGGGTATCTGGTAATTATCATGTACTTCAAGGTCCAGCCGCTGCTGCTGGAGCTGATCTTTCCAATGGTAATAGTCCCCGCTCTTCCGATAATCAAGATGACGGTGGAGTCGTTTCTGTTTATCATATATACCCATCCATACGATCCAGGCGACAGGGTTCATGTGGACGGAGAAAACATGGTGGTCCGAAGGATCTCGCTGTTCAGCACCGTTCTTGAGTGTTGGGACGGAGTGGAGATAATAATACCAAACCTGGTTATAAGAGAAAAGGCGATCCTGAACATAAGGAGATCAAAGCTACAGCAATGGAAGCTCTCGATACTGATATCGTCGAAGACGTCTGAGAGGAAGATCGAGCTGCTGAGGGAAGCAATCAAAAGATTTGTAAAAAGCGACAGGTCCTATGTCACTGCGAGCCTGAACATCTCGGAGATAGTCGACTGCAACCATTTGAAGCTGACTGTGATCGTAAAGCACTCCATAAACTTCCAAAGTGGGTTTTTCATGTGGACAGGGCATACCAAGTTTGTTAACATGCTGTTGGCAATTATGTGCAAGCTCGACATTAGATTTATCCCGCTCAGCAAAGAGATTATGAATCTGAAACCTATCTATGGGGATACCCACCACAGAAAGTGATTAGAGCGCGGGGCGTGAGAGGTCAGAAACATCGATCTGAAACCAAATCTAATATGTTGCGACAGGACTATTCCGATTTGTCGATTCTAGGTTATCAAGGTGTTTGAAAGAAAATAAAAGCCATTGAAACAAACCCTGAATGGAAGAGCTTTCAACAACCAGCAACAGGAGGGAGAAACTGTCGAAGCCTCTTCTACCCGAGGACATTCCAAGAATGGTTACTGGGCCCCAGCTTAAGATCCCTGAGAGGAGTGTCGAGGAGTTCCAGGACATTTTGGACATGGAGCCGAAGGAAGGGCTTTTTTTTTACATAAGGATTCCAGGGCTGATTTTCGTCGGGTCTGTCGCAGGATATATAATAGGAAAGACAGGCCTCAGTGTTGTCAACCTGTTCTTTGTTGGATATGTGATTTTCTTTGTCTACAATCGGAAGATTGAGAGGTTTACCAGAAGCCTCAAATCATTGGTATACCACAGCGCAAGGCAGGAGAAGGCCAGGAACAACGGAGAAACTGTTGAATGGCTGAACTACATTGTTAAGAAGTTCTGGGAGGTTGGAGAGCCCGTTATATCTGCACAGGTGTACCAGCAGGTCAACAACGAGCTTCTCAAGGTTACGCCACCCTTTCTCAACGGGTTAAGGCTGACGGAGTTTACTCTTGGAAGTCGCTCACCGTTTATAGAGGGGATATCATACATCAGCATGGACGGAAACACCCTCGCAATTGAGATAGATGTTGCGTTTGTACCGTTGGAGATAAGCAGGGATGTGGTCAATTATCTGGAGAACGACAGCAAGAACTGGAACTCGAAGATCCAGCTATCTGCCAGGGTTGGGACAAGAAATGGAATAGGAATCAATCTCCCGATTCTTGTCAAGGAGCTGTTTTTCAAGGGGAGAGTCAGGGTTGTTGCAAATTTGTTCTCCAAGAACGTGTTCATCAAAGACGTGGAGGTGTGCCTGATGGACAGCCCTGAGTTTGACTTCACCCTTGTTCCGCTGAAGATGGTGGACATAATGGACGTTCCTGGGCTCAGCAGATGGATAAGGGGCATAATCAACTCAACCTTAGCAACGACTATTGTCAACCCAAGCTCGATCACAATTGATGTTGACCATATTTCGAAGGACAAGGGAAAAACAATTGGTGTTGTGTGTCTCCAGATACTTAGCCTCGAGAACGAGGACGAGGAAAGGCTGACTGTTGAGATTGATATAGACGGCAGGGTTGAATATCAGACCAGATATGGAGGAGGAAAGGAGATAGTCTACAACGAGCACTTCTACATTCCCATTGAGAATGTCGACTCAAGGATTGGGTTGTCTCTGAGAAGCGAGTCAAGAAAAACCAGAAGAAGAAACGGGTCGATATTTCTGAAAAACCTCCCGCTGGACAGGATTGAGGAATCTGTAAAGAACGAGCTGTACGAGCCCAAAAGAACCTTCTTCAACAAAGCAAGGCTGGTTAAGGACGAGCAGACGTATTCCTTCATAAACACAAACCTGCAGTTCTATCCCATACAGAAGGAAAGAAGCAATAGTGGCATAGTGAAGATGGCCTTGATAGGCATTGAGGATCTCCGGGGAAACAAGGCGTCGAAGGCATATACATATTCGACGTTCTGCACGGTAATTGTGTCGCCCATCAACCGGGAGGAGGCTAGCATTCCAACAGGCTTTATTGAGAATACAGTCAGTGTGACGGCAATGATGGTGAGTGGAATCATCAACACAACTGGGAGTGTCATCACAAATATTATTCCTGGGCTTGAGACAACGACTACAAGGCTTCTCCCTTCATCAAAGAACACTTTCTATGTGTTTGAGTCGAAGAGAATATTTGGGACCAACTCTCCGATCTACAACGAAAGCTTCACGTTCTTCTGCAGAGACATCCAGGCTGACGTTGTATCGATATGCGTAATGAACGACAAAACCAATGAGGTGATAGGAAGGGTGTCTATTCCTGTAAGAGACATCCACTTCAACAAGAAGGAGAAGTATAAGCTCAACGATGCCCACAGTGGCAGGATGGAGCTTTCGTTTACAATTGATTATGTGGACATGGTTGACAAGGTAACTAGATTTATAAACTACGAGAGGATGTTAAAGATTTCTGTCGACTCGATGAATGAAAAGGGGGTGTACTATGCAATATTTGAGACAAGCACTGACTGCTTCAGGATGGAGACATTCACATCTGCCCTGCCGATAAAAAGGACGGTTTATGTTCCTGTCCAGGCGCAGGACACCTTGAAGTTTCGGCTGTACAAGGAAACGATAAACGGCGATGTGTTTATCGGAGAGGACAGAATAAGCTGCAGGCCCTGTGATGGGCTCAGAAAGGAGGCCTTTCTACTTGACGAGCAGATAAGCCTGACGCTTAGCATTGAGGAGGAGGCTCTCCGGGATTATTCGGGAGCGCCTGAGGACAAGGGCAATGTCAAGGTAATCCAGGCGAAGTTCGGAAGGTTCTATGGACACAGCCAGGAAATGTTTTTTGAGTTTAGTAACAAGTACGGGATGATCGGAGCCTCTGGATTCACCAGGAGTGGAAAGCTCAATGATACATTCACATTTATTTCTGGGTGCGAGGAGATATATGCTGTTGTGAAGAGCGGCAACCAAATGACCAACTCGACGCTGGGCCAATGTGTAGTTCCCAAGAGAGCCTTGAATGAAAGGGTCGTGCTGAATGAGCACGGATTGTCTGTTGACATGGAGGTGAAGATTCAGGGGTGCTCATACAAGCCAACTTCGATGCTGAAGGCCGGATATCTTGAGGTGTACATAAAAAATGGAAGCAATATCCGGTCAGTAACACAGAACCCGATCGACACATACTGCAAGATCCTGGTCAATGAGACCAAGGTATACACTACCAAGCCTGTACGCAGGAACAGCCATCCAGTCTTCAATGAGTCGTTTATTATGGAGATAGACAAGACAAAAGACATATTTGGAGTACAGATATGTGACTACAATGTCTCTGAGAGGAATGCACTTCTGTACTACACGGAGTTTTCACTACACAATCTATCCGAGGGATTCAGCGAGATGGAGTTTGGCCTCTTCGATGGAAAGACTTTCCAGTCGGTCGACTCCACGATCAGAATTGGATTCAACTTCTGCGCAGACCATAAGAGCTTGAAGATCAGGAAGAGGGGAATTCTGAGTGATTTCTTTGGATTCTGAGCTTTTTAGATTTCATTAAAACACAGGCAGAAACATGCTCTACCTACTTTTCTTTGCAAAGGCTGTTGAGGTCATCGAACCTCATTTTTTTATCTTTAAAGATGCCCAGCATCGCATCTATGTAGCTTTCCTTGAAGGAAAGCCCGTAGCTCTTGAGGATTGCCTCCACATCATTCTTATCTATGTGTCCCTTCTGGTCTCTGTCCCAGGAGTTGAAGACATCCAGATTTCCTGTCCTTTTAAGCACCAGGGAGTCAAGAATGGAGTTGAAGTCGTCTCTTGTCACGATGTTTCCAAGGGACTGCGTCAGCTGGGATACTTGCTGGGAACTCACATCAAGAAACACAATCTCTATGAACTGCTTCAGATCTTCGAGAGTCATCTCATTTCCATGGGTTACCATGTCGTATATCCTGTCTGACTCATTTCTTTCCAACATGTGGGCTCTGGAGCGTGGACCAAGAAAACACAATTGGACTGTAGCTCGTGAGATTGATGTTTGTTGTTTTGTGACGGCAATCAAGTTGAATCTGATATATTAAGGATATATATGAGGAGAAATCCCATGAAATGACAACTTTGGAATGAGCATATCCAGCCTCGAAAACAACCTAATGAATGCTATATATGGAAAAAGAACAGGCGTTCCTTCGATTTCTAAATATAAATAAGGTATAAACACGAGGCTCAATGGTTAGAAGGAGCTTGTACTTTTTGGCTGTCATGGGAGTTGTGAGGAGTAGCAGTGGCCTCTACATACCCAGTGTTGTTTTACAGGAGTTGGGGATTGCATCCTCTCAGGGATGTCTTATGATTGCAGAGACCAATAATGGAAACTTTGGGATTGTAAGTAGTGGATTAGAAAACCCGGTGTACATCACAGAGAGCCCGCAGGGGCACCGCGAGGTCAGCTGGCAGCCTGTAAGAGGAGAAGATAGAGCAGTTCCAATCTATGCACCCAGTGCAGAAGAAGTAAGAGAGAGCATTTCCTCGGTAAGAGGAAGTGAGCCAGGCCAGTACATTGCACCTCAACCAACAGGATTTGTTCCTGCCTCTACTCCTGTGTTTGGAACTATCGAAAGCGCATCTACGGCAGGAGCAGCTGTGCCTGTAGAAGGAGTGTTTGTAGCATCTACAGAAAACCCCGCCAGCACGGGGTCCTCCTCTACATCCACATGCCCACCCAAGGGCACAGCCGGTACCACCGATAACAAGGGAAAAGCCGGTGGTGCTGCTGCAGATGACAAGAGCAAGAGTTCTTCCTCCTCTTCCTCGAAGAAGAAGAAGAAGGGAGCCAAGAGTCTTGTGGCACTTGGAGCAGTTGCAACTACGGCTCTGTTCTCAATTGTGATGTAAATAAATTTTCAAGCATCAATTCTAGCGTTCCGGCTCTAGTAATAGACATTCCTGTGATTCTCTTGTCCTCTTGGGGTTCCAAGCTAAAATCCCCCTCGTAATAACCCCGATAAAAATGCCTTCCGAAGCAAAGTATACATGGGATCAGGAGCTTAACGAGATCAATATTCAGTTTCCAGTAACTGGAGACGCCGATAGCAGCGCCATAAAGATCAGAATTGTGGGGAAGAAGATTTGTGTAAAGAACCAGGGCGAGATAGTCATCGATGGAGAGCTTCTGCACGAAGTGGATGTCTCGAGCCTGTGGTGGGTGATTAACGGAGACGTGGTTGATGTGAATGTAACAAAGAAGAGAAATGAATGGTGGGACAGCCTGCTGGTGGGATCTGAGTCTGTCGATGTCCAGAAGCTGGCTGAAAACAAGCATGCTGACATGAGTATGCTAGATGCTGAGGCCAGAGAGGTTGTGGAGAAGATGATGCACAACACAAGTGGGAAGGACTCTGAATAAACCATGTGATCAAAGTTTCTGTGGGACTATTTATGCCCATCTTTTTCAGGTCTGGGAAAATATTTCAAAAAATAAACAGAGAGGGGCTATGACGGCAAAGGAGATCAGGAAGATGATGGAGAAGGAAACATCAAGGGTAAAGAGCCTTAGCTTCCACCCAAGCAAGCCTGTGATAATTTCTGGGCACCACAGTGGGTCTATAAGGGCGTGGGACTATCAAATGAATGTCTGCATCCATGAATTTCTCGAGCACGATGGATCTGTCAGGGCTGTCTTATTTCATCCGCGGGGAGACTTCTTTGTGAGTGGAGGAGACGATAAGATCATAAGGGTGTGGAGCTACAGCGAAAGAAGAGTTACAAACAGGCTTAAGGGCCATGATGATTTTGTCCGGTCGCTGGACTTCCATCCAACAAAGCCATGGATCCTCAGTGCATCCGACGATCAGACAATAATGGTATGGAACATGTTGACGGGGAAGCTTCTTGCAACAGCCAGAGGGCATTGCCACTATGTCATGGCGGCCAGGTTTCTGGGGGAGGAGTCGATTGTGAGCGGCTCGCTGGATCAGTCTATAAGGGTCTGGGACTGTAAAGGATTGAAGGAAGGAAGCAAGAAGAACTCGTTGCTGCCCGACATAGTTATAAAACAGATTGTCGATGGGCATGATAGGGGAATCAATGCAATAGCAGTCCGGGGTGAGGTTTTTGTCAGTGGAGGAGATGATAGGGACATCAAGTGCTGGGAGTGGTCTGAAACTTCAGTGTGGGAAAAAGAGGTGATGTATAACCACCAGGGGCCTGTGACCGGGCTTTTGTGTGATGGGAACCATGTTCTAAGCTCTGGAGAGGATGGACTGTTTTCGATATACAACATGGAGAGTAGGAAGTCTGTTGAGTGTCGCACGGAAGGAAGATATTGGTGCGTAGCTAGCAGAGGGAATTTATACGCGGCAGGGCATGATTCAGGATTTGAGGTGTATCTCTACTCTGAGCCCAAGATTGTCTGTGTAAATGACGGGGGGCTTTTCTATCTGAAGGACTCTAGAATCTACTTCAATGACTTACGAACCGAGAAGATGGTTTACAATGCAAAGAAAGGCGTGGTTTCGATCTGTGCTAAAAAGGAGTACTTGCTTGTTCAATATGTTGATAAGTTTGATGTTGTTAAGGATGGAAAGGTTGTTTTGAAGGAGCCAGGGGAGGGGCTTCTATTTGAAAGTTCAAGCGGCGATGTGGAGCTGATTACAAAGAATGAGGGTGGGGTTTACAGAGGTGAGATAGATTCAAAAGGTAGAAGTCTCCTTTCCTGTTCGAAGGGAAAGATGTTTAAGGGAAATGACGAGTTCTTTTTCCTGGTCAGCGGAAGGAGCATTACAATGTGCTTCGTCGAGGGGGAGGAAAAAACGTTTAGTATTCCATTTAGCCCGTCCAAGACGGCTTGCTCCGACAATAGAATATCGTTTATTGGGAGAAACGACATCTTGATCTACGATCTGGACCTGAATGTTGTAAACAGCATCAGCGAGATAGTCTCTATTATTGATGGGTTTTTCCATGAAGACATTTTTATCTATGCAACCTACAGGCACCTTAGATATGCATTTGAGGATTCCGGGGTGCTGAAGAGTGTTGACAAGAAGATTGTTCCATTTGCTCTTGAGGAGGGAAAGGTGATTTATTTTCTGTCTGACGATGGAATCGAGTGTGCCGATGTGGATTTTGCAGAGGTAAGGTTCAAGAAGGCTGTTATGATGGAAGAGGACATTGTTCCTCTGATTGAGGAAGGAATGATGCCAGGGCTCGCGCCCCTCTCGTATCTTGTCAAGCAGAAAAAAGGAGCATTGGCTCTTCCATACATCAAGGATAGTAGGCAGCGGTTCGAGCTTTGCCTCAGCGATCTGAGACTGGATGAGTGTATGGAGTACTGCATGAAGGGGGGAGATGCAGACATGAACAGAAGACTCGGCGAGGCGGCTATAAGAGAGTGTAGGGTAGATATAGCAGAGAAATGCCTTGAAAACATCAAGGAATGGAATATGCTGTTTATGCTCTATGTGTGTTCGCGAAGCGACGAGAAGATCAGGAAGCTTGCTGATAAGGTAGATGCAACTACAAAGAATATGATTATGATGTACCTAGAAGACTTGGATTATTTCAGAAAGATCGGGGTTATTGGGGAATACGGAGATAAGGATTGGAAGAGGAAGCTAGCATCCGGCGATCAGGAATCGAAGTACGGGGAGGAAGAGAGTAAAGACTTTCCGTCAACAAGTACAGCCGTTCTTGACTCTCTTGAATACCAAACATCTAGTTCGGATGGGGTTTCATGGGGAAATGGGTATGATAATAAGAGCCATGTCTGTCTAGAGGACGAAGCATGTCTGGACTTGGTTGGCACGAAGGAGACACATGATGGTAAAATCTTTCCCGTTGATCGGAGATCTTTGGATGGAAGTAACTGTTACGAAAGCAGCGAGGATGTGAATAAAATAATGGAGAAGGGACTGTCGTTGACTACAGAAGGAAAGTTTGGCAAGGCAATTGAGGCTTTCCGGGCAGGAATTGTGAAGATTGCAATCTACATCAGAGACAACAACGCAAGTGAAGCCTTTCTAGACGAGAGAAAGAAGATCGGATCGTATCTTTCTGGGCTTGTTGTTGAGAGAATAAGAAGGAAAACAGAATCTCCTCTAAAGAACATTATGATGGCAAAATACTTTTCCGACCTCCCTCTCGAGAGAGAACATCATATTTTGGCTTCGTCTACAGCAGTCATGGTGTTCAGAAAGAACGGGAATCTTAAGCAAGCAAAGGAATTGGCCATGTCTCTTAAGAGCGATGGCAAGTGCAGCAAAGCTATTGAGAAAGCTGCTGAAGAGAAGGATCCAGAGGATAGGTATGAACTTCCTAAAGGTGTGTTTTGCCACGATGTTCTCGAGATAAGACCCAATGCCAAGACTTGCCTACTATGCTTCGTCAATAGCTCTAATGGCAATACATGTACAAGCTGTAAGGTTGGTGTCCTCAAAGAACAATAAAATACTGTGCTATTCTACATCCCTGCTGACTTTATTAAATGAGCTTCCAAAATTCAGATTCCCTTAGACATCCCTCGGGGATTATGAATAACAAAGAGAAACTACCACTAAGCGGAGATCCTCGCGGAATCCTGGGGCTTCCTCAAGAGCTGGTTCCAAAGATCATGGGCCATTTGAGTGTAAAGCACATAAAAAGGCTGATGAAGTGCAACTCGCTTCTTTATAGAAGGCTGAGAAATGACTTTTCGCTGTGGAGATGCTTCACATCTGGAAGGTATCCATGCATTGCTGGGTACATCAGTGAGATTAAGAATAGATACACATTGATGAAGAACATATCCCGATCTAGGAACGAAAGAAGCGTCGACTTTGAGACCAACCAGTCGGACATCACGTTTATGCAGATTGATAAGGACAAGGTGGCATGCTCCTCAGATGACCAGACCATAAAGATATTTGGAATGGACGGAAGGCTCATAAGAACGTTTGTTGGGCATAAGGGAGGCGTGTGGACCTTCATGTTCAACGACAAGTACCTTGTAAGCGGAAGCACAGATAAGACAGCCCGGATTTGGGATTTGTGGACAGGGTGCACTCTCTGCGTTCTTATTGGGCATAAGTCTGTTGTCAGGTCCCTGAAGATCTACGATGATTACATAGCAACTGGAAGCAGAGATGCTGAGATAAGGATTTGGAATTTCAGGGGAACGTGTCTCAACGTGCTGAAGGGGCATACGATGAGCGTCAGGTGCATGGATATGGGAGAGAGCTATCTTGTGAGCGGGTCTTATGACGGAAGTGTTGCCCTGTGGGATTACAGAAGGGGAAAGCTCCTGAGATACCTAAAGCCGCACTCTCTCAGGGTGTATTCTGTCTCACTCTCGTCAAGTTATGTTGCATCTGGAAGCCTAGACTCCAGTGTCCATGTCTCTACCCTTGATGGAAAGTTACAGTGCTCGTACAGGATCCACCGCTCATTAGTAATTTGGCTCAAGTTTGTTGGCAGCGGTCGTTTCCTGCTTAGTTCTGGAGCGGACGGGATTTTATGCAAGTGGGATGTTTTGGAAAACGCTCTTGTATACAAAATAGAGGAAAGTGGGCACATAACGGCCCAGGCGGTGATTGAGGATCTGCTGATAGTCGGGACCAAGAGAGAGGTAAAGATATACAATCTGAGTGATGGAAGCTTCATTAGGACACTTTTCTCCACATCGTCTCTAATAAGCAAGGTTGAAGTGTCCGGAAGATGCATATCCATAGGATACTACTCTGACTCTGGCGCTTGCAGATTGGTAGTGTTTAACTATTAGAAGACGGGAGCTGGTACAAGACAGAGCGCAATTGCCAGCCCTTATAAATGCTCCACAAGCAGACACCTGAGGATGTCATCACAAGGCAGTTGTACCACAAGCTTGCTGACGAAACACTGACGGACCTCTCGGAACAGCTGGACAAGGAATTGGACGGCGGATATGCAGACTACAAAGACGGTAATCTTCAAATTAAGATTGATAATGTTGGCGAGTACATGTTTAACAAGCAGCCAGCATCAATGCAGATATGGGCTTCATCTCCAATAACAGGACCCAGAAAGTTTGATATATGTAGAAGGCATGAATGGATTGATTTGAAGAGTAACACCTCATTCAGCAGATACATTGAAGAAGAGCTAAGGAGAATGCGAAGCAAAATGGCTGGAAAACACAAAAAGTAGGACAGGCATCCTTCAAGACGATGCTTATTAAAGTAGAAATCTTTTATTCCACAAAGCCTTTAATCTTCTAACCTCTTCAACCTCAATACCCCTTACATGTGCTCAGGAGCTTTTCCTTTTCCTCGATTGTTCTCATTGTAACGTAATATGCCCTTCCTGTCTTCAACGCAGAATAGAGTTCACAGGAGATATCTCCAAGAACATAGCAGGACTTGTGCACAACCATCTTACAATCTTTACATTCGAATCCTTGATTGACAAGCCCATATAAAACCTCATTACAGAAATCACAGAGAACTCCCTGGGGTACTGTTTTAGGGGCAAACAGATGGTTATTAAACTCATAAATCCTGATGGGATCCTCAGGGATGTTCTCGACCATCGTACTTTTTCTGCACCTTTCAATCTCCGCCTTCAGCTGGCTTATTTTTCTGTTCGATCCTTCAAGCTGCATGTTTGCCTCTTCAAGTGTTTTGCCTTGAAGTAGAGCTCTGATCTTTTCTATTCCTTCTTTGATCGCCATTTCTGTATTGAGATCCTCCTCCAGAGACTTTAGGCTTCTTCGTCCAGATGAGCTCACACTCTTGACTTCCTCATTCATAAAGACAATCTTCAGGGTCATCGATATCTTCTTCTGAGGAAGGTGATGAAGCTCGTTTGGCCTCAGCTCCCCAACATAGACGTTAGAGATGTAGTGGGCTTCGTCTCCAACCCACAAGCGATCCTCCTCTACTTTTACAACCGTAGGCTCTCCATTGGTGAGATGGCATGAAAAGGACTGCTTGACGGCTACTCTATGGACCTTTGACTTTTCTCTTTTCAGAAAATTCAGCTCCTCCTCCACACTCTTTCTGAAAAGTATCTCCTGATTAAGTTTTTGCTCGTACTCCTTAATCTCTGCTGCCTTTAGCCTAAGCTGTCTTTTCAGACCGTCCAGTCCTCCAGACTTAAGCTTTTCTGTAAGGCTCTTGTTCTCAGATTCAATCATTGCCTTTATCCCAAGAATCTCGTGGTACTTCTCTTTATAAACCTCAGCTTCAGACCTCAATCCTTTGTTCTCCGTGCTTAACCTGCTCATGGATTCCTGGAGATCACTAAGGATGTCTGCCATCTCCTCTGCTTCTTTCCTGACCTCATAGATCGGCATGGAAAGATCCTTAAACAAAACACCTCTTTTCCCTAGATCCTCAATAGACATATCCAGTCCCGCTGTCTCCGCGGACTTCCTTTCTGCAATGGAATACTCTTCTGAAAGAAAAGCCTTGCTATTCACCTCCTCGGTTATGTTCTTTAGCCACTTCCTGTATCTCTGAAGCTCGGCCTTAGCCACCTCTAACTCCTCTTTTTCAACCAACAGTTGTGTCAGCACTTCCTTGAGCTCTTTCTGATACCTCTGGGCTTCGTCTCTGGAGATCTCTAGCTTTACTCTGGTACTTTCAAGTTCTGCATTCATGTCCGCCAATTCCTGGTTCTGCAAGTCAATAGACTCCTTGTTCTCAGAAATCTTAACTAAAAGATCCTCGAGAATCTGCCTATTCTCCTTGATCATGGAATCAACCCTGTCACTCGTAGGGGCCGCCTTCCCCTCAATCATGCTGCTGAACCTGGATACAAATTCTGGGTCAAACGTAAATCCTACAAATGGCATGTAGTTTCCCTTCACATTCAGCTTCCTCTTCTCGGCATCAAACTGGGTGTCAACAAAATGGGACGTGTCAGAGTCTCCATTGACCTCAGGAACAAAGGGAGGTTTGAGCTCCTTGAGTCTACTCCAATCAACTCCTTCAAAAAAGGCATGGCTCTTGATCTCCTCAATCCTCATCCTCCTGTCCTTTGCTGCTATTAGGCCCTCAATCAGGCTTGTGAGCTCTGGAGATACCTTGAAAGGAAATCCAAACTCAACCCTTGTTATTCTTCGATACGTTTCCATCAGAGTGTCTGAGTAAAACGGCGTGGTTCCATAAATCATCTCGTAGATTATGACACCAAGCGTCCAGAAGTCAACATCCTCTCCATACTCGCATTCTTCGTTCACCGAGCACAAGACATCCGGAGAGACATAGTCAGGAGTCCCAACCGTAATGGATGATCTCGCCTTTCCATCCTTCATTTTAATGCAGCTGCCAAAGTCCGCTAGCTTTACATGTCCATCAATTCCGATGAGCACGTTGTCTGGCTTCAGATCCCTGTGTATCCATCCCAGCTTATGGAGCTCATCAAGTGCAGCAACAATCTCTGCAGCATAGAATCTTACCCAGTCCTCCTCTAGAACATCCTCCTTCGATAGTAACCCCATAAAGTCTCCTCCAGGAATGAAGTCCATCAGATAATAAAGGTACTCCTCATCCTGCATCGTCATGTGGGCACACACAAGCCACTCACTCCCAATGCAGTCAACCATGGCCTCTTTCTCCGCCATGAACAGAGCAGTGTGCGGCTGCTTAAGGACTAGCTCCTTGGAAACTCTCTTCATAGCATAGATCTTTTCTCTCCTTACAAGAAAAACCTCGCCATACCCACCTTTGGCCACATTCTTGACAATCTCGTAGTCGGAAGGCTTGGTCTTTGCTTCGACAACCTCCTTGAGCCTATCGACAGGTACATTGATTCTTTTCTCGGATATCTCGTGATAAACGGCTTCCAGGCAATCTCCAATTATGTTTATCCTCTCCCTCTCCATAAGGACTTTTATTTTTAATGTTTTTACAGAGGAGAAGATCTAATGATCTCAGAAGTTGGCTGGGAAAGCAATCACATTTCACTCGCATAACTACTAATGCTCAAGCACCCAGAAGTCCTTGTAACCCATAAGATCGTGCAGAATGGGACTGCTTGCTTCTGTGGGGCAGGAAGTGTAGATGCCTTGGGTTTCTAAGCTGAGCTTGTACCGCCGAACTTTGAAGCATGCCCTGATGCTAAGCTGATCTCTGCAGCCTCAAGCTCATCTAAGATCGGTATCATCTTGTATTCTGAATCAAACAAGCATTTCCTTGGCGTTGTTTTGTGGGTTACAAAATCGGTACGCAGCCCTGGTCCCTAAAATGGCATCAGGCGAGAATTTGGCGCCGCGGGACGCAAAGGTCATTTCTGTGATTCTTAGATCCTTGGGAATAGAGGAGTGCGAGCCGAAGGTGATCATACAGCTATTGGAGTTTGCGTACAGATACACCACAGACGTTCTAGAGGATGCATTGTTGTTTGCAAAACATACAGGCAGAACACATATTACCACAAGTGACGTCAAACTTGCTCTGCAAACGAAGGTAGGAAGGCACTTTGTTCCTCCTCCTCCAAGGCAGTACCTGTCGGAGATATCTACAATGGTGAACTCAAAGCCGTTAACAATCCCAGACGGAGAAAACCTTATCAGAGTTCCTCCCTCATCCTCGGCACTATTAAATCTCGACTACGAAGTCCTCAGAAAAGACAGCGACAAGAAAAGGAGGATTTACTAGGAGTCACATGAAGATACGCTAATTAAATCTCCCATAAGTCGTAGAGCGCCCTTGGGCATATTTGGTTTTATTCCATAAACAGATTATATAAGGCCTCCTTTGCAGGCCTCTGGGCATCTTCAAGCAGACTGATATACGCCTCAACTACAGGTCTATCTATCCTGAAAACCAAACCATCCTCTTCAACATTCCTAAATACAAATATCAGCTTGTTAATTTCATCCTCTTGGAGTTTGTCAAGTACTTGCAGCTTCTGCTGTGCCCTTGGATCCCCTTTTAAGTAGATCTCCAGTATCTTTGTCCTCTCTTCAAAAGCCCTATCTATCTTTTCCTTGAACGGGCCGTCCCTTCGCTCCAGACAGCTGTAAAGAAAATCTACTACTAGGGACTTCTTTTCTGTAAACGACTTCAGATGCATCCTGGATATAAGCTCTTCAGACGGAGCAAGGAGCCTTGGAATCATTCTATTAATCAGTTCAGATATGTTTGGAACATTCAGTTTCTTGATCAAATCCACCAGAATTCCGGGAGCAAACACCGATCCTCCGATGCTGAGGCTTATTCTGGAGTCAAGCACAAGCGATTTCGGAATTTCGGCCCTATCGCTATAGAACTCAGCCGTCTCTCTTCTGATCGCTTTATGTATTCCGTCATCCTCGTGCTTGGAATTTATAAGTCTTTCCATCATTCGAAGGTATTCTTCATCCTTGTCTTCATAGTGCAGCCTTGGGAGCTTTCCATTGGTTCTAGAGATAAGTGCCTTGTACTTCTCCATAGACAGCTCCTTCCCTATCATCGATTTATCGCTGTTGAAATACTGGTTCCGCAGTTCTAGGGCATTCCTTAGCTTTTCTTCGGTGTAGTCAGACTTTTCCAGACAGCTGTTGAACCGGTTGAAGGCCGAAGGATCCTCAAACAGAAGTTCCTTCGCAACAAATACGGTTTTCCTAATGAATTCCTCCAACAGCTCCCTACTGAACTGATTCATCTCTGAAATGAACACCATCGAGTCTATAGATATGAAGCCTTCATAGAGAATCTCTCGATTCAGGTTTGTTGAAGTGCCTAGATAGGCACCACCATGCTCACGGGTGTCCGTCCTTACTTTGTTTCCGGAGTCATGTGCAACTAGTGCATTAAGAAAGAACTTCAAAAAGTCCATTGTTTTACTATTTTAGTTTCTTAAATGGCAGGCGTTTCAAGTCGTATCTGTTTGGAGAGGATATTTAATGTTGGCTATTTGTACATCGGGATTCCAGACCAGACTGCTTTTCTATACTCCGTATACTCGGACGATATGGAGATCATCTCTCTTTCGCGTTCTTTTATTCTTGGGAAAATCCTGTTGTTCACAAACCAAAGAAATGCGGCAAGAGAAATAAAGCAAGAAAGATATGTGCAGCAGGACGCCCAATATAATATCAGCGCCGAGTACAATGGATGTCTAGCGTATTTGTATGGACCGCTTCTTTGTATCTTTTTCCCTTCAACCTTGTTGTCTGCTACATATCTTAGAGTGAAGCAGAAAAGCGTAATAGAGAAGGTCAGCCCACACGCTGCAATGGCCTTAAAGACTCGGGTCCCAAGACGCCCTGCTGACCTCGAGATAAGAAGACTTTCGAGAAACAGGGATCCAAAAAGAAGGATGGAATCATTGTGTTTGAGAATCTTCATGCCAAAGTCAATGTTTCTAGCCTTTTCCCTGGAGTACACAAACACCAGAAGCGATATGGATGAAACAATATGGAGTAGCGGATAGCACCCAGTGCGAGAAATTCCTGCCATGAACAAGGATCCAAGAGCAAAGTAAAACGATGGACACTCCATTTAGGGGCTTTATCTGTCTTGCTCTTTCTAAGTACAAAGGAACACAGAGGATCTTATGTAGAAGGCTTATCAACGAGCACCCTGGTAGACTCTCCAGCCTCTGCTGAGGAGTCATACGATGGCCCGTGGGAGATGCGGGGCTTATCACGTAGAAAAACATTCCCTTGGATAATGGCTAGGAATTTTAACAACAGGAAAAGACTGAAGTCAACAGAAACGGCAGAGCTGGGAAAAATCCTGTACATGTGCCAAGGACAGCTTGTGATAAAACTGGCTGCAAAGGACATTCCATATCCAAATTCTCCTGTCCTAGATGCATCCTCAAAAATAATAGGAAAGGTAGACGAAATCCTGGGGAGAATAGACGATGTGCATGTGACCATCAAACCGGATGACCAATGCAGTATTAGCAAAGAAGGAGAAACGCTGTTCTCTTATGCAGACAAATTCATCCCAAAAAAGAGGTTTCTGCCAAGGGAGGAAACTGAAAAGAAGAAAGAAGAAATGGACCGCATCAAGCCCAAGCCTAAGAAAGATCAGGCTTCCAAGGGCAATAGGCCAAGAGCATTTGGGGGAAAGCAAAGAGGATCTGACAGGAAACCTGATAGGAAATGGGGCGTTATACAAAGTAACTGGAGCAAAGGTGGAAGGAAGGCCGAGTCTAGAAAAGATCACGGGAGCAAGAGACCTGATGCTAATAGGGTCAAGCCCAGAAATTAAGACGCGCTTAGGCAGCAGGCGGGAAGTGATTACGAAGAGTTTATTTTTTCGTTGCTATACTTACTGGTTATTTCAAGCATCTTCGACTCGTAGTACTTTCTCTTCTCTATCAGCTTCTGCCTCAACTCCACAATAGTCCTTTCGTCCTCCTTGATTTTCTTCTGTATTTCCTTTGTCAATCTTCTGTCGTCCTCCCCAAGAGCCCCGGGCTTGCTGGCTATGGACAACCCTATTTCGCGAGTTTTGTATTCATCATAGAATACCTCCGTTGTTTCCACAAGCCTTATGAGGTTTTTTGCTATTAGAGAGTCAACCAGGAAATAAAAGTCGTTACTTTCCACCTTCTCGGGAAACATCGTTCCCCATGGATACTCTCTGTTGTGCCCGCTACTATCCCCGGAGTTTACATTCTTTGCGATGATAAAGAAAGGAGACTCGGTCCTGGAGATCTTTTCCTTCTCAAGTATGTCCAGACGGAAAACATCGATGTTTTCCATCGACAAGACCTCTACGATTCTGTTTCTGCACTCTTCCCTTTCAGAGTCGCTTAAAAGATCGCTTTTCCCGACAACAGGAATCAGATTACAGATCTTTGATATTTCCTTCATCGTCCTTATATCCACTAGGCTTACGTGCGATGGATTGGGCTCCAGGAAATAGAGACAGATATGTATTCTTTTGTCCTTTATCAGCGATCTGACGTTTTTTCTCTCCTGGTCTAGGTAGTCCCTGAAGTTGTCCTGTATCAGCTCGACAATGGGGTCCCAGCACCCTTCGTTGCAGACGCCATCGCCTACGCCATCTACCTCGGTTACTGTGACTCGTGTTTGGAAGTCATTCTCCATGACGAAGAACTTGGATATCTGAATGTTGATAAGCGAGTTCCTGTGGAAGTATTTACTCTCCGGATCGTCAACAATGTCTTCGTCAAGTGCCCTAACAGTCTCATTGCTGTGGTGGCCATCCTCGGGTTTCAAGAAGGGGTCTGAGGATAAAATGGAGTCTCCAAGCATCTGGTTGATGAAAGACGACTTGCCCAAGCCGTTTGAGCCAACCGTCATTATGTTGAAGTCTATCCCGGCTTTGCAGAAGCTTCGGTATTTTACATTTGGAAGATTCGAGACTCCTATGCCCTTCTGCGCCATGTAAACAAACAATCATGCCCTGTTTATAACATAGCACTGTAAACAATGGATAATTCCAGAACATCTGAAACGGAATGGCTTTAAATGTGTGTTATTCTTTACCGGGATGGACGAGAAGCTTAAGGAGATGGCAGATGCAAGTAGCTTTGCAGAAAAAGAGCTAGAATCAATTCTCGGAGAAATAACCTTACAGAATGAGAAGCTTGTAGATATTCAACGCAAAATAGGAATCACGCGAGCCCATCTTCTGAAGAACTCGAGACTGGTTGGGGAGATGCTCAGAATTACAAAGCCCAAGCTGGCCATTGGGATAATAGTTCTCTCCATAATATTTATTGCCATTATATACGTTAAGCTTGTGTTTCCCAGCTAGAATAAACATACCGCATTGTTTTGGAAGAAATATTTTTATTTTGTTGCAGTTTACTTTTCCACGGGCCTTTGGATGGAGCCAGCTGACTGGAGTAACTTGGAGTTCTTTTTCAAGGATAGATTGGTGGAAGATTTCACAACAGTAGAAGAGGAACTTCGGAAAATAAGGGAGTGCAGATCCAGAAGGAGTAAAAGAGCCTCTGAATCAATGGTTTTCTGCATAGTTGTGAAGAGTCAGAAGAGATACAAAGGAATGTACATCCGGGCGATCCTAAATGGACTTGCATTAGGAACAGAGCCTAGCGCAGAAATACGCCCAGAAAGCTTTCTAGTAGGGGAGTGTAGCAGAAATGCAAGCCATGACGGAGTGTTTTTTGTCAAGATTGAGATATGGAGCCTTGAAGGAATGGTTTCCGAGGAGACCTTCAGGATTACGAGTCTGGATGTGTTTTCGAAGAAGCTAGGTTTCCTCAGGCTAATTCACAAAGGCGTCCAGGAGGAGATTGAAGTAGAGATCCATTGCGTTCAGACGGACGGGAGTGGGAGCCAAGCTTACGATGATATGAAGGCAATAGGGCATCGCGGATGTGGGGAAAATAGATTGACTACGACGAACCTGATGGAGAACACCATTTCCTCATTTCTAGAGGCATACAGAAGAGGAGCGAAGTGGGTGGAAATGGATGTGCAACTCACGAAAGACGAAGTTCCTGTAGTGTTTCACGACTTTGGAATACAAACAGGTGGGTCGTATGCAGGGATAAATGAGGTCACACTTGAGGAGTTTCTCAGTCTTGTAGGGAATCCAGATGAGAAGGAGCACCACCTCCCCTGCACACTTTCAAAGCTTCTAGACCAAATTGGTAATGAGCATGGAATCAATATAGAGATAAAGTATCCTCTTCCATCTGAAGAGAGGGAGCATGGGCTTCGAGGCCTGATCCCGGCAGAAAAGGTCGTTGAGAGAATCGTAGAAACGGTTCAGAGAAGTGGAAGGCAAAAAGTAATCTTTTCGTCATTCCATCCGTATGTTCTCCTGTTACTGAAACTGAGGCTTCCTAGCTCCAACATTTATATGCTGACAGAGGCAAACAATAATAAGGAAAATCCATATACGGGCACCTTGTACGATGCCTTGTACTTCTCCGCAAAGCTGGGGCTGGATGGTGTCGTCCTGGATTGGAACTGCATATCTGCAAGTCCAATACACATTGTTAAAGCCTTTGAGTCGTTTGATCTCAAAACGATTGTATATGGTTCTGGAGTCAATAATAGGGATGTCATACACATTCTGAACGAGGCTGGAGTCCATGGAATAATACTGGATAACCTGGATCTGGCTTATACAAATGGCAATGGTATCTACTGAAGACGCTCGATATCCAATGCTGTCTAGAAACATGGACCTCATAAAAAGTCTAATCATTTATTTGCTTCACTAAGAAACTCTTCAAGCTCTCGGATTCTGATCTTTGTGTGGTCGAATTCACCCTCCTCATCCTCCTTTCCCTCCCCATCAACTTTTCTGGTATCTCCCCAGCTGAAGTTATCGAAATGCCAGAAGGCATACGTGGGAAGGACAAAGTTCCAGATCGGAATAGACAGTATGTAAACCAAGCACCAAAACACATACTGGATCTCCATCGTAGTAATCAATATCAGTACAGCAGGAAGACCAAAAATGCCGACCAGCATGATCAAAGGAACCCATGCAGGCTCAATCAAGATCGAAACAGCAATCATAACAAATGTAAAAATTATAGCAGCCGGCAACACCAGCGTTCCAAACAGTTCCATCACCACAACAAGCTGCATCGAAAAGCAGAAGGCTCCGCACAGGTTGTTGACCTGGACCAACTCAAACAAGTTGTGTATAGTCGAGTTGATCCATCTTCTCCTTTGACTAAGAAGAACACTGAATTCCCCGGGAACATATGTTTCGCATTTGGCAGCTGGAATAAACACAAGCTTCCTCCTATAGAAAGTCTTCAGCAATAGGGTTGTTAAATACCTATCTTCTCCCAAATGCAAAAGATTCTTTTGGTGCAGAGTCTTTACCTCAAGAACCGAGTAGGCATTTATGATCGCAGGGTTTGCCAGAATGGGAAGGCAGAGGCTCTTTTCCAAAGACGAGCTCAGAATGGACTTCATGCTGCTAAATCTCGGTACACTTGCTCGAGACTTTGACGGCCCCGACAACAGCTGTCCTTGTTGGTTCGTAACTATCTTTATTCTATACATGCAGAAGCACCCCGGAAGACACGTAACACCACCAAACACAGACTCAAATGCTTTGCTAAGATGGTGACTGATATAGTATTCAAAAACTTGTATCATGGTAACCCAGCTCTCAAACTTATTCAGGATCATCGTCTCTCCACACATCCCTATAACCTTCTGGTCCGTTTCAAATACATTCACCATAATCGAAAGAGCATCAGGCTTAACTATCGTGTCTGCATCAACCATCAGTATACATTCAAAGTCCTCCGGCTCAATGTGAGGCATTAAAAATTTCATCTTTTGGTAGATCTCAAAATCCAGCTCCGTCATTCTGTCTCCATAAATTAACTTCGAAAAAAACGACATCAAGATTACCTGGCTATCTCTCTTTCCTCTGTTTCCAGCTTTGAATGTCTCCGAGGGATTTCCACACTTATTGATTACAAGAATCCTTGTCTTATAATTCTCAACTTCACTGGAGTCTGCCTGCCTTCCAAAGCAAGGCCAGCATCTGTATCGCCTACTCTTTTTCTCCTCCCTCACATGATAGTATCCCGCATGCACTTTGGCTCGGTTATAGCGCTTGGTTCCATGGGTAAGAGATATGTAACCCTTGGGCTCTGCCCTTCTGTCCACATCAGACAGACCCAAAACTATATCCGGAGTGCTCATGCTATTCCCAGACCCAGTTATATTTCCATCACAGATCACTACAATCAACTTGTAGTCGTATCCATAATCCTGCTTGCAAAGACTGTCCAGAGTGTTTTTTATCCCGTCTTTGCCTTCACTATAGCATGTTACTAGCAATATGCAGGGCGTTATCTTTGGGCTGGGTTTCGGCCTTCTCTTCGCATACCAGGAGTAGAAAAATCCCAGTAAGAACTTTGTAATAATCAGCCCAAAAATCGAAATGGTTGTGATCCAGAACATCGTATCCGCAAGAAGACACCCAGGTGTCTTTGTGGCAACCTTCCCAGCATAAAACATGTCCTCATAGCACCTCCATTCATCCGTGTCGAAATCAGGTTTTCCCTCTGTTCCAGCATACTTCCGATTGAACTCTTCAAACAAAGGCTCTGTGCAATATGATGGGTCGTAAACCTTGTTGCCAACAACTATCATCCCTTTACTCATTATATCCCCCCAATCCCAGTAGATATCGTTTATTCTCTCCAAATCATCAATGTCTTCATCTCCACTAGGGAGCTGTCTTCCAAACGCAAGCTTACATGCACCGCTTTTCTTTTCAAATGCATATGTGTGGTTTTCCCCAAAAGCATATTCATCATCCGTATAGTAGATCCCGCCATTTGCTATAACAGTATTTCCATCGAATGCATCTCTCTTGAGTCTCGATGCAACATATTGATTACTTCCCTTACAAATAATGGTGTTCATTCCATAGGTCGTAAAGCCCAGTATAATCCAGCAGAAAAATATACAGATGCACAGAGCCACCTTTTCTCTCCATGCATGCTGGACCTCTGGCGTTGTCATTCCAAAACACCTCAGCATAAAATTTGGAATAAGGCAGGTTAGAAATATAGTGACCCTATACCACCATCCTTTCCTCTCAGACCTACTTTTTGGAGGCCTCTGAAGCCTTGTTCTGGACGGATTCCTTAGTATTTCTCCCTGAGATAGCATTTGTTTGGGTAAGATAGATCCCAATATAAACCATTTTAATTAATCAAGGCATGGGGTGACTTCGGGAAGACATCAGGAAGTAGGAGGCTGAGTTGACATACAGCTCGTAGAGAATGTCAAACATATCGAGGTCCTGTGTGTCGCTCTCAAAAAACTCAAACACAGGGTATCTCCGGTTGCCTCTCCACACCACCCCTGTCTTCTCAACAGAGGCAAGAGAAAGATCCACCCTCTTCGTCAGCGTCCTGTTCGACACAAACTCGTTCTCGTTCAGCTCAATGTGCACCCGGTATCCATATCCGTCAAGGTACTCGGCCACCAGAGACCTCATCCACTGTGTGCTGGTCCGGTCGCACCCGTCCCGAGGAAGTATCCCGCGCGCAGCATCAAACCCGGCAAGCGCACGCCCCCAGTACATTTCCAGAAGAGCCTCGCTGATAACCGAGTCCCTCCGAAGCAGCAGCGGCCTGATCGCCTTGTGGTGCTCTAGCTTGCACTCAAAGTCCCTTCTTGCAAAGACCAGGTGCTCCTCGTCAATGTCGCGTTGGATCTCGTCCAGGAGCCTGCAAACATCAGATTCCATCGCCCAGGGTCCCAGCCCCGTCCTTTGCGACCCCCGCCGCCCCACGGAAATTCATTCCCTCGAGGCCGTCTTCATCCTCCAGTACATCCCCCGGAGCCCCATCAGCTCGGAGTGGGTCCCAACCTCCTTCACGGTTCCAGAGTCGACAAGAATGACCCTGTCCAGGTGCTCGGTCATCCAGAGGTCGTGGAGCACCATGACAATTGTCTTGCCCCTCATCCCCATCATCAACCCAAACACATCCCTCTCGGTCTCTGCATCCAGCTTCGAGGTTGCCTCGTCGAGCAGCATCAGCGGGGCGTCCTTGAGGAAGCACCTTGCAAGCGAGACCATCTGCATCTCCCCTCCGCTCAGCGCCTTCATCCGAGAGTGCAGCCCCTTCCTCCTGACAACGTCGGACAGCCCGGCATTCTTGCACTCCCGCAGCACCCTGTGGAATCCAGCCCGCGGGCATCCATACATCACGTTGTAGAGAATGCTCTCGTCAAAGAGAAGCCCGTCCTGGAGGATGCACCCAATCGAGCCTCTCACCGCCCTTGGAGATGCACTCCAGAGCTCAGCCCCGTTGACTCGGATGCGGCCCTTGTGTCTGTGGAGCATCAGAATCAGCCTCAGGATGGTGCTCTTCCCGCTCCCAGGCCTCCCGATTATCCCGACACGCTCTCCGCGCATGATCCGGAAGGACACGCCAGAGAGGACGTGTGCCGACCTTGGGTATGCGGCCGACCTTGGGTATGCGAAGCTGACATCGTCAAACTCAACGGCAGCAGCCTCGCCGGGCGGAGAGGAGGGGCACGCAGCCATGCCTTCAGCCGCCGCACCTGCCCCGGGGCCTTGCTCGGCAGCCCTCTCCAGGCCGTCGTGGAGGCAGAGCAGATCCGTGCAGTCCGTCAGCCAGAACCCGAGGTCCCTTGCAATGCCGCCAAGCGTCCACATGGAGGCGTCGATCGAAAGCACAAAGGAGAAGAGCACGCTGAGGTCGCCAACCGTCATCCGCAATGCAGCCATGTCTGCAATGCCCTTGAAGGCAACATGGACAAAGAGCACGCTGAACAGGGCCCTCTGCCCGAGATTGGTCATCCCCACACATCCCTTGTCAGAGAGCTTGAGGGCCCACATCGTCTCCATCTCGCCTGCAAGCCTCGACACCTCAAACTGCTCGCTGCAGCATGCCCTGACAAGGTCGACATTCGAGACACACTCGTGGATCCTCCTGGAGACAGAGTTGTCCGCATTGTTGATCTCCTTTCTGTACCGGGCGCGGATCCTCAGCATCACACAGGTGTATGCTGCATAGGCTGCAGCAGTAAAGAGGATTGGGACCAGGTACTTGGGCCCAAACATTGCATGGACCTCCCGGAACAGAAGAGCAAGCCTGAAGAGTGCGGGGGTGGCAACGGTGAGTGTCTTCACAAGAACCTTGGAGATCTTCCTGTTTCCCCTCTCCACAATCCGGTTGAGCTCTGTCGGCTTTATCTCGCAGGAGTGTGCGGCGTGCATTGTAAGATCGAGGATGCGGGAGGTGGATGCCTGGACGACCCTATTTGTCACTGCCGAAAAGAGGATGGCCTTTGACTCTGTGAATGCAGAGGAGAGCGTTCTGAGCACGAGGAAGGCTGCTGCATCGCCGTAGATGGAAGACACATTTGCACTGCCCATGCCTTTAATGTCCTTGAGGCCGTTGATGATCAGCCCTCGCCTCTTGATCGACATCACATCAAACCACTTCCCGAGGACGATACACGCAGCAACAACCGCCATGAGTGCCGCCTCGAGGAAGGACACAGGCCTTGCCATGGAGGCCAGCCTCCTGCAAACCGTCCAGCGGTCCATTCGCCTCATTGTCTTTGGTGCAAGGCAGGGGCAGCCTTTAAATGCCTGGCATTTGGTAGGAGGGAAAAGCCGTTTAATAAATCATTCGTAGATGGGATATGCCTCTGCCAGGGCACACACTCTTCTTCTCAGCACTAAAACCTGCTCGCTGCCCATGACCCGGGCATCGGACGTCACTCTGTGGAGATCGGCCTTCGACATCTTCCTGCCGCCCGTCATCTCCCTGCAGAGCTTGACTACCCCGCCGATTATGTCTCCAACCTCCCTCATCTCCTCGGGGCCAAATCCCCTGGCAGTGACTGCATATGTGCCCACACGTATTCCAGACGGGCTCAGCGGGCTGGAGTTTCCGACAATGGCGTTTCTGTTCAGGCTGATGCCCAGGGCATCGCACATGTGCTCCACAGCCGCCCCGTCGACACCCGTGCTCCGGAGATCCACAAGGAGCATGTGGTTGTCCGTTCCCCCCGTCAGGATGTCAAGGCCCAGAGACTGCAAGCGGCTGCACAGCTCCCTCGAGTTCTCCACCACGCGCCTTGTGTACTCCGCAAACTCGGGAGTTCCTGCATGGAGAAGTGCAGAGGCAATCCCTGCAATCGTGTGGTTGTGGGGGCCTCCCTGCAGCATCGGAAACACGGCAAAGTTGATCCGGGCATCCAGATCCACAGTCTCCCCATTCTTTGTCACGGCCCTCCTGTAGAAGATGAGCGCCCCTCGAGGTCCCCGGAGCCCCTTCTGCGTTGTCGTCATGACAATGTCGCAGTGCTCGAACGGGCTGTTCATCAGCCCAGACGCAACCAGCGGCGAGATGTGCGAGATGTCTGCAAACAGAAAGGCACCGTTCCTGCCGGCTATCGACTGCAGCCTCTTGTAGTCGATGTCTCTGGAGTATGCGCTGTATCCGCAGATCAGGATGTGCGGCAGAAAGTCCGTGAAGGTCTTCTCGAGGCCCTCGTAGTCGATGAGGCCGTTGCTCCCCACTGTGTATGGCCTTGAGTCGAAGTAGACGCTTGAGGCAGATATCTTCCTGGTCTTCGTCTTGTATCCATGGGTCAGGTGTCCTCCAGACGGCAGGTCAAGGCCCATGATCCTCCCGCCCGGAGGGACAACGGCCGTGTAGATTGCAAAGTTGGCTGGGCTCCCCGAGTATGGCTGGACATTGACGCCCCAGACGTCAGGATCCAGCCCGAAGAGCTCGAGAGCCCTCTTCTGGCAGAGGAGCTCGATCCTGTCGACCCAGTGCGTCCCCCCGTAGTATCGCTCTCCCACCCTGCCTTCTGAATACTTGTTGGTGAGGACAGACCCACAGGCCTCCATCGCGCTCTGATGCGCATAGTTCTCGCTTGCTATCAGGTTTATTGTCTTCTTCTGCCTCTCGACCTCTCCGCAGATCAGGGCATGGAGCTCGGGGTCTGCCATCTCCAGCGGGCCTGTCCAGAAGCCCTTTTCTCTTGCATCTGTCATGCCTCCTCCCCTCCAGAAGATTAAATATCTTGGAGGGAACCGTCGGGTCCTCAAGCACTCATGTTCATCTTGATTGCAGGGTGCGGGTCGTATCCCACAAGCTCGAAGTCCTCGTACTGGAAGTGCTCCGGCTCTGTTCTCGGCCCCTTTGGGCTGACAAAGAGCTTTGGAAATGCTCTCGGGGGTCTCTGGATCTGCTGCCGAAGAGAGTCGACGTGGTCCAGATACACGTGGGCGTCGCCCAGAAAGTGAACAAACTCCCCGGGCTGCAGGCCTGTCAGATGCGCCACGAGTATTGTGAGCAGCGAGTACGAGGCAATGTTGAAGGGAACGCCCAGGCCCATGTCTCCAGACCTCTGGTACATTGCACAGCTGAGCTTCCCGTCCGTCACGTTGAACTGGAAGAGCACGTGGCACGGGGGAAGGGCCATGCTCCCGAGGTCTGTGGGGTTCCATGCACTCACAACAATCCTCCTGCTGGCGGGGTTGGCCCTGATTGCTGCGATGGCGCTCGCGATCTGGTCGACCCCCTTGCCCTCGTAGCTCGAGGCCGATGTCTCGTACCGGGCGCCGAAGTGCCTCCACTGGAAGCCGTATATCGGGCCGAGGTCGCCCTCCTCCCTGTCTATCCCCACGGACTGCAGGAACTGCTTGGCCCCGTTCTTTTCCCAGATCCGGACTCCTTTCTTCTCAAGGACCTTCGAGTCTGTCTCGCCTCTCAGGAAGAACAGGAGCTCCTCGACAACGCCTCTGTAGAAGACCCTCCTTGTCGTCAGCAGCGGGAAGGTGTTGTCTTCGAGGGAAAACCTCATTGTTGCTCCGAAGACGGACAGCGTTCCCGTGCCTGTCCTGTCCATCCTTCTGGCGCCGTTTTCCAGTATGTGCTTCACCAGGTCAAGATACTGGTGCTCTGGGTGGCGCGGGTCCTGGGGCATTTGGCAGGCATGGGCAGGGGTTATATATGGCAGGTCTAGCGGGTCTCCGGTTTAGTGTAGAGAAACATCTTGAAGGAGGTCCCGTTCTCTGTAAAGGTGGCCGTCTCGGGGCTGTAGAAGGCACTCGCGAGTGTGCGGTCTATGAGCCTGGAGACGTCCCGGGTGATGTCTCGCTTTTCGTAGGA